CTGTAAGGGTCTACCAAAAAAAAAAAAAAAAAAAAAAAAAAAGGACGAGGAGGACATCAGGTAGTCGTACCATTCTGCACAGTCCAATCCTTCAAACCGTATGCTCGCCTTTCAGTTCCTTTTCCTGCAGCCTTTGACTCACCTTTTGATGACTGTTTGTTTTTTTGAACGCTTATGACTATTCATGGAGGGCCAAAGTGTCACTCATGCTAGGCAGCAAACCCTAATTTTGTAACCGACTTTGTCATTGAACCCTGTACCATTCCTTTGGTCCTTTGTCTAAGTCGCTACGCCGCCACCACGGTCGCCGCAACTCTGGAGATGCCACACCTGACTGAGGAGCCGACTGCGAAACTCAATGGAGCCCATCAGCTTGTAGTCCACACCCAGGAAGAGGATGGCGAGCTTCCTGCGCAGTCATCGATCCCGCTGCACCCCTTAGGGATCAAACCGCTCGGCAACCAGTACATCTCTAAGCTGCCCAGTGCCAGAAGATGCGCGGGAACTTTCCAGACACTGCCGGACGAGGCCCTGATGCTTTTCCTTGAGTCACTGGACCAACGAAGCCTAAGACTCCTGGGGTACTCTTGCAGGTTTCTTTTTGCGTTTTGCCTGTCCGAGGAGCTCTGGAAGCCCTTGTTTCTCGAGTAAGTCCAGTCAGTCCGCTTCTTCCTCCTCTCTTCAAGTTCCACACACCCAACGTGAAGAGGTGCAGGATCAGCTTGTTATGCCAACACCGAGGGCGCCATGGTCACTGACAAAAAGGATCAGATCACACACCCAAACTCCACGTGCATTCAAATGGCTTGGAACCTGGAGGTCCACGCTATTGGAACTGCCTCCGGACAGGCAGATACGCGTCGAGTGCAGCAATGTGTTCTCGGATGTCCTGCACCGCCCGTTTGTCTGCAGCCATGTGTCATTGGCTCGCTTCACCACCGGCATCCCCAAGATGAACCAGATCCGGCGCTTCGAGGATCTGTCATATGATGAGTTCGCGGAAAAGTGGAGCAATACTCCCTTCGTCCTGACCAGAGCCATCCAGCCCTGGCCAGTGACAAAGCAGTGGACGATTGACGAGCTCCTGCTGAAGTACCCGGAGGTGGAGTTCAGGGCAGAGGCGGTCGACTGGCCCTTCTCGACATACTGTCAGTACATGCGCAACAGCCAGGACGAGAGCCCCCTATATCTGTTCGATCGGCGCTTTGCCGAGAAGATGGGACTGAAGGTGGGCAAGGGGGAAGACACGGCATACTGGAGGCCGGACTGCTTCGGGCCAGATCTATTCGAGCTCCTCGGCGACGAGCGCCCCGCCCACCGGTGGCTCATCATCGGGCCAGAACGCAGCGGATCGACCTTCCACAAAGACCCAAACGGGACCAGCGCTTGGAACGCGGTCATCCAGGGAGCCAAATACTGGATCATGTTCCCACCGTCCGTGGACGTGCCTGGAGTCTACGTCTCCAGGGACAACAGCGAGGTGACGAGCCCGCTGAGCATTCCCGAGTGGCTCTTGGAGTTCCATGCCGAGGCCCGGCAGCTGCCCGAGTGTGTCGAGGGCATCTGCCGCGCAGGGGAGATCCTCCACGTGCCGAGCGGCTGGTGGCATCTGGTTGTCAACCTGGAGGACGGCATCGCGCTGACGCAGAACTTTGTCCCCAAGGCGCACCTGGGAGAGGTGCTGTCCTTCCTGCGCGATCGCGCCGACCAGGTCACGGGGTTCAAGAGGGAGGTCAGTGATCCGTACCGGCTCTTTGCGGAGCGCCTCGAGCGTCAGTACCCAGATCTCTTGCAAGAGGCCCAGGAGGAACTAGAACGGAAGAATGGGCGCAAGAAGCGGACCTGGGACCTGGCCATAGGCCACGGCGAGGACGAAGGCGAATCGACCTCGCGGGGAGGAGGTGGTGGTGGCTTCACCTTTGGTTTCGGTGCTGGTAGCGACGATGAGGATGAGATACCCTAGACAGAGAGGAGTCTGGAACCGAGCAAATATCGACTAGCGAAAATTGAGCAAGTAAACAAACGCGTTCACGTCTTGGCTCTTCCCTACGATGGTCAAGGGGTTCCAACAAAGAGAAGGCCATGGTTCTCTACTTACATGGCTAGGTCTGGTGAGCAGACGGACAAGAGGGTTCTTCGGTTTCCGGTGAAAACATGGAATGCCAAACCCAGCAAGGTTGAGATGCAACTCGACGACTTTCTTTCCATGCCAAGAACAGAGCTCCCTTCGGCAAACAAGCATGAGTACCCCCCATCGCTGATCTCTGTTAGATATTGGTAGAGCAACTGGCCGGCAAAACTGGAAAGTGAAGGCCAGAGTAGTTGAGCGGGTGGTACAGAAGCACTTGGTTGTCCATCAAGCCACTCGGTTTTAGGTATTGGGATTGGGATAGCCCATGTGGCTCTCAGAGAGAAGAGATGTATTAGTATCATCCAAGCATCTCCCAATGAACTGCCGACAACCATTCTGACTCTTTTGTTTGACTGGGTGCCCAGGTATCTGGGTGTGTAAAGGACGGGACATTTCCGATACCTTGCGTGCCATTCACGAACTCAGAGAGCGGTCGTCTTGTTGCCGGTATGGATGGCCACAACGATTGTAATCTAGCAAATCCACATCGATACAAGCTCTTTCACACTCTCGAGCGACGATGAGGGTGCTCTTTTGGGAGATGTTCTTCTCCGGCAATGATGCAACGTCCACCCTACTGGCTCACCAGCCCTTTGGGGTCCTGATCATGAGTGATAATGCTCGTGATCTTGTTGACGGTGTCTCCCATCGCCATGTTGTGTGAAGCACCCAGTGCTGTCGCTGTGGCTGACGACGGAGCGTTGGTAACCGCCCCTGAGCCACTAATTGTAGCCAGCCTACAGGCAGGCTTGTGATATGGCAACCACCTTCTGGCACTGCTGTTTCAACGGTTGTTTACTATTTGGTGCTAGTTTGGAGAGTCTGCCAAGAATCAAATCACTCTGACGAATGGCGAACGGGCCTGCTAGCCTGATCTGATGGCTGCATGAGGCTGGGAAAGCCTGCACAACTTGTAAGCTGGGTGTCTACTAGATCACAGATATGACACTCCATCGCAGGACCCTGAGAATGCCGACCCAGAGTCCCAAAATGATCTCATCGAAAGCAAACTTTGTCGAAAGTCGACCACACAGGGGTTCCTTTTTGGCCGTCCAATAGCCATGGCGTGGGGTCGGCGTTCGTTGGCGCGAAAGGTCCGATGCTGTTGAGTTCGATTAAACATTTTGCACAGCCCCCTTCGGAACGCACCTCGACTCGCCCTGGTTCCTTGCAGCATTCGAAGTTGTGGGCACGCCCAGCACCACACACCCTTCCAAGGCCGCGCCGTTGTTTCGTTTCCTTCTGCACTGTCTGCCCTCGTGGGACCTTGCTCAGCCTCAATCCGTTCTGTCCCCGTCGTTTCCAACCCCCTTCGATTCGATGCATGCCAGCGTTTTGGTGCATGGAAGCCCGACTTCCTTCCACGCTAGAAGGCTGTCAACCCCAGCTCCCATGGGCATGGCCCCTTTTGGGCATTCTCCACACCCCATCTCCCTCGAAGCCAAGCCACGGCCATCGCACATTCGATCCTAGCACGTGCATCGGGGAGATGGTGTCCAAGGTTGTCATGGGCCGTTGTCGATGAGGCTGTGGCACCGGGGCCGGGGCCTAGGGAATCATGCATGGAAGCTTTCGAAGCTTTCCGCGCTAGGAAGTCTAACCCCAGCCCCAAACCACCTGGGCAGTCAGTGACGCGGGTCCCGTGAGCCCCCTCAACATCCCATATCATGAAGTCTGTGCCAGGATGATTGGGTAGGAAGCCGTTTGGTGATAAGGTTTCCAAGGCGAGTTGAAGAGTGACTCTTCCCTCGAACTGCTCCGACAACGGACCACTGGGTTCTTGAGGCATGCTGCTCCTCTATACGTACAACTGTGTCGTCAGAATGACCTAGTCTGACTGCTTTTGCTATTTTGTTTACAAAAATAGGAGGGCAGCCGATTGCTATACGGTTTGGGCAATCAGGATTCTGCATCGTATGAAGTTGAGTTGCAATTCTGCTTCTAGAAGCCGAAATCGAAGCAGAGATGACGAAACAACCCCCCCACGCCCCAACGGCGTTCTCGACTCGATCCCCCCCGCGAAACAGATCAACGGTCTGTCTTACCAGGCTGGGGCACATCTCTCGAAACGCGATCGGCCGGGGAACAAGGAAACCTTGGTCAACCAGTGTGTTCATAGTGCAGAGACAGTGTGTCTGGGCGGAGGGGCAGCTTACGAAAGTTAGACTGGAGTAAATCGGGTCGTTGGTGGGCATCCGCTCGGTGACGCCGACAGGACAAGCCTGCCTCCAAACTGTAGCAATGGAGGGCTACGTAATCTGACGCTGTGCCGTACTTCCGTGCGGGGCGCCCCGGGGGCGGGGCCGTGTTCGTCCTTAGGGGGGCATGGAGGGTCTTAGTGCTTGCGTGCCGCTTGGCGGTTGGGCACTTTCATGATCTTGGAGATTGAAACTGAATATATCCTGCTCCTAGGCGAGTCAAACGAGGTCACGAGTGCAGACGGGCGTGTGTATGCACTGTACGAGTATATTCCGTAGCCACTGCCGGCAACTGGCTTTGGGCTGGGCAATCATTATTCGTTAGTTATTCCCAGTGAGTGAGGGATGTCGTTCGGGTAGAACAGGACACGGCCTTCTCCACATCCTGACAAGTCCTGACAGCTCTTTGGACGGCGACGAATGCCCAGATGCCCAACTCGTAGAAGCATGGAGGGGACAGTGAGTCACCTGTGCATGTTTTGCATTCTCACTAAATTTCTTGGATTTTTCGTGGGAATGGCTTCGTCTGGAGAGGCGACGCAGGCGAGCATGTGCGAGGGATGCGAGAAAGGCTAACAAACCGGGCGGCGAATGGGAACGGAGCCCTGACGTGTCACAAAGCCCAGAAGGCGCCTGCAGGTTTGCCCAAGGTCAGACCACCGGTCCAGGTAGGACAGCTAGGACAGTCTCCAGAAGGAGACGGCAGTGGTGACACCGCTTGGCTTCTTCCGTATCGGGGGGTAGGATGCGGAGGAAATAAATCTAACGACAGAGGCGGGTCGCGGACCAAGATACATACCCATGAGAGTATTGATACCACCGCGCTCGCAAGGCAGCCAGGATACGGGCTACAAGAGCTGGTGCTGATGCTGCTGGTGATGCTGCTGCATATCTCTCATGCGTGGAATATCCTGACGATTTGATTGCCATCGCCATTGCCATTGCCATTGCCATTGCCATGGCACATCCGCGTCACGAGCTTCCCCTCTCAATCACGCTTGTGTATCCATCCACGTTGCCAGTCTGCCCATGTTCTCGCTCCAAGACAGACAGACCGTTATCGTCAACCCGCTGTATCGGTGGCCGGATTGGGGAAACGGCTGGCCCTGCCTGCCCATCAGTTGGCCCCCCCAGATTGGCGCACCGACACCAAGACCGGCCGTCCAAGCAGAGATACCGATGTGCGAGACAAAGTCATGTCTGAAGATATCAGCCGGAGCCGAGGTATGGGAGATCCCAAGAAACTTTAATCTTTTTCAGGCTTTCGCGAAATACGCATTACGAAAACGGGAGACCGTGCATGCAGATGCGGGCCAATCTGACTGGGCCCGGTCGGTCACAAGCAAGTGGCCGTCGATTGCCATGTCGTGTCTGTTGATCGACTGAAGTGCGCGCGAGTGTGCTTCGCTCGTCCGTCCTACTACTGCACCCTTGCTGCAGTACAGGCTGTTAACCACACCGCCTGACCCTCCCTGACGAGCACACTTCTCACCCCGGGCCTTTGGTTGTGTGCCAGCCAAAAGTGACCGCGAAAGAGGCGGGCCAAATTCTCCCTGTCTCTTTGAGACAAGAGCTGCAGCTTCGGAGCCGGTGCAGCAGCTCGGAGGGGTCCAGATCAACGCCGCCGTGTGCCCAGTACGTACTTGTAAGTGAGATAGGATAGTCTACCTGCGCTTGTGCAAGTATTTCGCGGCATTATTAAGCCCTGTGTTTCATTGATTTGCCTACCTATACCTATTTTTGGCCTACTTGCTATTTCCCTCATTTGGCACATCGCGGAATGAGTGAATTATACGATACACGTGCTATCAAGTTTATCGGCTCGAGAGAACAGGGAGAGAAAAAAAAGGACTCGGTCAACCCGAAACAGTTCAGTCACAAGGGGCAGGAATTCATGGCGCTGCTTGCGTGCTTTATTGTGTAGTGCCTCTCTCTACTGAGGCCGAGGCGAGATAATTTGGCTGCCTGAGCCACCATGTCTAGCAGGGGGTAACAGGGGTGGGTTGAGCCAGGCACGCCAGCCCTGGAGGACTTTTACTCCATCCATCGTCCTAGTTGCCCTCTACTTGTACAAGTATTAGGCAGACGAATTCCTGGTCCCGCTGCCCGTACGCACCAGGGCTCGGTCCCGCATATCCAAGTCGGGACTCTCTGCCAATGGGTTGCAACGAGGATGACTCCGCGGCAGGGTGGAGTAGTCTCTTTGCCTTTTTTGTTTCTTTTTTTCCTGCCGGTCATCCAATGTTCGTTATCTGGCTGGTGCATATGTGCCTCCTCTGTAGCTACTCCGTGGTGTTATTCGGCGAAAGGAAAGGCGTCCAGTACGCCGTCAGCTACTGTAGTTCCCATGTACGGCGCACCCAATCCAGGATGGCTCTCGGACATGGAAATGCATGTCTGACGAGACTGGAGCGAGGGAAAGGTGACTGCATCGAGCAATGGGCTCGTTGTCGTGGCGGCATTGTCTCTGTGGCCATCGTCGCGATTTGTTTCCCGCAAACGGTTTAACTACTGGCTTGGCTAGCCCCTGGCTTCTGGCTTCTGCTCCGAGTCCAGCGAGTAAGTCCTCGTACACACCCTTTTGTTAACCATGATGGGGGATGGGGGGGCTTCTAGCGGACCCCACAGCATCTCCATACCCGCACCCACCCACCATCTTCGTACAGTGCCATTCCGTACAACACTTCCTGACTGCATGAGACATATGTTGCCAAGTCGCATTCCCTCCAACCCCGGCGCAGACAATCAGCCCTGGAAAAGTGGACTTGCATGCCCATCACCCCCCCCTGCCCATCTACGTATCCCCTTCCCACTGTCTTGGCCGTCAACGGAGCAATGATGGAGTGGCCATCGATGTGCGGCTCTCGAACCTGATGGAGGGGATCTCCAAGGTGGGAATCCGGGAATCCTCACAGGTATTTCAGCCGCTTACTCCCCCCCTCTCCGTCTCTCCTCCCGGCTCTGGCTTCTCCCTGTCTTCACTCAAGGACTCCCGGTTCTAGACACCACTGCTCCCATACTACAAACCACCATCATCTGCACCAGGCGTGCGTGTTAAGCTACTACCCCGGCGGGCATTCATTAATAAATACCCTTCGTCGTCCCTCTTTGGAACCGACGTTTTTCGAGACCATCAAGGTTTCTTTTTGCCAGCCGTTCATACATACACTTACACGCATTTTGTGTGCTGCAATCACCAACAAACACACACACACACACACACACACCCAAACCAACCCATCATCGTGGAGCGAGATCTCCATACCCACATACACACAATGTCTTACAACGCCACTTCTGCTCCCATGGACATCCAGTCCGGCAGCCGAGCTCGCTCATCTAGCGACAACTCCCAGCACTCCTATGCCCGGACGGACTCGACTGGCTCGTCTGGCTCGTTCGATGCCAAGAGGCCACTCTCGTCTTCGCCCACGGTCAACGTCTACACTCACTGTGGCCGGCACAGCAGCCAGTGGCTCTTCAGCGGCTGGGGCAGCCTAAAGAAGGGCTCCGGAAAGAAGTCCTGAACCATGTCCCGGCTCGGGACTTGCAACTACCAACCTACGCTTCTAAACGCGAACGGTGTCCAGTATCGTTTTCTGGAAACCTGATCTCTTTCCGACCTTCTCCTTTGCCTTCGCGGTGTGTTTTTGACACCCAACCTAGTTTGGCGGAACGTCTGATCAACGAGCTATTTGTCTTTACGCCAGTTGTTTTGCAGTGGAGGAATTGAGCATTGAGATGGCCTGGAGGATCAAAGGCGATCCGGAGATTTTGATGACCGTTATGACTTGTACCAAGACGCTTTACTGTCTTCTTTCTGTTTTTTTGTCAAGAGGTCGGGAGAGAATGATACCCCATGCATGATTTAGAAAGATCTGGTTGGACTTTTATTTTATTTTATTTTTTTTTTACATCGACTCGAGCGAGAGTTAATAGTACTTGACACTGCTGTCGATTACACGGCTTCCTCAGACTTGTGCATTTTGCTTCGTGGTCGTGGTTTTTGAATGCGCTGACTGAAACTGCTTGTATGCCGAGTTGGCCCTTTTAACCATAATAAATGACCTGTTCTGCCATTCAGACTGTTTCCTGCTGTATTTCCTGCCATACTGGCTGGTGCTTGATGACTGTGGCAGCACTCTGCTTGCGTGGACGGAACCTGTACGAAAGTACATAAGCTCGAGGTCTCCACTTCAGCAGCCAAAAAAAAAAGTAGTGTGGCAGCAAAGCTCACCTCTCCTGTGTTGAGAAACCTCCTTCCCCAACCAGCCGAGGTCCACGATAGAGACGACAGCAAGAAGCTTCAGCACGAGTCGTCACTATAAATCCCATCTCGTCTCTCCTCCGCGCAAATTTATACGCTTTGCGTCAACCTCGGAAAGAGTCCGCCCACCGTCCGATCCGCAATGGCACCCAAGAAGGCCGCTCCCGCCGCGGCGCCGCCGGCGCAGAGGAAGCCCGCGCCGGCCTCGCCGGCCAAGACGACCTACCTCGTCGCCTACAACTTCGTCTCGGCCGTGCTCTGGGCCACCGTCCTCGGCCGCGTCGTCGCCGTCTACGCCATGCGCGGCCCGGCCGCCGTGCACCTCTTCACCGGCGACTTTGCGCGCTGGACCCAGACCCTCGCCGGCATGGAGGTCCTGCACGCCCTCTTCGGTACGTTTCCCGCCCTTTTCCATAAGCATCTGTATAATCTTTAATGAAAGGGGGGGAGGGGGAAATAACTCAAACTAACACACACACGCCCCTCGCGGCCGTCGTCTAGGCATCGTCCGCTCCCCGCTCTTCACGACCGTCGTGCAGGTCCTCTCGCGCTTCGTCCTCGTCTGGGCCGTCGTCTACCCCTTCCCGCAGCTCGCCGCCAGCCCCTTCTACTCGTCCATGCTGCTCGCCTGGAGCCTGACCGAGGTCATCCGCTACACCTACTTCGCCGTCAGCCTCTCGTCGGGCGCCCGCGGCTGCCCGCCGGCCTTCACCTGGCTGCGCTACAGCACCTTCACCGTGCTCTACCCCGTCGGCATCCTCAGCGAGTGCGCCATGATCTGGCTCGCCGCCGAGGGCCCCGCCGCGGCGCTCCACGAGCTGGCGCCCTGGGTCCTGCGCGCCGTGCTCCTCCTCTACGTCCCCGGGTCCTACATCATGTACACGCACATGATGAAGCAGCGGAGGAAGGTGCTCGCCCGGCAAAAGACTGAGTAAAAGGGGGACTATATGCCGGGTCAGCGTATCGTGTCAAGGTTTCGAAAATAAAAAAGGGCAAAAGGGGGAAGGGGGAAGGGTTGGTGTTGGTGTTGGGCAAGTGTTCCAACGTAATGATTGACGAAACAGAGAGAGGGAGGTTGTGTATCAGGAGACAAAGTGAGAAAGAATAATCGGTATATGACTATACAAAATCGTGGTATCATAATATCTAGTAGCAAACCCAGACCACGCACACCTTGCCACTCAAAAGAAAGAAAAAGCAGGCATTCATGTAAACAATAGACGACCAAAAATATCTCATGCCAGAATGCGGGGCTTCTCCTCCTCCGAGCTGGCCTCGTACCAGTCGTTCCTCGCCCAGGAGGCGATGAGGTCCCGCGCCTCGTCGGCCAGCCTCTCGTAGCCCGGGTTCTCCTTGGGGTCGAACATGCTCATGTGCGCCCACGTCTCGTCCGAGGCCGCGTCGTTGACGGCCTCACGCCAGTCCCCCGCCGCCTGCCGCGACGGCAGGTTGCAGAACGTGCGCTGGCTGCCCATCACCGTGCCCACCATGCTGACCTGCCTCGGCGGCGCGGCCCTGCCCAGCCGCGTGTACAGGTTGGCGAAGCCGAGCCCGAGCTCGCGGTTCGCGCGCACCATGTAGGCCGTGCGCCGGCGCAGCTCCTCGCCGCGCGCCAGGCACCCGACGAACTCGAGGTGCGACGCCGCCCACGTCCAGCCCTCGGTGATCTGGTCGCGCTTCAGGTACGCCGCCGCCGCGCCGCCGGCCAGCGCCGCGCCCGCGCCCGCGTACATGGCGATCTTGCCCCAGCTGCCCCACCCGCCGCCGCCGCCGCCGCCGCCGGCCTGCTTCTGCTGCTGGTCGTTGACCTGCTGCTGCTGCTGAGGCGGTGGCGGCGCGGGCAGCGCCGCGACCGGCTCCTTTCTCGCTGCGCCGCCCTGCTGCTGTCGCGACGACGACGACGACGACGACGCCGCGCCGGCGCTGCCGCCCCACAGGGCGCCGGTCAGGCCGCTCAGCTGCGTCAGGGCCTCGGAGGCCTTGGTGTAGTGGCCCTCGGCGCCGTGGGCCACGACGCCCGGGCTGATGCCGAGGTAGGGCGTGTCGAACGCGAGCACGCCCTGGATGTAGGGGAACATGAGCGAGTTGAGCGAGGCCGAGGCGCTGTCGGCCGGGGCGCCCGTGGTGGAGGCGTCCGGGTCCGTGGAGGACGGCGGCGGGATGGGCTTGTCCGAGGTCAGGGCGATGACGGTCTCGGCGGCGACGATGCCGCCCATGCTGTGGCCGACGAGGATGGTGCGGACCGAAGGGTCGACGGTCGGGCTCGGGGTCTGCGCCTCGACCTCGATGTCGATGACTTTCTCTAGGAGCCTATATGCGGTTGTGTGGTCAGAGAGAGCCCATGTTTGCGCGCCGCCGTGACGGGAGAGCCGGAAGCGGGGAGGCACGGTACGGACCAGTCTCTGAATCTACTGACGCAGTCTGCTAGGTCGCCTCTTGTCTCGAACTTGGGATATACCACCACACGGATGTCGATCTTGGGGAGCGCGATCGAGAGGCGCTGACGGAGATCCTCGGTGAACTGGTAGTTGTGGCCGAAGGTGTCCTCTCCTCCCTGCGAGTGGGTGACGACGAGATTAGCAGAGCTGATCCTCAAGTGGGCAGAGACCTTGTTACCTTGAAGCCGTGTATGAAACACAGCAACAGCGTTTTCTTCATCGTGGCGACCCCATCTGTGAATGTTCAACCTTGAATGTCATGAGTCGAAGTCGAGGATCTCAGCCTCGATGGCTCGGTGGTGGGGTGTGCCGGACCGCCTGAAATCTAGTGGGTCACGCCCCTGTTGACAGCGACCTCATCCGAGCTGACCTCACTGTAGAGCCAACGCCGGATCGCTAATGAAGTGTCTAGTTAGATGTCGTTGCTTGCGACTTACACCCAAAGGTGAACGAACTACCTACAAGTAAGTAACAGTATAAGTGTCACTGAGTCTGAACGAACTAATGACAAGACATATAGTGCGACATCTTTTTGAGGGCATCTATTTCACTTATTCTATTTCCAGTTGCAACACTTGCACGGCGTTCCCTCCCATGACGGCCGCTTCCTCCTGGGTTCCCGACCCCAAGGCTCTTGTCACGGCCTCGGCATTCAGCCCTACGCTTTCCCACTCGCCTTGCTCGTCGCTCGTCAGTGGCGGGAAGAAGGGGTGATCCGTGCCGAACATGAGCCTGTCCGCACCACTGGCTTGCAGTGCTGTCTTGAGGCCCACCTCGGAGTATATCACGGCGTCGAGATAGATCTGCTCCTTCAGGACCTCCCAGATCGTCCTACGACTCGGCCCAACCTTTCCTTCTTTGACTAGGTGACCGTCGTGAAGGATACAGCTCTCGATCCGGCCGGCCAGGAATGGCAGCGTACCTCCGCTGTGGGCAAGAAGCATCCGCAGAGACTTGAAACGATCAAAAACCCCTGCGAGATACATCCTCGTGACGGCGATGGTGGTCTCCATGGGGAACCCCAACGCGAGAGGCAGTACGTGCCCGTACTCGTTGTTTGAAGTCGCCCTTGGGCCCCAGACTTCGTTGGGAAGTCCGTAATGTGGGTGGAGGAAGATCATCAGGCCCGCCGTTTCCAAGGCTTCGAATACCGGGAGAAGTTCAGGGTCATCCAGCCCTTTACCCAGTCCCGACGTACCAAGAATGACTCCGCGACAATACTTTGCTTTTTTGAGTTGAGGCACCCAGGCATTGAGGGAGTCCAACGGGGCAGTCAGCGGCAGTGCCGCAAAGAAGAAGAGTCTTCCTGGATGACTGGAGCACATGTCGTCAAACTCCTTGGCTATAGATGTCGCGATTGGTATCGCATCCGCTGAGGGGACGAAGTCAAGCCAAGGGTTTGCCAGAGAAATGACCGAGATGTCTATACCGTGCGTATCCATGAAATGGATCTTCTGCGCCAAGTCGCTATAATGAGAAGTCAACGGCCTGCCCGGCAATGTCGACGAGCTTCCACTCTCCATAGCAGCGACAAGATCAACCTCGGCGTTGAGGAGAATAAGCCGGGGCTCTGGCGCATTGGAGAAAGTCCGCACCATCGGGATAGAGCTTCTTGATTTGAGGAGGCTGATATACTCGGGAGGGTACATGTGTGTATGTACATCTACCACCTTTTGCTTGGTTGTACCTGTTGGTCGAGACATCTTGACGAGCTGTAGAGATCAGCAAGGCGGAGATGTGTTCTAGACGTTGCCCACACCGCACACCGCGAATCCTCTGTTTGCGCAACGAGGGCTCCTTTGAAAATGAAATGTACCCAGGACAAAACTTCGCTGGCGAACGAATGCCGCGAGCTGAGGTGCTCTCCGCGCCTCACGACCCCGCGCGGTATCAATGCGGTCGTTCCCTTATCTTGCTGCAGCTTATCACAGTGCAACATGACATCTGAACATTGAAGTCCCATTGGACTGGCAGACAGATAAGGTAGGAGGGAGCGTGCAGGAAGGGGACCAGACGTTAGCCCTCTTGGAATGTACCTTATGCTCCTTCTGTCCACCCCCTCCCTCTAGATCATGCGGTAAGGACTGGAGTGTTGAGCACCGGCCGTCATAAGGTTTGCCCTACTCGACGGGAAGTGCCGCTCGTCTCTCCTCTCTTGACAGCCCTCACTGCGTTTCTCTCTCTGATGCCTGCCAGCCTCGTGGTGACTCGTACCATACCTCACATTCAATCATTGCCCATTGCACGTAGAAGTCTGATTCGAACAGCCATGGAGGCCGCAGCGGTGCAGAGCCAGGACCTCCTGATCCCGGTGGGAAATGATCTTGTCTTCCATCAAGTATCGGCAGCATCTGACTTACACACTCACCCAGTTGATCGACTTTTCCAGCTTCCTCAACGGAGATGAAATCCAGCGGCAAGAGACGGCCAAGGCTATTCTTCACGGCTTCCAGACAGCAGGCTTCATCTACCTCAAGAACATCCCCATCCATCCCCAAAGACGTAGAGAGGTCTTTGCCATGTCGGCCAAGTTCTTTGAACTAGACACGGCGACCAAGATGTCCCTCGAGTGGACAACCCCACAGGCTAACAGAGGATACTCGGCCCCGGGCCGGGAGAAGACGACCCAGCTCATAGACATCGCCGAGGTCGCCAAGCTCAAGGCGGCCATACCAGACATCAAGGAGAGCTTTGAGATTGGCCGCGAGGGTGAGGAAGGACAGCCCAACCAATGGCCCCAAGAGTCTGGGGACATCCTCGGCTTCAAGAAGATGATGCTCGACTTCTTTGCCCAGTGCAAGGCCGTCCATGTCGAGGTCATGAGAGCGATCGCCATCGGCATGGACTTGGAAGCTTCCTTCTTTGACACCTATGTCGATGTTGGCGACAATACTCTGCGACTGCTGCATTATCCAGCCGTCAAGAAGGACGTGTTCCAGATCAACCCTGGTCAGGTTCGTGCTGGTGAGCACTCCGACTACGGCTCCATCACACTGCTCTTCCAAGACTCGCGCGGTGGGCTGCAGGTCCAGAGCCCGAGTGGCGACTTTGTGGATGCAACTCCCATAGACGACACAGTCGTTGTCAATGCCGGGGACCTGCTCGCCAGATGGAGCAACGACACTATCAAGAGCACTGTACACCGTGTGGTTGAGCCGCCTCACAAGAAGGAGGGTGATACGTACGGCGACACATACCCGGCTCGGTATAGCATCGCGTGAGTCAATCCATCGAACAACGAAGCAAGTCCATCTCGCGACATGCTGAATGTCTAATCCTGCCCAGATACTTCTGCAATCCCAATTTCAAGAGCCATATCGAGGCCATTCCTGGGACTTTTGCGACCGAGAGTGAGAAGAAGTATGAAGGAATCAATAGCGGAGATTACCTTGTGCAGAGGCTGGGGACAACCTACTGATAGCTGGCTCATGAGGATCCATTGTCTCGATTTCCAAAGGACAACTGGAGGCTTACTCGAGTAGATAGTTACGATACTGGCTCTGCATTCATGAGAAACTGAAAGGAATAGGGCGTTGAATTTCTTTGATAATCCTAGGTTTTATCCCCATAGGCGGGTCAAGGTCCCACGCGAGCTGTAAATCTAGCGTAGGGTCGTTACCGATTAGGTGCTCCACAGCCACTGCCCCACTGTAAACTTCAAATCATCCATCTTCGCGAGGCAACCTTGAAGATAAGTTCCATCTGCTCTTTTTTCCCCAGGACAGAACTTCCTCATCAACCACAGTCGCCCATTCGAAACGGGTAGAAGTCCCCTTTCAGCCAAGCTCCCGCTCAATCTCCTCACACGCAACACTCACGTCGCTGCTGCACCCACCCCACTCCAACAACACCTACACGCACCGCACCCCAAACAACCCACACCAGCAACGACGATCGATGGCGACCATGGACGACGCCGAGCTCGTCGCCTACGCGCGCGACAGCGCCGCGGCGCACGACTTCTACGCCCTGCTCGGCGTCGACGCCGCCACGCCGCGCGAGGACGTCCACCGCGCCTGGCGCCGCAAGGGCCTCAAGTACCACCCGGACAAGGCGGGCGCCGCCTACGACGCGGCCAAGTACGAGCTCTTTGAGCGCGCGCGCAACGTGCTGACCAGCGACGCCGCGCGCGCCGCCTACGACGCCGCGCGGTCGGCCGCGCAGCACCGCGCGGCCCAGGCGGACCTCATGAGCGCCGAGCGGCGGCGGTTCAAGGACGAGCTCGAGGCGGCCGAGGCGCGGGGCCAGCAGGCGCGGCAGCAGCAGCGGCAAGAGGGCAGGGAGGCGGACGCCGAGAGGGAGCGGCTGCGCGAGGCCGGGCGGCGGCGCATGGAGGAGCGGGAGAGGGCGGTCCGGGAGGCCGAGGAGCGGGAGAGGCGGCGCGAGGACGAGCGCATCGCCGAGATCGAGAGGAAGCTGCGGGAGAAGGAGGAGAAGAGCCGGCGGCGAGCGGAGCGCAAGGCCAGGGAGAGCGGCGTCGGCGCCGGTGACCAAGCACCGACCACTGCCAAGGTGGAGGAAGCGCAGGCCGGCGTTCCTGTTCCGCCTGTCGCAGACCCCGAGTGGAGGAAGCTACTAGGCTCGCAGGCCACGCCGTTCGACAAGCGGCCCATCTACACCTATACCATCGCCCGCATGAAAGCCGCTGAGGCAGGGCGGCAGGAGAAGCTGGCGTCGCAGGGCACCCCGGCGCAGCCGTTCGTTCCGCAGTGGGACGAGGTCAAGGACCCCGAGGTGCGCAGGTTCATATCCAGGGTGCCCAAGTTCGGTGCGCCGCCGGCAAGCGAGGACACCACCATGACATCCTGAAGCGTGGTCGACGCCGGGTTTTAGCTTGCATTTGTGCTCTTTTTTCTTTGTACTATGAGATACCCCATTCGCAGCAAAAATATCAAAAGTGTTTTGAAGATTGCTTCGTCGGCTGTCTTCTACGTCGAAATGCAAGTTTCTAGGCTGGCCAAAGTCACTGTTCGTGATTCAACTTGGTCTTCGTTCAAGGTCTTGCTTCATTGGTGTATAGAAAATCGACATGTGCATATGGTGAGCTCGAATCCAAAGGCCTCTTCTCCGCTAGCTTTCAAGAATGGTTTTCAAAGGTCGTCAAGCGCTCAGTCAATAAAAGCACGTGTATCCCAAATTCGGATCTCCGTGACCAATAAGTCGCGAACAGAGAACTTCAAAGAGTCCAAAATATGCCATGAGGGCCCCAACTGCGACGTATTCTGTCCATGTCTCCTCCGGACTTGATTCAATCTGCAAATCGGCAACATTTCCAATTCCCAAGACAACAATATGCCAAAGATTCCAAGGTATCAGCGTCGTTCTCGAGCAAATGGCCCACGATGTATAGGCTCATGGACTAGCTCCATCCCTGAACGATGGATTCGTCCGTAGTAAAGTCGTATAAGTGTGCGTGAAATGGTATGCGCTCTTCCAAATCATCCGCAAGTCGTACAATGCAATTCTCTCTTCTCATGTCGGCAGTTCAGGGCCACGACGACCTTGTTTGGTGGAGTCCGAGGTAGACCTCTCCATCAATTCTACAAGGTACCGCCATCGGGTCCCTTCTGCGTCTCTTTCTCGTCCCAACCCCAGACCTGGGACAGATAGCGCTCCATGTTGACACGCTTGGAGCGCATGTCCACCATCCAGGGGTGGTCCAGCATGCGCCAGGGCGTGGCACGCCGGCTTGGCTCCTTCTCGAGACTATTCATGCGTCACATAGTCAGACATCATCAAGGACAGCTCACAAGTGTAGTGGCAAATTTTTACTTACCAGCACTCGATGAAGTACTTGAAGTTCTCACTCCACACGATGTTTGCTTCCGGCTCGTCCTTCAGCTTAGGGATGGGCTGTCGAACGATGTAGGTCAAGAGATCAATGAGACCAGCTCGTGGTTGCATCTCTGTGCCGTCAGCAGGGAAGGGGAAGCGGTGCTGTGCCACCTCGAGAAGCGTGACTCCAGTAGACCAGACATCCGAGGTGATAGTATAGCTCTGGCCGGTAATCCGCTCGGGTGCCATGTAGTAGCTAGTGCCGATGAAGGTGTTTGCCTCGCCCTTGGTTCCGAAATCGCCAGACACGCCAAAGTCGCACAGCTTGACTTCGCCGTTGCGACAGAGCAGGATATTGGAAGGTTTGATGTCTCGGTGGATGATCTTCTTGGAGTGGAGGTACGTAAGACCGCGCAGGACTCCTTCGGCGATCTTGCCCAGCACCTTCTCTCCGGTACGGCCGCCGAGCCTCTTCACTTCCTTGTAGATGCTGTCCAGAGAGCCTCCTTCGCAGAACTCCATGGCGATGGAGATTGTGGCCGTGGATGGGTCGACAAATGCTCCGTAGTAGCGACAGATGTGCTCCGATGCGCACTCCTTATTGAATCCTAGCTCTCGGACAATCTGTTTCTTCACATCCGGATCCGGGTTTGTCGTGATGACCTAGATACCGTCAGCAAACACCGCACGTAGTCAGGTCGGTCCTCCTCAGCAGGCGGATTTACCTTGAGAGCAAAGACCGTCTTTCCTCCCCGTAGCATGCACCGAGTGACAGCACCACCAGCTCCTTCTCCCAGGCTACCTAGTTCAACGATCCTCTTCTCCAGACTAGCGATCCGCCAGCCCTCGTCGTCCAGCTCCTCTACGTCCAACGTCCTTGCCTTCTCGAGACTGAGCTTATCGAACGCCTCAAGACCATGGAGACTGCCTTCTCTCTCCATTCCGACGCCACCTTCGCTTCGTTCCGAGTAGAGTGACCCAACAGCCGATACTGGATCCGGGGTCCCCTGTTGCCTAGTGGAGCCGATGCCAAACTGGCTGGCCCATGACAGAGCAGAGTACTGGGAGCCTGCCGAGGTAGGGTTGCTGGCGCGGCCATCGAGAGGCCCGAAGCTTCCAGACCTACTGTGGGCCGCGCTGCTCTCGCTGCCCCCGGAGGCACTCTGTCCACCCTGTGGGCCCCTGCCTGGAGGCTGCTCATGAGGAGTGACAGAAGTACCCATCGGGGTAGCCAAGTGTAGCACAGGAAGCGGTGGCCTGCTGGACGTTTGTTGCGCCGCGGCACCCACAGGCTTGACATTGGGAGAGGGCGGGATAGAGAGTCCGAGACGTGGGGTGCGAGCACCACTGGCGGAGCGATTGCCCGGTAGAGCAGGTCGGAGAAGAGGTGCCGGACTAGACAGGATAGGAATGGGAGGGGACGGTGTCGCCGCTGCCGCCGAAGGATCTAATGAAGGGGCCGGGGCCTACATAAATTGGCAAGGAAACGCAGGTCAGCCTCCAGGTTCTCGCACGTGTGTACGGCAGGTTGGAGCAACCCCAGAGCGCGAGGCTTTGCGGGAGGCCCGAAGTCTTACATGTGGTGCCGCCGCCGTGGCGGGATTCTCGTGCTCCTGCATCTTTGCCTGGGTGTGCTTTCAGACCCTACTGGGCCAGGCAAGGTAAGGTGTTGGATCCGCAGCTTCAGCCGTGACAAGCTACGGGACCGTTACAAGTGATATAGCCGAGCTTCTACCAAGCGCTAGTCGATCCGGGCGGTAGAGAGTAGGAGGGCAGAAGGCAAGAGAATCCAGTGTGACGTTTCGAGGGACAAAGGTGTCGTGTGAGGCAACACCAAAGGGCAGTCGGCGAATTCGTGATGAAGCCCGCTTGTGAGGAGTGTTCTGTGTTGGACTGGTTCAAGCTGATCGGGCTGACGTCTTGCCGTGAAACAGAGGAACGCGGTCGGAGGAGGAGAGAAACTGCTTCTCAGGCTTTGTTGAGGAGCAAATATGAAGATCCAAAAAAAAACAAAGAACAGCGCTCGCTGGCTAGCAGTCGGGTGGGCTTGCTTTGGTCCTACCGTGTCCTGTGCCTGGAAGTACGGTGAGAAAGAAAAGCTTCTGTAGCTCGAGGTCTGGGTCTGGTTGGCAGTGGCCGGGTTGGAATGATGAGATGGTGGAAGCGAGCGGTGCCAGTTATGTGTGCTGGGCGTGCGTGTGTAGTGCGACCGGTCGATGGAGGGTGGTGGTGGTCAGTGAGAGTGAGTGAGGAGGGACTTGGCTGATGGATGGTTGGTCTGGTGGAGGTGGTGGTGGCGGTTGTGACTGACAAGGCACTGTCACGGAACGACAGGGGGGGATCCAACGGGCTAAGGCCTGAAGTTGTGGGGGGAGGGGCTCGGAAGCAGCCACCAGCAAGTGGTCCTGGCAGTCCTGGCAGTCCTGGCTCGTCCCTGTCGTCGCGTCCCCTCAGGCCCTTCCAGGCGGTCCTTCTCCGCTTTTCTCGACGGAAGCGGGAGGGGATTGGGCCTGCGGGAAGGCTTGCCTAACGTGCTAAGTACAAGTAGCTCGAGCGTACTCTGTAGCTTGGATAATAGGTCCGTTCCCCCCCTACATGTAAAGGCCCGGCCGCGGAAGCTAACGCAGTCACGGGCGCCTATTGATGAAGAAGAGGGGCGGGAATGCCGACTTCGTACACCTTGCTTGTTCTCGCTACGTACTCGGTCCTGCCCAGAAGAAGGATGGCGAGTCTTGATGCGGATTCCGAGACAAGGGGCCAGAAACTGGGGAGGGGGGCAAGAGGATGAGCAGCCAAGATGGTTGTTCGTGACGAGCGACGACTGCGATCAAACGACTGGAAGGAGGCGAGATGAAAATGGGAAAATTGCTATCACGCCAGAAGCGAAAGACCTACACACGGGTACCTACACACGGGTACCCCGTACATGAAATCATGGCCATATCTGAGCGAGCATTGCCATGTCCTGCCGGGACCGAATGACATGGGGGCCGAGCCAGCGTAGCGTGCAGATCCAGTGATTAGACAAGAGCGCACGCACGCACAATGGGTCCGCCCCTGTTCGGCATTGTATCGATGTATCGAGTAACTAACTACTTATCGAGTATCGAGGTGTCAGCGGGTAGACAAAAGGCTTGGAAGGGCATGGAGGCAAGGAGGGTGGTGATACAAAAGACTGGCACAGGGGGGCAGACTCCAATTGGAGGCGATCCGGTCTGGGGGTGGAACCAGGTTTGTGACTGCTTTGTGCATCCATCGACAAATCCAAATCCACACTGTGGACTGGTGGGCTAGGAAATGAGCTGTCCGTCTTGGGCTTGGACTTTTCTTGATCTGCCCGCCTCATTCACTATTCGCTCCTTCGTACCTTCAGAAGGATTTCCTGTCACTACTGCGTAAGGCCAGGCCGACACTAGAGACTAGGTATCGTTGGATCGAACGGTCTCCTGCGCGTTTTGGCCCCTGCATACCGAATCCAGCACATCCTGCACTGTCGCCGACTTACCCTGCAGTGCAGCACACACATCCCCACCAAGCACACACCCTATAAGCTCACTCGCAGATTCAGGTCACTTGGACTGGGATGGCGATGGAGGAGAATCATCTTCTGAAAGGCGACAGCCGTGAGATTGTGTCATATTAGCCAGACGGAAAGGCTGCAGGGCAGGTACTCCGTAAGGTATGTATGTATGACATGGTCCTCGCACACCATGACTTCCCATGACATGCCATGACGGGGTTGCCGCTGGTGCCCTCTGGCATACATCGGTTTCCATAGTATAATACTCATGCAAATGCCTGCAGGCATGAACGTGATTGAAGGGCTGGCAAAGGGCATCCCAAGCCGCCGCTTAGGATCGACATTTGCCCCGACCGCGAAATATGCAGGCTGACTGCTTATTTGCTGGCTTGGCTGGTAACACGTCGTCTTCCCGCTCCCGATGGCTGTTCATTCAAGGCTCGGTCAGCCCCAAAAGACACTTGCCTTGTACGTAAGATTCGGGTTTGCATGCATCATCATGTACTTACCTACATATGTGGTTATCCCATTGCAAGTTCGGTCACCACTCAACTTGTACAACGTGGATCATTCCGGTTCGGTACGGGTCCCGGGAGGGGAGGCATTTGGCATTCTAGCGCAGTTTGAACCCCTAATTGCGATGCCCACATCGGCTCCGGGGGCACGACAAGCCCACCCCAGTCGCGAATCAAGCATTGGAAAGCTACCTAGGTACCTACTTGTACAGGCGCGCGTCTACTGGCGACCAACCAGCGCCCACCGGGTCCACCACATCTGCCCAATCACAGCACACCTTGTTTAGGTACCCTGAAATTTTACATGAATCTTCAAATCTTGACCTGCAGCAGGTCTTGATATTGGACGAACCACACACAGTTCACAGAGTATCCCTTCCGGGTGACGAGCAGGATTCTGTTACGTGGTGTTGGCTCTGGGCTGTTTCATCCTGCAATTTCAACATGCCGCCTTCCGCTCTCAGGGCGCAGAGCCTTCGGACCTCTGTCGATCCATTGGCTTCATCCGAGTCTTCATCCGAGGCCGAGGACAGTGCGGCTGGGTTTGACTCGGACGAGTCCGACTATCTTGACAGCGAGAAGCCCCGCAAGAAGCAGAGAGTGTCTCCTGTCCACAAATCTGCTCATGAAGATGAGATCAGCGAACCCGAGGATCAGGATGACGACGACGACGCAGATGAAGAAGTGAAGAGAATCGTCTCCTCTATCAACGTCCCCTCTCGCATCAAACGCAAGGCTGAGCAGGCCGCGCCTACGGATCGTACAGTGAAGCCTTCCACTGCAATCTCTGTACCGACAGATGCCGACACCACGTTCGACTCGCTGAATGTTCATCCATGGCTTGTGCAGTCCTTGGCCAACATGGCCATCAAGCGTCCTACCGGCATCCAGAAGAGCACCATCCCCGAGATCCTCAAGGGCCGTGACTGTATCGGTGGCAGCCGTACCGGTTCCGGTAAAACAGTATCTTTCGCCGTGCCCATTCTGCAGAAGTGGGCTTCTGACCCTTCGGCCATCTTTGCAGTCGTTCTGACCCCAACCCGGTAAGTCAACCAGGCAGAAGGATTGACCAAGTTTGTTCCTTTTTAACACATTATATAGTGAGCTGGCTTTGCAAATTTACGAGCAGTTCAAAGCGATCTCAGCACCGCAGTCTTTGAAGGCAATCCTTGTCACTGGTGGTGCCGACATGAGGGCACAGGCGATCGCGTTGGCTCAACGGCCGCACGTAGTCATTGCTACGCCGGGAAGGCTGGCTGACCACATCCGGTCATCCGGCGAGGATACCATCTGCGGTCTGAGGAGAGTTCGTTTCGTCGTTCTCGACGAGGCAGACCGTCTTCTCGCAGCCAATGGGCCGGGCAGCATGCTCCCGGATGTGGAGGAGTGCCTCGGTGTTCTCCCACCCGCGTCAAAGAGACAAACTCTCCTCTTCACAGCCACAATCACGCCCGAGGTTCGCGCTCTCAAGGACATGCCCAGAACTCCTGGCAAGCCCCCGGTCTTTATCTCGGAGGTGGACACGCAAGCCCTTGCCATCCCGGCCACCCTCAAGCAGATGCATATCCAGGTGCCCGTCACGCATCGGGAGCACTATCTCCACTGTTTTCTCCTCACCGACGCCAACGTCGACAAGTCCACCATCATCTTCTGCAACCGCACCTCTACCGCAGAGTATCTACACCACCTGCTTCGCCTCCTAGACCACCGAGTGACCTCTCTGCACTCCAAGCTGCCGCAGCGACAGCGCATCGACAATCTCGGGCGCTTCCGGGCCTCCGCGGCTCGCATTCTCGTGGCTACCGATGTCGCTGCTCGAGGCCTCGACATCCCCGAAGTCAGCATGGTCATCAATTACGACATCCCCCGAGATCCGGACGACTACATCCACCGCGTCGGCCGTACGGCGCGTGCCGGACGCAAAGGTGACGCGGTGACGTTCGTCGGCCAGAGGGATGTGCAGCTGGTCCTGGCGATCGAGGCGAGGGTGGGCAGGCCGCTCGAGGCCTGGGAGGAGGAGGGCGTCAACCTGGAGACGAGGGTTGTCCGCGACGCTCTCAAGCTCGTGGGCGAGAAGAAGCGGGAGGCAATGCTGGAAATCGAGGAGAATAGAGAGGTGGGCGGGAAGCGGAAGAGGGGGAAGCAGAAGCTGAGAGCTTGATAGTCTGCTCCCCCCGTCTGTCTGACTTGCGATCTTGTAAGATATGCATCCTACCAGCTATTGGCAGGCAACCAGGGACTCGCATTGGTCTTTGGAGGGCTACCTCTCCAGCCACGGCGAAGAAAGGGCAAGTGGGCGTGCTGTGCCCGAGGGAAGGCCGCTCACCTCTTCATTGCACTGCATACCCGGGTGCCGAGATACTGCAAGGGACCTGCTGCGCGTACTGAATATGGAGGCTGTATCGTGCCCCCTGGACTTGTCGCTCGATGTACGGGACAGGGCCGATCTCATTCCTGACGACATAATCCAGCGTGAACAGATTCGTTAAAACGAGATAGAGCTTAAAATACAGATGAATGCCTGTCCGTCAATGGCAATAGCTGTCTAGAATCTGTATTTGGTTAACAATCAATCGTTTGATCCTCCAAGGGATCATGTTTGCCTCCTTTTAGACATAGACTTTGTTTGCATGCCGGTCATGTCCCCCTTGAAGATAATCAAACTCTTTGCCCTATCCATTTCTGCCTCTCCTACTGAGCTGGACGAGGCCGCAGTCCAGAGAAGCACAGATGCGAACAAGATCTGAGGAAACATGAAGGATTCGATGCCGAACCCCAGAGACGCTGGTATAGACCCCGGCACAGACCCTCTCGCAGCGATGTCGAGATCTCTGCCTTACGGTACTTGATCGAGGTTGTAAATCAAGTAGCCAAGAACCTCGCCGAACGGGCTCAGGATTACGGATCCGTCATACATCGAGCACAAGAAGTCCGTGACAAGTTCGAAGCAGCACGAAACAGACTACTCAAGCCCTGAGTTCCAAGATAGACGATCGGCTGGGTTCCTTCAGCGATTATTGCAAGCCGTCACTGGCGAGGACCGGAGGAACATTGATCACTGGTCAATAATGCGCCTGGTAGAGCGAGATCGTTCCATTATTGAGGATTTCCCCGCCACGTTTGACTTCTTGTGGAGTGAGTACATGCGTTTCCAACTGGAAACGGACGAGTTCTACTACGACGAGCCCAATGCGGCCGTGGATGCGTTGAGGGGGAAGTTAACTCCGGTGCTAGGCGTTTTCTTAATTTTGGACGAGGAGCGAGAAAGGAGGAAAAAGCTCTCTCACATGGGCAAGGTATTCTAGGAGGCTCCCAATGGCTCAGCTGCGCTGAAGGAGCCGTCCAATTTCGAGGCGTCACGAACCAACCCGGACGCCTTTCGGGAAGACTTCCGCCGGGTGCGGGCCGAGTCCCGGCTCGAGACGGCCATGCACCAGCGCTACTTTCTGGTCTGCAAGCCGGATGGCATGGTCAAGGAGAGAACTGCTTGAGGCGTTACATCAAGGACTGACGTATGAGAGAAGCTGACTCAAATAACCAGACGACACTGCACTGGAATTTGTACTTGAGGAGGCTGTATGCGAGACTGGAGGGACGAAACGTTCAACCTGAAGGAGGCGTGGATGGAGATGCAAAAGCGAGGGCCTGGAGAGTCCGCGCGAGATCTCCTCTATCAAAACTCACCGACCAGATCTGGGTCTACAATCCCTGGATATTCCTTTTACCATCCAGCATTGAAGCATGCGAGATTGTTGTGCAGCAGGAGGATCGATCTCTATCAATGAGATGGCGTCCTGCTTTGGCGCTTGGAGTTTCGAGTCATCTGTATGTAGTTGGCTCGACGATGTTAGGTCATCAATACAGCAGTTCCCACTTTGCCGCACATGAAAGGCGGCAGCCCGAATCAACATCCGTCTGATCCGCCCTTGAGGAAACGCATCGGCATCAAACGGATATCAGGAGTTAAGTCTAAATTTGAGTGACGCAGCTAATCCTGGATGGAAGAGCAAGTATTCTGTACATCTGCCCGGCCAGCACAGGAGGAGTCTCCGCGGAGGCGACGGCGACCAGCGTAGCATTGCAGCTTTAGCAGGGCTGAACAATGTAAGCTTTCTGTCAGTGATACCGCCCATGGCAACGGACTGTGATGGTGTCTCCAGTATACCGATCTCGGAAACACAGGATGACCTCCAGAATCCGACGCGCACCAATTGAGTCACAAGGATTACTCTCTCTCATTGATATAGCGTCGCGGTCGAGGGACGAGCCCGGACCAGGGTCGGAAGGCCGAGACACAACGAAATGCCGCAAGAGCTGGCCCGGCACCACCCTGGTAAATGCCTCGCGCTCCAGACATCACATGGACAATTTGGCCATGTATCAAGCCTAATACCCCCCGCAAACCATTGTGGGAAGGCTTCGAGAAGGCGGGATTCCGAGAATGCGACGAGGGACGATCAAAAAGTGTCAGCTGAGCCCTTGACATCCGATATTTTCCTCTTGAACCCCCGCGCGTTCGCCCTGGACGATCCACACCTCCGGGATGCCGGTGCTTCCCGCCAAACGTACGGAACCTGCTTCCAACCCTAATTCGTCCCCTCTTTCCTCCTCCATTGGGCCTGGTTCATGTCGCGCAAGGCAAGGCAGGCCCTGTGAAAACGGGCAGGGTGCTCCACTTTACCGAGCTTCCCGGACGAAAGTGGGGCCTTAACTCGGCGACAAACGGACGGGTTGATGGGTTGGTGTCGGGAAACACATCTCATTCGTCATGGTTTGCTCATTCGTTGCTAGAGAACGTCAAAAATGGGCCCGAAGTCGGAGAGGTTCTCAATCCCGATGTCCGTTTTCTTTGAAACGGATTGCCATGGGGCAACGATGAGAATGACGGCAGCATTTCAATGACACTAGACGAGCTGCTGTCGTGCTCGACATTGGGCAGAGTGGCCGTGTCCATTGGTCCTGGGGTTCGCGAGAAGGGATGGCATGCTCTGTGCATACAAGACTAAGAGAGAGTGTGTTATTGCACTCAGTCACCGATAGAGCGGCAGCCCTCTCGTGTAAGTGCATTGGAATGCGCGGTGCCATACCTACCACCACGGGCGCGTATCTCGTATGCAACCGAATACGCAATCAATATAGTCCAACCTGCCGTGCGAGATGCCTTGCAAGTGCGCGCTGCTGTGCTCAGCCCACCAGGTAAAGCAATTTCAACACACAGTGGGAAACGAAGCATGCTACGTTGCCTTTGCGGCGCACGAAACGAGTACGATGGCTTGGGGTGTATGTACACATAAGCAGGACCCGACGCTGCTCGGCGACTGGAAAGGGGATGACGTCCTGCAACGGGATTCGTGTTTGCCTGTGGCGCAGACAAGGACTGGGGGAAATTGCAGGTGGTTTTCAATTGAGTGGTGCCTGGCGCCTAACAATTTTTTTCCAAAACAGCGATCATCAGCCCTACAGATCCATGATGGAGCTGCTTGGTTGGCTCCATTGAAGATCCGCACCCCGTCGGCCTGATGTTTGCTCCTTCGCTCGCACTCGCGAACCTGAACGGAGCTCGCCAACTGGCCAGTCAGATGGCTCCGCTCCCTACTTACTTTACGGCCCCACGTATTTCGCACCCGCACTCTCTTTTCTCTGTCTCGTTAGCCTAAAAAGTTATGCGACACCGAGATTGAAGCTCACTACATTGCCTAGCATGCGTCCGTTATGAGGCTGTGCACCAGGGGAGCATGGGGGACCGGACCGCATTCGTATCTCGAATACGCGGAAGCCGCGTCAAACACCACAAAGGGAGAGAAGAGAAAACATGGCCAGATTCGGTGCCGGGCTGGATCAGACCATGCAGCACAGGAGACCTGGTTCGTTCTGTGTCACGTCGGACCCGACTGCTTTGTCCTGGGGGGATCCGTTGCAAAACTTCCTGATAGGCAAAAAGTTGCTGATTGATTCGTGCGGCCCCCAGGACTCGTCCAATTCTCGGCGGGGTTTCGTGGTGCGCGGTCGGGAGTTGCGTCGCGCCCGCGGGGTCCCGGCCCAACCCACCGGGCAAACGTAGGTACCTAGGTAAGTAGGCAACAGGGAAGAAAAACAGCCACAATGCTCCGTAGCAACAGGTTGAACTCGGCATGGTTTGGGCGATCTGTCTCGAACAAACGTGGAAATGTCTGATGTGGGCCCGAAACGCGCAGCTCTGCGTCGTCGCCGACTTGGTCGGACATGCGATGATTGCGAAACACCTCCTCTGGATGGCAGGATGGCAGGATGGCAGGATGGCAGACGAGGGCGGACTTTGCCCCGTCTGCTGAAACGTCGCAATTGACGAGTACATGCACGATGGGAATTGAATTGTTGAACTTGATAAACATGCAGGGCGGCGGTGGTTGACTCAACAAAGCTGGCGGTCTGCCAGTTGGCGGTGAGCATAACACGCAGGCATCTAACTACCGTCAGGCACAGGGGATACCTTAGGTACCTGGCATACGAGCTACGGAGCAAGGGCGTGTACGGAGTGTGTGCAATTAGAGAATTAAGGTAGGTAGGTGCTCAAACTCCGAGGGGAGAGCACTTCCAATCCCTGCTGTGGCTCGGTACCTAATCAACAAGAACATGCCTCCCCTGACTGAGTAATCAACGTGGGGTAGAGTAATGGTTGGAAATAAGGAGGACAATATGCGACGAAACAATAGGTTGCTCCGCGGAGAGCGTATAGGCATTGAGCACTTGCGAAGAAGCATTGCCTACCCTAAGGTCGCTAGCATCATTGCCTAGCATTGGCGTCGTGCATTTGTCAATCGGGCTTATGAATCATAGGTCGACGCTCGATAGTGAGGTGCGTGTGCCCCGTCGCGCGTGTCAGCAAATCAATGTCGACATGTCGTAGAAGCCGGCCGCGACAGGTGCCAGCTCATCAGTCCGGCGGAGGTGACGGCGGTTCAGGGCTGAGACAGCACAGACGCGGACAGGACAGGGACAGGGCCCGGCGAACAAAAAGGATCAATTACGATTACGCTCCCGTCTTCCTTGGTCCTGTTCTGAATTGGGCATTATACTGGTTTGGCAAGGGACTTTAGTGGGAATAAATCCGTGACGTTTTGCATTCGTGGTTAAAGGGAGTTTTGCGTGCTTGTCGCCGAAGATGAACGGGAAGGTTACGCTGGGACGGTAATATCTGCACGACGCGGCGTTATGGGCTCTGACTACCTCCGATCCCTCGTTAGAATGACTGGTGCTCTGCATCGACGGGTTGATTAATGATCAATACGCCGCAAAACTCTGTCTGAATCAGAGACACTGGCTGTGGTCTGGTCTGGGCGGCTGGCCCAAGTACCTAAGGTACCTACCTAGGTAGCCAAAACGTGGTGACAAATGACTAAGAACGACGAGTCGAAGGGTCCCGAAAGCGAGGGAGCGAGACAGAAGCGCACGCCAGGGTGGGTCTGCCTGGCCTGGTCTGGTCCTGCGGGCGCGCGCTCCTCGGAGACATGCTGAAGGCCGGAGGTAACTTTCGTGGCTAGCAGCTAAGGCAGTGCGTGTCTGCGTCTGGTGCTGACAAGTCAGTCCTTCCAGGGAAGTCAGGGTACGTCAGCCAGCCGGCTTTGAGCCCTTCGGGGCTGTGGGCGCCCGGGGCGCGGGTTTCGTGTACAAAGTACTTCCCGAAACGAAAGCGAGCGAGCGCGAGATGACCAGCCTGACAAGCCTTACGCCCAAGCCCCCGCTCAATCATTCTGATCCTGATCCGTCATCCATCCGCCCCGGCCGGACATATGCGAAAATACGGTGAATTGGGTCTGTTCCCATCTTTGACCACGATGATAGTTAAAAGAATGCCTCTCTCCCCCCCTCCATCCCGACCCATCAGCCTTCCCGTTCATGATTCCCCTCCAGACTTCACCACTCGAACAAACAAACCCAGAGACTCATTGCTGGCCTGAAGAACGTCTTGCTTTGCATTGACACACTGTTGAGACCACCTATCCAAGTGAATCAACTCACACTCGACACCGATACTACTTACTGCCTATTGCGACATTGCGACTTTTCACATTCACATTCACAACGCAGATTCGCAATCGACGCTATCGCCGTATTACTCATTCGCAACGGGATTTCAAATTCGACCCAGCGGACGAGCCCCACTAGCCAAGCCAAAATCCAGCACGCTGGACCAGTGGAAAACCCAGTCATCGCCCACCACGCTATCGACACACCCTCCTTCCGGGATCGGGTCTGCTGCCTTGAGTCACACACTCCAGATAGCCCAGGCATCTCACAATAGCTCAAAAGAGCCTTGACAGCCGCCCAACGCAAAAACTCCAAACATGACTTCCATCCTCTCATCACCAACCGTAACAACAGTCCAGTCTGTCAAGACTGCCCCCGCCGCCCCTGCCTCACCACTGCTCGCCTCCCAGTACAAGCGCAAGACCATGAGCATCACGCAGACCTACTACCTGGCCCACAAGGCCCGCGGCAAGCTCTCCTCGGAGGCTGCCCGCCCCGACCACAACCTCCGCCTGCTCGTCGGCCACGCCAACCTCCTCGACTCCCTCATGCTCGAGCTCGCCGATGCCGAGCGGGAACAGGAGTCGTGGTTCAACCAGTCCGTGCGCGGCGCCTCCCCCAAGGCCGACGACCGCCACGTGCAGTGGGCCGACACCGTCGTCGAGGACCCCGAGGAGGACTGGCAGGCCGAGGACGCCGACTCGGACTCGTCTTCCGACTCGGACAGCGACATCAGCGAGGACGAGGAGGACGACATCGAGATGGTCGATGTCATCCCCCTGACCCGGGTCCCGTCCAAGACCCTGGCCTCGCCCACCCCCATCCTGGTGGACGACTTTGAGGACGACGACGATGAGGAGGAGGACTTTGCGTCTCTGACCCTGACGAGATCGCCGTCACACTCAGCACACCCGCCAGAGCTCGACCACGACTCGGACTTCTCAGAAGACGAGTCGATGCCTCCTTCACCGCCCACCACCGTCCTGCCTACCTTCTCCGGCAAGCAGGAGCAAGAAGTCACGGTATCAGAAAAGACCTTCTACGACGACGGATATTACCTACCGGCCCGAAATCCCGCGAGGCTGGTCTCGGCGATATCAGTGTACTAGACGTGCCTGGCCTCAGCAGCAATACCCACTGCTTTGCTATTGACTTCTTGCATCATGGGCGGCGTTCTACAGCAGAGATACCACATTTGATTTTTTTTTTCCTTTTTCAACGACGGGATTATAGAAAAAGCAGAGCGATTTGGAATTCACACGAGAGCGATGATTGATTCTCGCATTTGCAGCATCAAAGCAAATACCACAACAACCACCACCACTCAGTTTCTTTATTTCTCTTCTGGAAGGACACGGAGCTTCACCCCAAACATGGGGGGAAGCAATTGGAGGAAGGACCATTGGTCACGATTTCGCTCCCTGGTAACGCCCTGCTACACCACAATGCGGGCGCTACACAAAGGTTTTGAGTGATGGATGACACGGGATGACTACGCTCTTGACAGGCGATCATCAATCAGCTTAGCTCAGCGAGAGGAGAAACATCAATATTACGAAGAAGAAAAAACATTTCAAACAAAACAATTAAAGCTTATCCGCCTTCTCAATGCAGTGCAATCGTGAGTGAATGACGAACAAATGAAAGACGGTGACCAGCACCCGCATTCCGATCTCGTGCCCGAAAACTCTCTGGCCCGATCTCGCTGATCATGACGCCCTCTTGATTCACGATGGTCTGAACCTTGAGCTGGGCCCGAGCGAAGGTGCATGTGCCGGAATCGGCGGACTTTGTGGAAGCGACCGGACCCGAGGTGGGTAACTAACAAAAAAAGTCCATGACAGTGACAGCGTCTAACAAGCCGGTGTATGAATCATCCCAAGCTACCTACCTACATTCCAGCAGCAACACACCAATGAAATTTCTGCGACGCCCTGCACCCCCTCCCTTTTCGGGCAGGAGGGGCATTTCCCGTTCGTTTCTTCAATTGACAATCTATCAAAACCACTCAATCGAAAGCAAAGCAGCGGGACGACCCTCGTGCATACGGAGTACTGATATGGATCATTCGCATCGAAGCGTGCAATTTGTCTCTTGACCAACGCCTGTCGTCGCCGAGGTATTCAAATCGAACCCCGGCTCCTTTTCCCAGCCAAAGCGGTCGGGCGGGAAGGGATTCAATCATCGCCGACCGACCGGGCGGGTGGAGCAATGAAGAAAGGGTGGGTGTGTCGCTATCGCCCGCCTGATTAACTAAGAAAACCCTGGATGACCAAAGCAGGGCTCAGATGACCAATCCCGCAGGGGCACGCCCTTTGCTTTCGTCAGCCATTCTCATTGGGCCGGCCTTGGCGGCTCTCTCGGGAGTCATAAGCGAGCGATGATCCTGGGGCCTGCCACACTCCCTTTTCGCACCTCGGCGAATAAGACGGTGCCGTGGCGGCGCGCGGCGTCCGTTCTGCCAAGGCGCGCCCGCCAGGGTTCTTTTCCCACGTCCAAGTACTGTAGGGGTGCTGGCCGCCGGAGACATTTACGGGGCCTTTTACCTTCTCTACTTGTCCATCTGATACCATCATGAAGTTTAGGAGGCGCACGTACGTCTCAAGTAGAAAATGCGCCCATGTTTTCGTACGATGCTTTTTTCTGGGGGAAACTTCTCCACCTGCTCTGATTGATTCCAAAGAGACCCCTCAAAGTCCGGGACGAGGCAAGCGGCTTTTAATGGGAAAGGGAGACAGAAGCCGATGTACCTAGGCAAAGGCGGTGACCCTTTTTGGGGCTGCCTACGAAGTCGGTGAACACGACAGATTGCGGCGGGGAAGGAGGGTGTGTCGCAATCAAATTATTATGTCAGCCTGGCGGGTGATGTTCCTACGGTACCTCCTTGGCGGCCCTCAACTGTGTGTATGCTTTGTTGGCCCTGCGGCGGTGCTACAAGTACAGCCCAACATCCGCAGCAAGTCAATGCAAGCATGTATGCATGCATGCACGGATGCAGCAAATGTGTACGGTACGGTATGCGATGTACCGCTGCGCCCGACGATGCCGCCGCCGTTTCCTCCGCCGGTCCCGTCAGCGCTGGGCGTAGAAAGGCGGGAACTTTTTTTTGTCTCTTTTTCTGCTCGCGGCTACTACCACGGGGACGAAAATGCGACAAAGGGGGGGAAATGCAAACCACACGAAACAAGAAAGAAAAGGCGTATCACCTGCATTCCCCGGAGGGCGGATATGCCAAACATCAATTGCCTATCTACGCATCCGTGAACTTCCTACCGACAAAGTCCCTATTTCGTCCGTTGTCCTGCGACTTGCGCGCGCGCGTGCTCGTAAATCCGTCTGGTTGGTGGAGATACCAAGACAACTGATAAGATCAAGTGATCGATGGTCAAATGGTGCACTGGACAAGCTACAAAGACAAGTACAGTGGATGGTTGTTTCATCTACTGCACGATAAGATAGCCGTTCCCCATACAGACACCCCCCCTTCCTTCCACTCGGATCGCAGTCAGACCCCAAGACCCTTGATCACCAGCACTCTGTGTTCACGACAGAGCAAAAAGGACACCAGCCAAAGAACGAACCCCGCTTGTCAGTCAGAGCCTGTAAGACAGATCCTGAGTGCAGCTTGCCTCCTCACCGATCTCACGAGCCTAATTATCCCTCTTTTTGAATTCAGTAGAGTGTCTCACCTTCAGCGCAGAACAGACTCGCTTGTCCTGACTCGACTCACCCTTAGGATGATCGATCCTCCCCACGCGAGCTCTGATTGGCGCACTCACCGAGCACTGCAACATCTCGATGGTCAATGGGCCAGACCTTTGCGGGCTGTCCCCCACAGGCCCTTCCTTACTCGTTGGAGTCGGCAGTCGCCGAGATCCTCTTGGCCCTTTGGCACTTGATGTTGAAGAGGCTCCAAGACACTTGGACGCTGAAACCTCAACATGTCCATCCACATCCTGGACTAACAAAGCAGCCTCTCGCTTGTGAGTCAGCCAGAACTCTACCGAATCTACCTATCGGCGAGCATTCCTTCGCCCACATGTGGGTGAACAGCCCGAGTGTCTGGACCCCTAACCTCAAGAGGAACGGTTTTGGCAGACACGGCAGGTAGGGTCAACTCAACTGCCAGCCATGGTTGAGATGAGTCCGGCTGGCTTGCTGCAACGCGTGGCAGACGGCACATCCAGAGTCCCAGGAATTTGGTACGGCCCTGGTTCTACACAACGTTCCTGCAGCCACGGTAAGCTAGCAACCTATCAGGTGCCTGCTTCTTGGGCATCATGTCAATGGCTTTGGTTGGGTTCGGCCACAAGTTCTTTGCAAGTCAGCCACAGAGCATGCAGTCTTTGTGTGTCCTCTGTCCTTGTACTTGTATAGGCACAATGCACGTGTTGTGGACTTGTGTTGGCCCTTGCCTCGAGACGCAAGCTCTTGTCTCCTTGCCGCGTTCCAGCGTCCACGCCACACTCCAGTGCCAGTCACGATAGCTTGCACAGTGAGGAATGGGGGACAAGCCACCCAGCCACTCTCACCTGTCAGTCTCGATAACCTTGAATTTAGAGACAAGCCACTCTGCACCCTTCTAGTCAAGCAAGACATGCCATGCTGGGCTCGATCAACTGCTGTGTTGCAGGAGAGCTCAGACCATTGTCGTTGAAAAGCCACGATCTCGAGCAGACCCTCTTAGGTAGTCGTTCACATCGTGGAGATTGGTAGGAATCTGTAAACGCATGGCCATCCGCTACTCATTACCAGCTCGCTGGACCCATGTGGCTTTGAGCCGTGTCCACCTCAGCTCTGAATCCCACGATCATGTTGGCGATGCCTGACCAGAGAGAGGGCAAATGTGGGTTAAATGTTCGGGACCGAAGCTCTGGGGCCGCCAGGGAAGCTTAACACGCTTCAAGTGATCGATCTGGACCGCCCTGTTACGGCAAGCACCTTACAGATATTGAACTTTGACATCGTGGGACTGGCTGTTGTCTCGATGCAGGGGAGGCGAGAGACATGGACCCTCCAGACAGCGGCGATTGTCCCAAAGGAGCATGGTGGCGAGTATCCAGCTGGCCGGGACGCGGGCTGAAAACTCTAAATGGGCTTGCTGAAGTGCTCGACCCCGGCAGGCTACTTGGTTGAAGACAGAGGATGGTCTCAGATGAGTGACATAGTACGAGAGAAATAATAAGAACAACATCTCGTCAAGACGGAATGCCCGACAGTCATGTCTCTCATTCGATCGCATCCCTTCGATCCCCCATTTTGGCGAGGTAATTGGACATGCCATGACTGGAAGGGTACACCCGGGGCTGACTTCAGGTTCGGGGTTATGCTATTGACTCTGTTCGGACAATTCGGGGTTGTGCTCTCGGCCGCAACTGACACGCGAGAAGTGGAGTTTGGGGGAGCTGAGATGCTGGGACGCGAGCTACACCTGTTTCGTCGATGCGAGGCGTTCAAAGCGTTCTCTGAGTGCCGATGGGGTGTGGTGAGTCTAGACTTTTGGTGGAGATCGCAAGGTTTTGGTGGCAGTGAAAGGTACATTGTTGATGTACTTCGGCACGCGGAGCGTCGGCACTTGGCAAACACCGACCGACCGCGAAAAGTACCCGCCATGCTGCATGCTGGGACCAAAAAAATCGAGACTCTGCAAAGTCCGTAACATCCGCCCGTTTGCTGGCCTGTACGTCATTACTCACTCTCCAGGTGCAAACGGGGTCTCAGCCACAACACACCCGGATCTGGCCTTTGATACCGAAGGATCATCGGGCTGTTTGGGTGCTCCGAGAAGAGGGCAGCAGCAAGGCCCCCTACTTGCATTGCCTGAGAAGGACTTTGCTGGATTCCGTCATACACCGGACACTCCCCTACTACCTGGCCACACACCCTTTGATATTGTCCGTCGGTCATGCAGCCCGCACGACTCGCGGTAGGCCGCCGTGCTCTCGCGGCCGCCGGCCCCTCCTATGTCTGCCAGAGCTGCCGGGCCGCCCGCAGCGGCGGCATCTCGACCCGGCGACCGTACAGCAGCGCATCCCACCCCCCGGCGCCCGCCGCTGGCGCCGCATACCCACCCGCCTCCGGCGTCGCCGCCCTGCCCTCCCGGCGCCTGATCTCCGTCTCCGGGCCCGACGCCGCCAGCTACCTCCAGGGCGTCGTCACGCGCAGCACCACCGACCAGCGGGGCCACCCCGTCGACCTCGGCTCGGGCGTCTACGGCGCCTTCCTCAACCCGCAGGGCCGCGTCCTGCACGACGTCTTCATCTACCCGGACACCCTCCTCCACCGGGACGCCGCCGGCGGCGGCAGCTCGTACCTGATCGAAGTCGACGCCGACCAGGTCGACCTGCTGCAGCGCAACATCAGGCGCTACAAGCTGCGCGCCAAGTTCGCCGTCCGCGCCGTCGCGCCGGACGAGGTCGCCGTCTGGCACGCCTGGGACGACGGCGCCGCCTCCTCGGGCACCAGCAGCGCGGCCGCCGCCCTGCTCTCCCACGCGCACCTCGGCCCGGACGAGCTGCGCCACCCGGACGCCCGCGCCCCGGGCCTGGGCCAGCGCGTCCTGACCGCCCGCGCCGCCCGCCCGCGCCTCGACCTGCCCGACGCCGGCGAGCAGGCCTACGCCGTGCGCCGCTACCTGCGCGGCGTCGCCGAGGGCCAGGACGAGCTGCCGCGCGAGTCGGCCCTGCCGCACGAGTCCAACATGGACGTCATGGGCGGCGTCGACTGGCACAAGGGCTGCTACGTCGGCCAGGAGCTGACCATCCGCACCCGCCACCGGGGTGTCGTGCGCAAGCGCGTCCTGCCCTGCGCCATCTACGACGAGCACGCCGCCGCGCCCGCCGCGCTGGCCTACCACCACCCCCTCTCCTCGTCGTCGCCCACTGCGGGCTCGGGAACGGCAGCAGACAACGGCAACGACCAGGGTGCCGCCGCCGCCGCCGCCGTCGCGGCAGAGGAGGTGCCGTGCGGCACGAGCATCGGGCGCGTCGGCAAGAAGGGCCGCAGCGCCGGCAAGTGGCTCAAGGGCGTCGGCAACGTCGGCCTCGCGCTGTGCCGCCTCGAGGTCATGACCGACGTCGAGCTGCCCGGCGAGACGGCCGCGTCGGGCGCCTACGACCCCTCGGGCGAGTTCGTCATGCACATGGGCGGCGAGGACCAGGAGAGCCGCTCGGTCAGGATCAAGGCCTTTGTGCCCGACTGGCTGCGCAGCGGCCTGCAGGCGCAGGCCATCCGGTAAATAAAAAAAGAAATTGTCCAAGACATGCTTTGCCGGTTGATGCCACTCGTATACGTAACGTACCTACCCGACCTACCTAATGAACATTGTACAATATCAGATCAAAGGTCCTCCTCATCGTCGTTTCCACTGCTATGATACACACCTAGCGCATGGTGAGATTTCCTCAGCATCGGGGTAGTCCATGGATGGATGCGTCAGACTAGATCACCAAGACATAGAAATCACCAACAACATATGAAATAGGGTATTTATTGTACAATGCTTCGCAGTCATATTCTCAAAGTACTAATCAGCTATGGTCGTGCTGTAAGTAAGAGATTCCATGCAGAGGGTATCTACTCTAGAACGATGCTCATCCAGAGATGCAACTCGTGAACGCCACCAGCCATGAATAATGCGAACCCAGAGCCACAGCAGAGAATCCACCCTAGAAAACATAGGGGAAATAGAAAGAGTGCGAATATCTGCAAATGTCGAATAATCGTGAAGTGTGCTGAAGGGGAATCAATATTACAGTGGGGGAATCAGTGGGAAACTAGGGTGTAACAGAGGTGGGGTGATCAGGGGATTTGGGGAAAAGGGTGCAGTGATTGGGGATCATAGATGCCTTGACCTTATCAAGGATGCGAACAGGCCAGCTTCAGTCTGCATCTTGGACCAACGGAGGAACTCTAAGAAGATGCCGGGGCGCGTTGCCAGTGAAGATACAACTGCAATTCCTCGTTGTTTCCATACAAAAGACCGATGGCTCTTAATGGTGCTTGGAATCAGAACCGCGACGCTCGTTGGTTTCAAGGCTGGGAGATTTGGTATCACGGCTCTTGAAAAACTCCTTGACAGGCCAGTTTTTGGCCATCGCCTCGCGCATGCAGATGGTTGCGTAGTTGCTCGAGTTGAGACGAATGTTGAGGACGACAGCCACCTTGTTCTGGTGATCAGGAATATCCGTGTACTTGGGAGTAAGATCCATTGTCTTATCTTTGGGACCATCCGGTGCATTGAAGAAAACGTTATCCTCCCAATGCTGAGGGGTTTGATTACCACCTGACTTCGGCTCGCAAGAGGACGCGGCGCCGGTTGGCTGCTTAGGAGGCGATGGAGCAGCAGAAGTTTGAGGAGCGTCAGCAGTTGTCTGGCCAGTCTCGGAAGGCGCGGTAGGTCCATGAAGAGGCTGGGCAGCACCAAGAGTTTGCGGCGTATCAACAGCCTTGTTGCCAGTCTCGGAAGGCTCGTCAGGTGCATGGTTGTCGGTCTCGGAAGGCTTGTCAGGTGCATGGAGAGGGAAGGGAGCGGCCGCCTGGAGTGCCTCCCTGACCTCTTTCTCCGTGGGCGGCATGTGTGTGCCGTCGGGGTTCCATCCTTGAGTCGTCTCCAGCTCGATAGTTCCCATTCCAAGAAGGTCGTAACGCACAATGTGGGGCGGAGCGACTCCCGGAGTAAAGAACTTGGCAGGGGCTCCAGTAACCAAAGGAGGCTCTTTGGTGGCTGAAGAAGCTTCAGCAGTGGGGGGCGCTTGGGTAGCAGGAGCCTCTTGGGGAGCACGAGCTTCGGTATCCTCCTTGCCCTGGATCGTGCTCATGACTGGGGGTTGGTCAACTTTCATCCGCTTGCTGCCACCGTCAAGAGTCGTCTCGATCCACTTGTCATTAATACGCTTCTCGGGCGGCTCGGCCGATGACTCCATGGCCCGTCGGCGGCGTCGCTCGTCGGCAAGCTCATCATCGTGCTTACCCGGGTCGGCAGCGAGATTGCGCCAGGCAGAAGCCGCATCTTTCTCCTCCTGGTTCGTGGGAGTCTCCTGGTTCGCGGGGGTCTCCTGGTTCGCGGGGGTCTCCTTGGCCTTTTGGAGGAGGCGGAGCATGTCGAGATCCGTCGGGTGCATCTGCTCGCTGTCGTCCGAGTAAGGACGAACATAGAACTTGGGGGCGGCGGTGAATCGCGCGACCAGCTTGCGGTAGTGTCCACTAAGACTAAACTCTCGCTGTCGGCGTCGCATCTGGTATGGATCGAGACCTCCGTTCTCCTCGCGACCCATGAAATCGGAATAGTAGTCGGCGACCTCGTTCTCCGGATACAAAACATCATAGCCGGGCACAGGGAGGACAACATCGAAGATGGTGTACTGGCCACTCGAGAGGTCGTGTGCAGTCAAGGCGCGAGCTGACTGGTAATACTCCTCTTCATCGCGGTCTGGCTCCTCGCCCATGTAAGTCGCCGGGTCGCAGGCATGGGCGATGTCTGACTGGGTCGTCTGCAGGATCAGATCGCCTACGAGCACCTCGTTGCCGTACTTCTCCCAACGACGAGTGACAACCCAGTTCCAGACGTAGGACTGGTAAGCATGGATGTAGAGGTTGCGAAGTCCGCGAGTGATCTGGAGGATGGCTCCGCAGTAGTCATGTCGGGTCTCGGGGCTGCGGCCCAAGTGACGAATGATGCAAGACTCCGCGCCGAATCGCTTTGGGAGAACCTTCAAGGCGGCGGCGACGTCACCGCTCATCTTCCAGATAGTGAGGGCGCGAGCTCGATTGATCTCATCACGATGGTGAACACTCTCGAGTTGCTCCACGTTCTGCTGATTGTCGATGAAGCAAGCATCAACATGCAGAAGAGCTTCGACCGCGCTCTCGAAGTTGCCTCGCAGGATGCGCTGACCGATATCTTGAGTACCGATGGTATGGGTTCCGAAACGCTGCAGTCCGAAGTAGTTGATGAAACCATTCTTGAGGATCGCATCCAGAGAAAGCTGGACCAACTCTTGGGTGTGAGAAATACGGCGAGACATGTCAGCCTTGTCCCAGTTCGTGATGTCGACCTCGACGTTCTTGATCACGATGATAAACTCATTGCCACCATGTTGACCGAGCGAAATTGGCTTCGGATGGTAGCGGAAGTCGCCAACCTTGATGGCAGGGTTTCGAGCATTGAGCCAGTTGAGATTCTCGATTTTCTGCTTGAAAACGCTCACACGCTGCGTGGTAGCAGCCCGACGGTCCTTGGTGCCGGCGAATCCGAAGGCGGAAGACTTGATCTTCAGCAATCTAGCCATCTGATTGATGGCCTCCATGGTGTCCTTGTTCTCCTTGTACATAGTGAAGTGGAGATATTCACCGCCCTGCCGCATGTTGGAGTAGCCACCGGTGTTATTGGCATATTGCCGGCCTCGCTGACGACCCTTGCCCTTTCGGACGGCCGTGGCAGTGATGAGGCCCGTCTTGGGATCGACTTGAGTCTCGAAACGGCCGTCGAAGATGCGGCGGATTTCCTACCAAAATCAGTGACTAGGTCAAAAATACAACTCTCGAGGGATCAAAGCGCACCTTATGAAGCCGTGCGCGCTCTTCGCGATCGCCAATGACGGCAAGAGCAACAGACGGTCCCGTGATAGGCGTGATATTCTTCATGGTAGCCGAGTAGAGCTCTCGGACATCCCGAGTCGTGGTCTCGCCAAGCAGTTGCTTCAGAATCTGGACATCGACTTCGGGGATGCCATCGCCATCGTCAGGCGTCTGAGGCTTGTGATCTTTGGTTTTCTGGGACCGATGTAAAATGGGAATCAGTTCAGATCTCTCTCAACAGCTTTGCGGTTAGGCAATCACTTGGTTGGATCGAATAGCTTACCTCAGACTCCATGACCTCCTTCATCTCCAGCAGGTGGAGGACCTGGCCTTTGCGAGTCACCTCATTGACGATGAAGTCAGTGAACCTAGTGGTGGTTTTTTTCTAGATTAGTCTGGCTGAAGTGAAACGTCTGCAGAGCTCTGCAAATTGCCACTGCAGGCCATCGAATCCAAGTGAAAAGCTAATCACTTACCGCTTGCGAACGTCACCATGCCACAAATAGTCGCCAGCTGAGGCGAAGCAGATGATACCGAGCTTGAACTCGGATTCAACGCGAACTGCAGGCAGGTAGTGCCCAGTCGGAGGGTTTTGACCCGCCATGTCGAACTCCGGCCACTCTGTGACGAAGCTGCGCTCGGAAAGCTCGTTGGTGTCGTTGGTGTCGTTGGTGTCGTTGGTGTCGTTGGTGTCGACGCTGGCGACGGAGGCGTCGTCGTCGACCACCTGGATTCAAAATTAATACAAACTCGAATCAAAAAAGAAGCGCTAGACGTTGACAAGCAGATAATCGATCGTGAAGATGCGAAGAAGGGGTTCCTCAAGAAAGCAAGTCGCCAAAGCAGCTCTTGCTCGAGTTGAGGTGGAAGTGGGAGGAGGGGCAGCTTGAGCTCGAGAGTCCAAGGGAAATAAATTGAATTTCCTTACCATGGTGGGGGGCATTGTGCCAGCCATTGCTTCGTCACCGCCTTTGACTAGTGAGGGCGGTGTCGATATCGATAAGATCTGGAGATGGTGAATTCTTGGTGCTGGCACGTGATCTGAGGGACCGTGCACAAGTTGGTTGCTCAAAGAGGAAATATCTGGAGAAATGGAGATCCCCTCATGCAAAAGGGGATCTGGGGATGATGAAGGGGCACTTCCAAGCAGCCAAAGAGGATGCTTTGAAGTTGGGTTGTTTTTGTTGGTGATGTGGTTTGAGAGAAGGAAGAAGAGTTTTGGATTTTTGGAGAGGAGCTTTATTTATTTTGGGTTTGTGGGAAAAAAGGCAAGAGCTTTGGCCGCTCTGCCATGTCGTGAGGCAACCGCGGCCTGACAATCGGGGCACCAGCTTCGACACAGAACAGGCAAGCACAAAGCCTGCAGATGCACAGGATGGATCTTGACAAGATTTCCCTTTCATGCGGTACTGCTACTAGGGTATGTACATTACTCGGTGGTTCGACTTTTCCATTGTTTGTTCCTCTCCCTGACCCTGAAAGGATTGGCTGCATGTCTCGTGGTACGAGGCTGCGATTGATCCAGACAAACAACACATCCCGGAGCCCAGCTCTCGAGTCCGGAACTTGAGGTCCATAGCCAGTCAAGCATTCAAAGCTTCGAGCGAGCTCCGATGGGGCTTCCGGTAAATATGACATCAATGTTCTCGACGAGCTTGCCGCTCTCGATCGCAGCGATCATGGACTTGACTGCTGCGCTCTGCATGTGAGCCTCCTGACCAGCAGGGTCGGCATAGCTGATTGCGCATATCAGCATGGGTGGGTGTATTCCACACGGATGAGCCGGGACAGAGAGGTGGGCAATACTTACACTTCCCGGATCACCAGCTGCTGCTTGCCGCCGTTCTTGTCCGGCAAGCCTTTTCGCAGCTCGTAGATGAGAGTGCCAGGCTCTTGCGCAACAGCCTCAGCGCATTTCTGGAACAGCTCCAAGAACTGCGACGAACAGTAAGTAAATTTACTATGGCAAAAACACCGGCACCATTTCGGGATACCTACTCGCGCCGTCTGGCCCGACCTTGGGGTGACGATGGCCGTCAGATCAATAATGGACGACATTCTGCTCGACGAACGTGGAATACAACAAAAGACGGAAATTTGAGCCAATATCACGAGTAGTAATACCTGTCTGCGTTGGCAATTATGAGAACATGCATCGCTTCTCGAGACGAGGTTCGAGGAGACGGGCTTTCTGTGATTTAAAGCCATGCCATCCCGGCGCCAAGGTGGAGAGAGTTACGGGAGTCGGAAAACCTTTGCCAGAGACCATAATAAAGCAACATACATCGTGTGGTTTTGATCCACCTGCAACTCGGCCAGACGGTTCTTAGCAACTTCGTGCGCTCGAAATACTTTATCTTAAGATATACTCTCTTAAATCATGAGGCTTAGAGCGGGCCATGAGGCTTATTAGAAAAAGGCGACATTTCGCTGACAAAACCCATGTTGGCAATCTTTCAATTACGACCTCTTCCCACCCAGATCGATGGGAATCCGATGCTCCGTGCTGAGTGCTGCTTACCGTTCAAGCATTGAACCAGATACTACCTCTGCGTCTGAGTACTTACTAGGTAGGCATTGATGCAAGGGTTGGGCCGAATGCCCGTATGTATATATGTGTAAGCTCGAAAAGCATGAGCGACCCATGATGTGACTTCTCTAGGTCCTGCTTCTTCAACTATTGGAACGCTGTTAAAACACTGCCATGGACTTGCCGACACCTACTGATGAGAAGCCAACTTTCCCTCCTGGATATGTTGGCCTTCAGAAGGCATGTCAACTGTTCGGTATCAGCACATCCTAAATACAACAAGCCACTTTCTCTCTCAGACTGTGCCTTCTCACTGTTTCGTTGAGCCAACTCCAGCCTCTGCGCAGTTATTGTGGCATCATGGGAATTGTGCGGATCTCTCGTCTGCAGTCGCAGGGCAGAACGTGGAATAACTCGCCACCCGACGATCCATTGGGCCTTGCCGAGGATGGATGGGAGTTCTTGGAATCGAATCCGAGAGACTCACTTGACGGCACTCGCAGCCCAGACATATCGCTCTTGATTGCGAAGCCTCTCACGCCGATAACTCGGCCAGGAGGTCCAGGAGATGCTGAGCTGTCTGACCGCACCTCCGGCTCGGAAATGTCCGACTCATCTGTCTCTCTGAATACCGCTATGAATATGGAGACACCGCATGACCGCGAGATCAGGTCCATTTTGGCCCTGAGCGACTCTGTTCGGGCCTCCTTGACGGAGAACCTTTCACTTGGATCCGATACCATCAGGCTTACCCAGTTTCTGAACTCAGTCCTTGCCGACGAGGTTCATGATGGCAGGTCCCTTTCATTTGATACACTACTCAAGGCTCATTTGGACAAGCTGTTGCAAGACCTGCTGGATCCGTTGAAGAAGCCAGATCCGGTACCTGGGACCATCTTTGCCGTCATGACAGCTGCAAAGAGTCTCGAGAAAAGTTGGAGAGCACGATTCAAGGAAAGATACGCCGACATCGACAAAAGGCGGCTCAGCGCTATGCTTAGCAATGGTGCCCTTCGCGATGTCACTTTTGCCGCCTTATCTGCTGACAACGTTGTCACCTGGAAGGCAAAACAAGTCACCCCAGCTTGTGAGGTAGAAGATAGCTACAAGTTCCGACCCGGACAGTAAGTCGTACCTCCGCTAGAATGTGAGTGGCTGCTGACGGAATTTTGCCCAGATGGTGGCTGAACATATCCTGTGCACATCGAGACGGCGTGGTCGATAACGATCAAGAGAAACCAACAAAGGGTAAATACGGCATTGCGGCGCTCCCGCTGCTGACGGGTGAGGAGGAAAGCCTGGAAGATAGGAAAATCAAGTACATTCGCCGAAGCCTGCACCGAGCCCAGATGCACATACCGCTCATGAGCAAGGTCGGCTGCCGTATGAGAATCTTACGGGGATATCAGCTACGGAGTCTCTTCGCCCCGATAGGTGGCGTTCGCTATGATGGCCTGTGAGTACGTCCCAGGTCCTGACTGGCGTGGACTTCCGTGAGCCTGATTGTGATAGGTATATTCTTCGACAATACGGGCTTAAGCTGGACGAATTCACCGAGCTGTATCGGCTGGAGCTGACAATGGAGAGGATCGAGAGCCAGAAGCCACTTGCGCTGTTGCAGCGCATCCCCAAACCGGCTCAGCTTGACCAGTGGACACTGTATCAGAAGTTCGAGAAGGACAAGATCACACAGATGTATGGAGAGACGAGATCAACCCAGTGGTATCTTACCAATCAGGAAGAGGAGGCAGCGCGCTCTCGCTGGCACGCAGACCACAATCCAAGCGAAGAATTCGGTGTAGACGTGTCTGCCGACAAATTCGAGCCCAAGAGACGACGGAGCCTGGTGCGACTCTCGTTGCCTGAAGACAAATGGCATGCCGCGAGGATCAAGGACCCAACTGATGAACCCACTCCTGAGCGTTAGGAAGAAATTGTCACGCACATTCTCCTTGTATAAAGTAGCAGGCGATACATGAAACTAAACATCGTATAAGAATAGATTCTATACACAGCACGGTGTGGTTGTCTGGTTGTCATCAACCAAGCATGACGAGGAGCTGTCGTGACCAGATCGGTAGGTGAGGAGCCAGGGTTAGGGGTATATATGGGGCAATCCGTGCCGCGGGGCCTTCTTTCAGCCATGCACGAGCAGTGGGGTTGCTCAACTCAGATCGCACGTCCACATCCTCTTCCGTGCGTCACGAGAGCACGGCATTTCGCACCATGGCCAAGGCAAAGGCTGACGACAAGAAGAAGGCCGGCGGAGGCAAAGACCAGGGCAAGGGGAAAGGGGGCGGCGGTGACAAGGATAGCAAGTTGAAGGCTGCCAATGCCATCAATGTCCGCCACATACTCGTCAGTGCCCTCTTGCCGCTTTCGACCAAATACCCTTGAAGTTTTGATTGGCATAGGACCGTTGCTGACACGTTATCACATCAGTGCGAGAAGCACTCAAAGAAAGAAGAGGCTTTGGCTAAGCTGAGAGACGGAGCCAAATTTGACGATGTCGCGCGAGAGTTCTCAGAAGACAAGGCACGACAGGGTGAGTGAGCCAGGGCATGATTTGCAACTTCGCCGACGGTCAGACTGACGGGTTCCTACAGGAGGCTCACTAGGATGGAAAACCAGGGGAAGCCTCGATCATCAATTCGAAGCGCTGGCTTATACGTTGGAGCCTAGCACGACGGCAAGTCCCAAGTATGGTGAGGTCAAGACCGGCTTTGGCTATCACATCATTATGGTAGAAGGGAGGAAATGAGCCTCTGCAATGGCCCTGGTCACATCAATACAGAACTCGTATCACAATAGAAAAAGACCGAGTAGGTGCGCAGTTTTACTTTATTCCTTTTGGTAGAGGTTGCCATGCAGCCTGTATGACCTGAGCCGTTCCCAACGGAGGGAAGCTAGAGTACATCCCGAACATCGTGAAAATGCGATTGGAGATCCCGATCCACCTCTATGCACGAACGACAATCATAACGCCCACGTCGAATCCCTCTATTGCTCGGTCTGGAAGTAGTTGAGGAGGATGGAGCGCTCCTGAGACTCCTCACCCCAGTCCTTAACGACAACGCAAGAGCAGTTGACGACCTTGCGAGCGTTACCCTCACGGTCCAGAACGCCTGGAGGGAAAGATGGTTAGCGTTGATGTTTCCACGAACCCTGCAGGCAGTCGATGACTTACAAAGACCAGCCCACTCGCCGAGCTGCTTTCCGTCGGGAACCTTGATCAGGGGGATCTTGTGCTCCGAGCACAGGGCGATGACGAGCTTCTTGTAGGCCTCCTCCTCGCAAGACTCGTTCAGGACGCACATGTGGGCCTGGCGGCGGTCGAGGGCCTTGGAAGCCTCACGGAGACCGCGGGCAAGACCGTCGTGCATCAGAGCCAGCTTCAGAACACCCTTGAGGGCGTCCAGAACCGACATCTGACCCTTGGAGGCAGCATCGGCGCTAACCTCAACCTCCTCTGCGACCTCGGGGGCGTTGGTCTCTTCTACGTCCGACTGCGAAGAGAGAAAAATGTCAGTCCCATATCCAGAAAAGTTCGCGTCTCAGAGAAATGCCGACAAGTTGGCGGGGTGCCGCATATGCGCCGGCAACGATGGAAATGCCGGATCGTGATGCTCGAGGGCCGAAGGCTTCTTACCATCTTGATTTGATTGTTATGTAGTTGTCGGTGCGATCCTCGAAGGGACTGTGATTTTTTTTTGCGGTTTTGTAGAATGTAGGGAAAACCTTGGGTTCTTTTTTGGAGATGTTCCTTTGGAGGAGACAATTGAGAGAGCGGGATTCGCTGCACATTTTGGATTTTCGCTTAATTTGCTGGGGCTGCCCTAAGAAAATTCAGCGCACGGACCAAGTCCACACACTACACGCACCAAACCCACCTCAATAATTTTCCTCTTAGCGCGCTCCATCAAAAATCCCCTTCCTCCCACGAAGAAAAAGAGTCTGGTTTGTCCACTCCGTTCCGTCTTGCCAATTTCGACAATCAGCACAACCAACCTCGAGGTAGGTCGACGCTCTTCTGTCGCGATGACTTGAAGACGAGAAATGGTTATGCCCTATGCAAAGGCAGAGCCAGCAATCAGGATGGATTGAGCGGGAAACAACCCTGGTCACGATCGGAGGAGTCGCGATGTCCTCCTGATACGCTGCGTCTCGGACAGCACTGAGCGGGCAGAACCTTTCTTGCATTCTCGTCAGAAGGGCACTCTCCATGCTCAAGGGCCTTGCGGGCTAACTAAACGATCTTCGATCTGGCAGATACCTCAATTCTAGGCCCTCCGACTTGAGAATCTCCCCCAACCGCCAAAATGGTCAAGACTTCCGTCCTCCACGATGCTCTCAAGAGCATCAACAACGCCGAGAAGGCCGGCAAGCGCCAGGTCATGATCCGCCCCAGCTCCAAGGTCATCACCAAGTTCCTGCAGGTCATGCAGAAGCACGGCTACGTATGTCCCCCCTCCCCCTCCAGCATCAATGTGTCGCCTCACCTGCACTACCCCATTCGGCATGATAACTGGACGACGGTCTCAAACTGCCCCAACGACTCTAGTCTTTTAAGTTGCCGATAGATGAACCTGCGAGAGAATCTTACACGTTCTCTGAAATCACTCATGACGTACAACGTTTAATCTTTCGCAACACTCGCTGACATTTTCTTGTGCAGATTGGCGAGTTCGAGGAGGTCGATGACCACCGTGCCGGCAAGATCGTTGTCCAGCTCAACGGCCGCCTGAACAAGACCGGTGTTATCTCCCCCCGATTCAACGTCCGCCTGACCGACCTCGAGAAGTGGGTTGTCCGCCTGCTCCCCGCCCGTCAGTTCGGCTATGTCATCCTGACCACCTCGGCTGGTATCATGGACCACGAGGAGGCTCGTCGCAAGCGTGAGTTGCCCGAATCAATGCCATCATGGAATGCCGGACACTTGTGCTAATCCTGAACACAGACGTCTCTGGCAAGATCATCGGCTTCTTCTACTAAAAGAACTGAAGCGGGGCTGTAAGGAGATGAGGGCATGGCATACTTGGCGTTTCTTGGGTTTATGAGGGCCTATACCACCCATGACAGGCATTGGGATCAAAAGTGCAAATTCATCCAAATACAGGTTAAGACATTAACCCTGTGATCAAACCAAGAATTGTTCCCCCTTTACTCTTGTCTCCGGTGTGTCTGGTGCACCAGGCTGCACTCAATTGGCTTGTTCTTTGGTGATATGAGTGGCTTGTTCGCAGTCTCACATCCCTATGGAAATGCTCTGTCCATTGACCACGCTACATTTGATACTCTGCTGGAAAGCAAGCTTTCGAACTCTCCACTGATAACTGCCTTCTTCAGAAGAAGTGGAAGACGTGATCACGTGTAGATAAGCATCGGTAACAATGATGGTTTAAGTTCTGAAACAAGGCCCAGACCATTCTGGATGCCTGCACTAGGACCTACCTAAACTCCATAATTAAAATAAAAGACAGGGGGGGCACTCAGGCTGTCCAGTGGTCCGCTACACGTGAAATTACTCAATGCATGGCGATTATCTGGGCACAATAGGTACAGGGTCGAGTCCCTGCTTTTGAGTCGTCTTGCCATGGTTGTGCCTCGCCAGAGAACCTGGCGAATGTTAAAGTCTACGAAACCCACGCTGATGGGACTGGCTTGCCGCTGTTAACGCGTGCCATACACTGACTGCATTTTGCTTGGTCAACTGTCGCAACCCTCACGGCTGATACGTCGACGACAACAATCCTAACTGCGCAGAGAGCAGCAGAGCTCCTTGCTCCGAGCAACAAGCAGCTTTCGCCCTCACAGGATGCGGCCTCGACAATATTACTTGCTTGGCGTACTGGCCTTTCTTGGCATCTGCTTCTACTCCCTTTCCCACTTCAAACCTGTTGTTCGACAACAGCCTAGCAAGGACAGCACGCGCCCGCCTTCGTGGACGTCACATGGCGGCCATGACTCCGAATCAGTACCTCCAAGGACAGACCCGATACCGGTGAAGGAAGGCAGCCACCCTATATGGCAGCTCATCACAAAGGAAGAGAAGGAGCTGGAGACCTTAAAAGCTCGCCAGTCACGAACACTAGCCCAGGCTGTTGCTGAATACAAGAGGCGCTATGGAATACCTCCTCCACCCAATTTCGACAAGTGGTACGAGTTCGCTCAGAGCCGAAATGTTCAGCTGATCGACGAGTTCGATACTATCCACGAGCTGTTGACGCCATTCTGGGGGCTCCAGCCTGCCACGATACGCAGCCGAGCGAAGGAGGCACTGGGCTTTAATAATGCTTTGCTGGGAGTGCAGATCCGCAGCGGCAAGGTGACCAACATTGCTGGCGGTGGCGAATGGCAACGCGAGGCGACACAAGGCATGATGAAGCAGTTCCTGCAATATCTACCAGACATGGACCTCTGCTTCAACACCCACGACGAGCCCCGTGTCATAGTGCCGCATGAGGACATGGCCAAACTCGTGGAGAAGGCACGAGCCGTAAATATGCCTGCTGCCAACGCCGTCGAGCAGCCGAGGAACTCCTTTACGTCCCACCCGAAAGGACTGAACGACGGCAGGGCGTTCGAAGAGACCAAGTTGACGCGCTTCAACGTCTTTGCGCACCAGCCGACCTGGACCCACTCGAGAATGTCATGCCCGCCAGATAGCCCTGCGCGGGCTGTCGAGGAAGGGGAGAGGGCCGACGATGTAGCCAAGTACGGCTTGGGCGAGCTCGGTTTCATCTACAACGAGACGGCCATGTCCGACATCTGCTACACGCCCTCCCTGAGCGAGACGTATGGCTTCTTCGACCGGCCCAACGCCTTCAACGTCGTGCATGACCTGTTCCCCATCTTTTCCCAGTCAAAGATATCCTCCTTTGCAGACATCATCTACCCTTCGCCCTGGTACTGGTACCAGAAGGTTGCTTACGACGAGACCAAGGACATGGACTGGTCGCACAAGAAAGATTTGCTCTACTGGCGCGGCTCCACGACGGGCGGCTTCAGCCGCAACGGCGGTTGGCGGCGTCAGCACAGGCAGCGGTTCGTGCACAAGATCAATGCCATTGAGCAGGCCCAGGTCCTCGTCAACCAGGGCGACGACCAGACGCCCAACTACCAGCCCAAGACGGTGCCCCGCGCCGACTACAAGAAGATCATGGACGTCTACTTCTCGCACGTGGGCCAGTGCGACCCGGGCGACTGCGACGCGCAGCGCGAGTTCTTCGACATCAAGCCCATGGTCGACCAGCAGGACGCCTGGGCCTACAAGTACCTGCTCGACATTGACGGCAACGCCTTCTCGGGCCGCTTCTACGCCTTCCTGAAGAGCAGGAGCCTGGTGTACAAGTTTGCCGTCTTCAGGGAGTGGCACTTTGAGTGGCTGAAGCCGTGGGTACACTACATTCCGCTGAGCATCCAGGGCAACGAATGGCTCGAGGCTGTGCGCTTCTTTGCCGAAGAGACCCTGGGCAAGAGGGAGGCGGAGAGGTTGGCGATGCAAGGCAGGGAGTGGGCCAACAAGGTGCTGAGGAACGATGACCTGGAGGTGTGGTTCTTCAGGCTGTTGCTAGAGTAAGTTTCTTTCCTTCTGGGAGAGGCGTGGATGTGCAGTCAGCTAATCAGGGTGATAAGATATGGCCGTGTGATCGACGACGACCGCGAGAAGATTGGCTTCTCTCTGTGAGCGGTCTACCCCTGGAGACATCCCTCGAAAACAGAGGGGACCAGGATTATACCGGTTTCGAATCTGTCTACATGGCAGAAACCGGCAGACGAATGACGAACATGAATAGCGTGGACTTTGGGAAGTGCCCATGCTCACACTGTACTTGCAATACCAAATATTTAGTTTCTATCCGTGCTGACGGAGCAAGGAGCGAGCCAGCCCTGGGTAGTAGCGATATCTGTACAATGAAGGGAAACCAATATATGTTAGAGTAGGGACAAGACCTGGCTGGTCGTCGAGGCTGGACAAGCCTCATACTTAATGAATCAAGAAAGACATCACATCACCACCATTCCCCAATTTTCGCGATCATGCTGAATCCGGGTGTGTCAACCCAATAACACGCAAGAGCCGCATGCTCTTCAACAAGTATCTTTTTTCTCTAACTTGCAACCTGTAGAAAGACCCAGGCCTTTGCCGCCTGTACGCCAGATTATGAGTAAAATTATACGTAGTGCTCCATATCCTCCCCTCCCCCCGGAATCTCTGTGATCTGCATACTTGCTAACAGCCTACTCCTCCTCATCCCCTTCGGCATCATCCTCTTCTGACTCGACGCCGCGTCGGTTCCCATTCGTCTCGGGGCTGCGGGCTTCGTCGTCGCTATCGGCGCCGTCCCGGTTGCCACGGGGTGCATCCTCATCCTCGTCATCCCGCACCTCATGCGACTGCTCCTCGGCCCGGGCCTGCTCTTCCTCCTCCTCCTCCTCCTGCTCGTGGAAGTGCAGCGGGTCGGCCTTGATGCGCGCCACGTGCTCTAGCATCTCCTCGTTGGGGTCCTCGAGCGTCACGTCCAGCTGGTCGATGATCTCCTCGTCGTTCCTACCGACGCCGCCGCCACCGAAGCCGCCGGTCACCTTGGCGATGTTCTTGCCGCGCTGCGAGCGGACGGTGCTGCGCTGCATGACGGGGTAGTAGAGCACCGCGCCGCCCTTGGACGCGCCGGCGACCTTGCCGCCGGGGACGTTGCCGTCGCCGGTGAAGGAGAGGATGATCTCCTCGTCGTACTTGGTGTCGTGCGCGAGCTCCTTCTCGTCCGACGCCTCGTACCCGCGGACGCGGGCGAACTGGAAGCAGCCCTGCCCGCTCGACTGGGCCGTGTACAGATCCGCGTCGTCGCGGTCCGGGTTCTCGACGTCGAACTTGGCACGGAACTTGTCGCCCGTGTCCTGGGTCTCGGGCAGGTAGAAGTCGTAGTTCATGGTGTTGGACGGCTTGGGGTTGCGCTCCGGGTCCTGCTCCCAGGCCTCCAGCGCGGCCTCGTACGCCGCCTCCTCAGTGGCCGACCGCTCGATAGGCTTGAAGATACCGGAGAGGAGGCGCGTGTCGTACGCCTTGGAGGTGCCCGTGCCGCCGCCGACGATGTGGCCCGACACGGGGTTCGTCGCGAACTTGACGGTGACATAGGCACCGCTGTCGGGGAAGGCGTCGAGGTCCGGGATCATGGGGTAGGCCTCTACCAGGCGGAGGCCCTTGCGGGTGGGGTGGCGGATGTTGCGCTGGCCCTCCGGGCGCAGCGCCTTCTGGGTGACGGCGAAGCTGTGCTCGATCTTGCGGCGCACGTAGGCAGGGGTGCCCGCGTCAGGCTCGGGCGATTTCCTCTTCTCAGGCCGCTTGGGTTTCGCGTTGCCGGCGCCCGGGCGGAGAGGCGAGGCTTCGGACCGCTTGACGGCGCCGGTCGAGATGTACTCGGTGCGTCGAAGGAAAGAGACGGCAACTTCGGAGACCTTTGGTTTGCCGAGTGTGGATAGCGGCCGCAGGAGAGGGCGGTCGTGCGGGTGGACTTGTGGGGTGTGAGCAGGAGCCTGGATTGCTGTATGGAATCCAATGTCAGTATCGAGAGCAATCCCTCACTCGATGAACCATGAAGCAATTGGGGTGAATGCATACAACGCTCGTCGCCGTCAAACACGCCTGGCATGCCCACCAGGTCGAGCGGCATGCCCAGCTCGGCATCTGCCTCGACGTTGAGCGGCTGCTCCCTCGCCAGACGAGAAGCAAAGCCCGGGGTGGTGTATTGACCACTGGCGAGGCCGGTGTTGGGGATGTCGAGGAGCTTCGGCGGGCATGGAGGCGGTGGTAGGGCATTGGAGAAGCGGATTCTGGCGATGAAGTCCTGGTGGACGCCGCTCGAGCGCGACGCTGAGGACGACATCGTGGGCGCCGCAGCTGACCTGTCCTGTCGCGATGAGCAGTGGAAGTGCTCGAGTCAGTGTTTTCGGTGGTCCTCGAGCTTCTTGAGGCGTGGTGTGGTCTCTTGCGAAGCTGTTCTAGTGGCGTTGTGCTGATTGGTGAGGTGAGGTTTTAAGTCTAACAAAGAAAAGTTCCAGCTAGGTGAGGCCAGAAACGGGCTGGTTGGTAGGCGTCGCAACAATAGCGCAACTACCACCACAATACCAGCCTTTTCTGCCCACTACCAATAATGGCCCAAATTCATTGTCAATTCACGGCAGCAGCGTGATAATAGAGTAACCTTTTCTATCAATGGATCATAATTAAATTTTCATAACGTCTAAGTAATGTCACACTCGGACCCCTCCAATCAGCCATACCCCCTCCGTTCTGGTGGTAATCCAGGATGCTCCGACCCAGCCACAACTCCTGATGCCTGCCTCAACCCAAGGGCAAGACTGGAAAAACGACGAGGACTGCTATCCTTTATTGTCCAGACAGAAAGACAAAACCCTGGCGGAGCACATTCAGTGCAGCCCAGAAGCCCGAATCATCATGATCCAGGCGAATTACAATCGTATATTTTATACAGGACCCAGAAATGCTTCTAGCTTTTGCTTCAGCCCATCGTACAATGCGCCGTCATGTGAGAGGCAGCCGCTTGCTGCCTTTCAAGTAAATTTTCGATCGCATCTCCTTTTCGAAGCGCTCTAGTTGCTGTTCTTGTTGTATCGAGCTTTGCCGAAGGAGAAGGGCACGTAGCGGTACTTGATCATGTGCTGGATTTGCTTTCGCACTGGGGACGACAACAGTCAGCACATGAACACAAGGAGATCTGTCGCACTCATGAAAGGTGTGTGAGACTTACTGGTCAAGACGAAAAGGATGATCCAGTACATGACCAGAACGGGCCAGAAAACGGGAACGTTGAAGATCTCGAACCAGCTGCACAAGAAGGAGATGGCAATGGCGCGAGTAGCCGAGTGCCAGAACTTGAACTCGGGGAGGCGCCTAATGAATGGTCGGAACTCCTCGTCCTGCTTGGTCGGGAGACCACCGGCAGATCCATCCTCCATATCGTTGTCCAGAGCATCGTTTGAGGGGTCAAACTTGGGCTGCAGGAAGGCGAGGAAGAGATTCAAGAGGTAGATACCCAGGGCGTACGCAACTATCAACACTGCGTTAGTTTCTGGCACGCTCGCCATGGCTAGGCCGGGCAGGAGGGGCGATGGGCGAGGAGAGGGGCGCCATACCGATATACCAGCCTTGCGCGAAGAGAATGCGCAGGAAGAAGACCATGAGAAAGGCACCAGTGCCGATCCATCGATACAGCACAAAAGGCGTTGACTGATCGAGGAGAGCCTGGTAGTGGCGCTGCAGCCGCGAGGTCTGCGCGGTGACCGCTGCGAAAGGAGTCTGGTCGGGCTCGCCGGCATCCATTGTGAGGGAGCTGCTGTGTGATCGAGAGAGAAGCAGAGGTTTGATTAGGTGCAAGCAGCGTCGAGAGTGCTTGCAATGCGGTGCTTGGTGCTGAAGAGGAAAGAAAAGGCCCAAGCGGGCTTTCGAAATTCAAGTGTGAATGACTGACAAAAGGTGGGATGCCGTTTGGTGGGTTACAAAGGGAGCATTTACAACACAGTGAAGAAGTAAACTAAAGGAGATAGGACCAATCTGCGTTATCGCGAGAGGGAGCCTCACAAGATATGCAAAGCAATAAAATTCTCGGTCGCGAAATGCCCACCTGCCACGGTGCCACCTACCCTTCACGGGCGTTGAAGGGCCAGATTGCAGGGTATCCATCTCAGTACGAATCGGGCGCGCTAACTGGACCAGAGCTCCAAGGCCCAGCCAGTCCAGGGGAATGTTTTACGTGGCTCTGAGGCGCAATTTGCTAGCTCGAGTGCCCCAATTTCCACTTTGGTGTACAGAACGGACAGGGGGTTCACATGCATACTACGGGCGAGTCCTGCCACCTGCCAAGGCTTCTCTGACGGCCCGCCAGCTGGGCTGATTTCACTGGCCCTCGTCCCTCGGTTGTAGACGGCTTTCACGGGCTTAGAGAGGGGAAGCTCGATGAGCTCAAGCTCCAGCAACCGAGCTCATCCAGACCAAGAGCATACCTAATATTCAGAACAACAATTCTACATCAAGGCGAGCAGAATTTTACAGACCAAACGAGTTCAATTGGCTGCTGTGTAACCATATCCATCTCTTTGAAAGGGAAAAGATGAACTCGATTCGCAGCCTGCGGCCCCTCGCCTCTCGCTTCCAGGCGTCCTCCCTGCCCCAGATCACCCGGAGCTTCTCTGCCACCGCGGGACGGCGGTATGAGTACATCCAGGTGTCAGAGCCCAAGCCGGGTGTTGGCCAAGGTAAGACTCCATTGATTCTCAAGTATGATACTGAAATAGAAAGAAGACTCATCATCAAACTATTGCGACAGTAACGCTGAACCGGCCCAAGGCTCTCAATGCCCTGTGCACCCCTCTTATCAAGGAGCTTAACCAGGCTCTCGGCGAGCTGAACGCTTCGGACAGCGTCTCCGCCATCATTCTCACCGGCTCGCAAAGAGCGTTTGCCGCTGGTGCCGACATCAAGGAGATGCAGCCCCTGACTTTCTCCAAGGCCTACACCACGTCTTTCATCGAGGAGTGGTCCAACCTCACCACCCAGGTCAAGAAGCCCATCATCGCCGCGGTATCTGGTCATGCCCTCGGTGGCGGCTGCGAGCTCGCCATGATGTGCGACATCCTCTACTGCACGGAGGGCGCCAACTTTGGCCAGCCCGAGATCAAGCTGGGTACCATCCCCGGTGCCGGCGGCAGCCAGCGCCTGACCCGAGCCATCGGCAAGTCCAGGGCCATGGAGCTCATCCTGACCGGCAAGCCCTTCTCCGGTGTCGAGGCCGGACAGTGGGGTCTGGCGGCACGGACCTTTGCCACTTATGAGGAGCTTATGGAGGGTGCGCTCAAGACGGCCGAGACCATCGCCGGCTACTCCAGGGTGGCCGTCCAAGCCTGCAAGGAGGTTGTCAACAAGAGCCAGGATCTGCCCCTGCGCGACGGCGTCGAGTTTGAGAGGAGGGTGTTCCACAGTCTCTTCGGCAGCCAGGACCAGAAGATCGGCATGAAGGCGTTTGCAGAGAAGAAGAAGGCCGAATGGACGCACGAGTAATCCAGGAGGTTTGTATGTTATATTCAATAGAAAGAAAAGGGGGGATCATTGGCGGAGTCTACCTCTGAATCCAATCCACAACTCCATTGTGTAGCACCGCCGCACTGGACATCTTGTTGGCACTCAGGAAAAGCTTACTCCTCGTACCTCTAGAATGTCTTTGGATGTTGTTTTCACTGGGTCCGAATCCAGGTTCCAGCATCAGTCAACATACAGGGTGGTCGAAGATACATATTGCTGCTCCTCTCCACACTGGGTCGCATGGCAGTCATCACTGTGCGCGACTCGCGGACATGTCCAAGCAGACACTGCTTGCGGACCCAGTATTTGGCCAACATCATGAAGTGGTCAATCCGGCGATCAGAAACTCAAGATTTGGTTTCTTCTTGGTGCTGACTCCATCCAGAGAGGAGTTACTGGGAGCCACAAAACCGCCGGTGGGTGGGCTCCGTGTAAGCCGGTCTTTGGTCGAGGATAAGAACCCGGCGCTACATTCAATGACACGATAAGTTCCCGAATTATTAACGTACGACCCAGGGTCAGGTACATCTTATTTTTTCTTCCCTGTTAAAGCCAAGCCCGGTGCTGTTTTGATAATTCTTATACACATACACAGGCACGCCCTGACCCGATCCCTCAAACTCCAGATCGACCTGGCATCGCGGTAAACATAAGCAATAACTTAGCTGATCACACAACCCTGGCAGGCATTGCGGCCACTCTCGCCAAAATAACCAAATCAAGTCAACGCGATACAGTCAGCTCCGGCCACTCCATACCGATTGCAGGGAGTCTATAGGAGGCACGATTGGATCTGGATATGATTCCGTGGGCCCAGGAGCAAGCGAATTACGGGCTGTTGGGTTCACTTTGAGATGCCTTTCACATCATCAAACTGAGACCAACACAATTCTTACACTCCTTCCAGGAAGGCTTATCGAACAAGCCCATGAATTCCTAGCTTTGGGGGCGGCATTCTGTTTTCGGGCACCATTTTCGGACTCGAAGTCCCAACTATGGCATCATCTGGCCTGAATAGACTCCCTGTCGAGATTGTGGAGGAAATCGCCAAGGTAAGACAGTATCACTTCCTGCCTTTGAACCACGCTCTTAACCATTCGACTCAAGTATCTCGACAAGCCCGGGCTCTTATCAGTCCGTGCAACCTGCCAATATGCGGATGCCGTCCTTCTACCTCACATTCTCGGTCTAGTTGCTGCCGAGACCAAGACGTCAGGCTGGGTGGATGCTTATCTCCAGAAGCTCGCCGAGGGTCACCTACACGATATCATGACCCTATTTCTCGTACACCAGCCGCCCCTAAACGAACTAGACATTAGGGGCCAGACGGCGCTGCACGTCGCCGCCCGCTCCGGCTGTGTCGAGTGCGTCCGGCGGCTGCTCGACGCCGGTGCGGACCCCAACGTTGTCGATCGCTCGCGGTGGACGCCGCTCATGCTAGCGGCCAGATATGGCCACTTCGAGGTCGCAGAACGGCTGTTGCGCGCCGGAGCAGACATCAACCACCAAGGGTTCCGACGCTGGACTCCGCTGCATCTGGCTGTCCGGAATAGCCGTGAAGGTGTGGCAGCACTCTTGCTTGCCACCGGCGCGGACGGCGAGATCACGGATGATGAAGGCATTCCGGCGCGGGAAGCCTTCGCGCGGCAGGGCCGCATCTCAGGGCCCGCTCCAGCGGTTCCAGTCCGCATATCCGCGGCCGCTTTGGTACAAGCACCGGCGGCACTGAAGATGAACATTGCATAATATGTTGCGGTGGTGCTCATGCTTTCCTTGCTTTGCCATTCTTCTTGTCTTGTAGAACAGAGTTGTGGTTCTCATATACCCCGTAGATAGAAGGCGTTTGATTTCAGGGTGGAAGATCATAGGTGTAGATGTAGAATAGAACGAGAATTTGACGGATGAGACTGACAGATATCCGGAGGGCCTACGTCAGTTGATACGTCCAATTTTAAACTCAAGAAGATTATGATTGACGTGCTGAGAGTGATGATTCTCATGATCTATAGATCGACACATCAGATCACATGGTCAACAATGAATAAGAGAAATGCAGGTAAGGCGTGTTCAACGAGGGGTTCTCGACGTTGCTAGTAATGAAGCACTTCAATTTATGAGTTCGTACCAATAAACCCGCGAGAATGCAAAAGATATGAGGTTTACCTCTGATGATATGGTGCATGACAGCCAAGGCTCTTACGTGAGGTTGAGAAGTGAGTTCCACGTTTGAGTGAGGATGGAGCTTCTTGGGAGAGTGCCCTGGGAATGCAGGCGACGCTAGGCGCCTTGCCAGCCATCCCAAGTGGCTCGTAATTGCACTTGTTAGCGCCCTACGGCCACTAAAATCGGACTGCCCCGCCCTCTAGCACCGAGCTTCAGGGCTATGATGCAGGTCACATCGAACTGGTCCCGCCTCACAATACGAGGCACATTGAAGCCAAGCCTGACAAGGACGCTCATGGCGGCGACCTCGCCAGCTCGTCGTCTCTAAACCTCTCCCTCCCTCCTCACCTTTTGGGTTCCTGGGAGACAACGGGCTCTTTGAAGATAGCTATGGACTCTCCGAGACCTGGCGTCGACCTTGAGAAGGAGCTCACTTGTTCGGTACGTTGATTTTCCTCACGATTTCTTGTTGCGGGCGCACGATACAATGGCAGAACTGCACGAACTGCAGGTTTTCCTTGATGATTAGTGCCCAAAGACTAACTCACTGTCGATACCACAGATCTGCACCGAGCTTCTCTACCAGCCTCTCACGCTGCTCGACTGCCTGCACACGTTCTGCGGCGCATGCCTCAAGGAGTGGTTCAACTGGCAGGCCATCGCCGCCGAGACGGCACCGACCCCTCCCGCACCCGGGGCGCCAGTCTTCACCTGCCCGTCATGCCGCGCTCCGGTCCGGGATACCAGGCACAACGCCACGGTAGCCACCTTGCTGGACATGTATCTCACTGCCAACCCGGACAAGAGCAAGCCGGACGAGGAGAAGCAGGAGATGAACAGCAAGTACAAGCCTGGAGACCAGGTGCTGCCGGTCCTCAGGAAGAAGACCTCCGAGGAGCTACGAGCCGACGAGGAGGAAAGAAGGCTCATCGAGGAGGTGCGCGCTCTGAGCTTGCAGGAGACCATGGGTGGGCCGGCGCCACTAAGGACTAGGAGACGAGAGGGCAGCAGCTCACGAGACACTCACACCCGGACGCCAAGAGACAGCCGGGATGGGAGTCGAGATACCCGGGCCAGAGATGCCCGGGACCGGAGCCGAAGGCACGCCGCTGAGGAAGAGAACAGGCGACGGGCGGAGCAGAGCGCCATGCTCCAGGTCGAGGACGGCACGAACGCGGAGCAGGCGCACCGCCGAAGCGGATCGAGACCGCGCGCTGAATCGGCTGAGACACGACGGCGAGCTATAGAGCACCAGTCATCCATTAGATCCCTCATCAGCTCCTCTGATCCGGGCTCTTTGGATATCGAGCGAGAAATAGAGGCTTTTGCTCGGCAGATCCAGGAAGAAGGTCTCCTTGATGGCCTAGATTTGGATAATATCGACCTGAGCAACAACGACGAACTCAGTCGCCGAATCACCGAGGCCTACCGCAGGAGACAACGCGAGAGGTCTCGACATGAAGCTGCCCGGCGGAGTAATGCAAGTGCTGTATCGCGCCATCAAAGGGAGAGCACACCCCCCGAAGGCCGGTCGAGGCCGGCGGACCGTTCAAGGGAAACCACGCGGCAAAGGGCACAGTCGCAGTCGCATTCGAGGTCGGCAAGTGCTGCAAGCCAATCAGCTGAGCGTAGCAGGCCGCCTCCGTCGTCGAGCAGTAGTCACCTGGGAATCCGTGAGGAGCCACGGCGTCACCGGCGCAGGACCACTAGTGAAGGACGGAGCTCAACAGTCCCAATTGCTGCTATACAGCCGCAAACTAGGGTTGCGTCACGATCACAGACAGACTTGGCGATGCGGCCTGGCACAGGTGACTCAGCATCCACAGCACCCCCATTCACACGTCCGAGTATCTCGGATGGGCGGAGCTCGAGTTCCCCCACGATGGGCGGCCCAGGGCAGACAGATCTCCCAAACTCCCATGGTCTATCTTTCAGTGCTAGACTTCCTCAAACTACTCAGTCGCCTGTGATGTCTCCCACTCTAACAGAAAGTAATGGGAGCTTTGGGAATAGACGCGGAGACCGACCTGCGGATATCTTGGCACCATCAATGTCGAGCAACTTTTCATCGCCTATAGTGGCCGATGGTTGGCACTCGCCTTCTTCGCCTTCTTCTTCGCATCACAGGTCGAGACCACAGTTGTATCCTGAGCCGTCTATCTCGTGTGAGAGGTGCGGGCGACAGCACATCGAATACCATCTTCATTACAACTGCGGAACCTGTAAGGGGGGCAACTGGAACATCTGCCTTGACTGCTACCGAAAGGGCAAAGGCTGTCTGCACTGGTTCGGTTTTGAGCATAATGCCGCATGGAAGAAGTGGGACGCGCTCCGCAAAGCTGGGCGAACGTCTGGTGAAGAGCCTCACATGCTCTCGGCGAGTCGCTATCTGCGACCGAAGAGCATCCCTGGCGGAGCAGAGGGGAGGAAGACACTGACGTCGGAAAACCCGCTCGATAGATTGCAGAGCGGGACGTTTTGCGCTAGGTGTTTTGCCTGGACCAACGATTGCTACTGGAGGTGCGACATCTGCAATGACGGCGACTGGGGCTTCTGCAACGACTGTGTCAACGTCGGGCGCTGCTGTACGCACCCGCTTCTGCCACTGGCACACTACAGTTCGCAGACGCCGACACCGCCGTCGACACCCCGGACGCCCGGGCGTCCACGCTCTGCAACCTTCTTCATGGGCCCGAACGCACTCAGCATCGGGAGGTTCCGGCCTCTGACATTCAAGACTCGATGCGATGTCTGTCGAAACCCAATACCGCCAGCCCAGAGCCGGTATCACTGCTTTGCATGCACCAGCTCGCTCATCACGGATTCCAGGCCCGGTGACTACGACGTTTGTCACCCCTGCTACAGCTCGCTCGTCTCTAACAAGGAGATAAGCTCTGAGAACGGCCCCAACGGGTGGAGGCGCTGCCCGCGCGGCCACCGGATGGTCGTCATCGCCTTCAAAGACGACAAGGGTGGCCAGAAACGGCACCTGCTCCAGGACCTGGTGGGCGGCCGACGACTACTCGTCGAGACGGTCACGGATGGACACCACACCGAGCACGCGGCCTCTGGCCTCGAGAGGTGGGTGTGGTACGAGAGAGAGCGCAAGATGAGCCGCCTCGTGGCGAAGGACGTGCGCGTCACGGCGGACGCGAACGAGGCGGCGCCGTTCCCCCGGTCCGGAGGCTTCGGCCCAAGCGCTGTGGCCCGCTTTGCTTGGAACCCGGCCGAGGGGTCCGACGACGAACTGCTGTTCCCCAAGGGGGCCGAGATCAAGGAGGTGGAGGACATCAACGGCGACTGGTTCCACGGAATCTACATGGGGGTCAAGGGCCTTTTCCCGGCACCATATGTTGTTGTGCTGGAGAGCTCTACCAGTTCTTGAGGGTTCTTTTCCGTTGGGGCTTGATCTGGGAAATTGTGTAATGAAAACGAGGGACAGCTTGCGTACACACAAAGCTAAGGGGTGTTGCTATATGGAATATGGAGAGAAGCAGAGGTGAACAAGGGGGATGAGATCATGATACCATGTTTGATGTGGAAAGAGCCCATGACCAGAGAATGTCCAGATTTCTACTAAGATAATTCTATATTGAAGTTACTTGCCAATATTCCAATGATGGTTATAACATCTGGTGGCTTGTAAGACTGTTTGTTGCCGGAATGGGTCTAGCGGGCATCAATCGTCCCTGGAATTCGGACGGGACGATCCCGCCTGGCTCAATCAGAGGCATCTTCAGCACTCGGGTGCGTCCCCAGAGCCGCACCCTGGGTGGTACCACAGGCTAAACCCTGCTGAGGCATGGCTTCTATGGCGCCATCACCCCTGCCCCACATTAGCAGTGAGCTTATTGACGACAGCCGGTCGGTCGCCGGGATTGGATTTCAAATGCCAAAAGGGCTCTCTCTCGCTCACTTACTCACTCACTCACTCACTCGACACTGTCTCATTCTCAGAGAGGACGCAGGCTTCTTTTCTAGGCGTTAGGAGCGTGCTTCAGTACTCAGAATTCCTGGCTTGCACACACAAAAGTGCAAATAGCGAACCATGTTCCGCCAGAGCGTCCGGAGGTTCGCGACCAGCGCCGCCATGGCCGCCAGGCCTGTCGCCGCTGCGTCTGAGCCTACCGCCAAGACGATTGCCATCTCCAAGGCGCAAGGCATCGCCAAGGGCTTGACTGGAGGTGAGTGCTCACGCACAGCAGATTAAAGTTCAAAAAAAAGGTGCTGGCTGACACATGTATCTCACACTCTCTCGAAAAACAGCCATCGGCAACACGCCCCTGATCCGCCTCAACCGCCTCTCCGAGGAGACCGGGTGCGAGATCCTCGGCAAGGCCGAGTTCATGAACCCGGGCGGCTCCGTCAAGGACCGCGCGGCGCTCTTCGTGGTCAAGGACGCCGAGGAGCGCGGGCTGCTGCGGCCGGGCGGCACCGTCGTCGAGGGCACGGCGGGCAACACGGGCATCGGCCTCGCGCACGTGTGCCGCTCGCGCGGGTACAAGCTCGTCATCTACATGCCCAACACGCAGTCGCAGGGCAAGATCGACCTGCTGCGCCTGCTCGGCGCCGAGGTCCACCCGGTCCCCGCCGTGGCGTTCGACAACCCGCAGAACTACAACCACCAGGCGGCGCGGCACGCCGAGGCGCTCGACAACGCCGTCTGGACGGACCAGTTCGACAACACGGCCAACCGCCGCGCGCACATCGAGACGACGGGCCCGGAGATCTGGGCCCAGACGGGCGGTCGCGTGGACGCCTTCACGTGCGCGACCGGCACGGGCGGCACGCTGGCCGGCACGACGCGGGCGCTCAAGGACCTCAGCGGCGGGCGGGTCCAGTGCTTCCTCGCCGACCCCCCCGGCAGCGTGCTGCACTCGTACATCAGCAGCGGCGGCAAGCTGGTCGAGCGCGCGGGCAGCAGCATCACCGAGGGCATCGGCCAGGGCCGCGTGACCGAGAACCTGAGGCCCGACGTCGAGCTGCTCGACGGCTCGCTGCACATCGCCGACGAGAAGAGCATCGAGATGGTCTACCGGTGCCTCGACGAGGAGGGCCTGTACCTGGGCGCCAGCTCGTCCCTCAACGTCGTCGCGGCCAAGGAGGTCGCCGAGAAGCTGGGCCGCGGCCACACCGTCGTCACGATGCTGTGCGATGGCGCCTATAGATATGCGGACCGGCTGTTCTCCAAGAAGTGGCTGACGGACAAGGGCTTGCTCGGTGCCATCCCCAAGCACCTGGAAAAGTATATTGTGTTGCCATAGACGATGTGACAGCGGAAACAAAGTGAAGAAGAAAAAAAGTTCTACAGGATAATAGAAACATTTGTATTATACATGTCATATATACACAACATCTGCTACCTCCAGCAGGCTATTAAGCTGCAGGTGCAGCAGCCTCGGGATTAAAGAGCTTGTTGTAGACAGCTCTGCCCTTGACGTGCGGGTCATCGCGAACGTGCTTCAAGGCCTCCTCCACTTCGGTCGCCAGCGCATCTCTTCTCAACTTCAGCTCGGCCGCAAGCTGGGGGCTCACGATCTCCATGGCCAGGTCCATACCCTTGAGCAGCGGCGCGGCGATGAAGACGAACTTGTTCTTCTCCGTCAGGTAGTGCATCTCCCCTAGCCTATCGTAGTGCTGAGCGGGGTGCAGCTCCAGCAGCCCCTTGCCCGCTGGCCACAGCGATACCACGTCCTTGGCGTACTTGGCCACCTTGCCGTCAAGGTCCTTGCCGCCGTGGGCCTGCGTCGCGACCTGAGCGGCCATGTGTAGAGGCGCAGCCAGCACTTGCGGGTCGAGGTGCAGGGGGAATCGGTCGTCCTTCTGGCCCTGCGGGATCCTGCGCCCGTGGAGGTCGCCCTGGAGCAGGTCGACCACCATCTCGGACCACAGCAGCGCCTTGTCCGACGCGGCCACCGCGGCCTTGTCGCCCTTGCTGCTGGCGTCGATGGCCTTGAGCTGCACGTAGGCGAGGATCTCGGCGACCTTCTCCGAGGCGTCGAGGCGCATGCCGGTCCGGCGCGCCATGCGTGCCGACTCGATCACCGTGTAGAGGCAGCCCCTTTCTGCGGCGATGCGGGCGATGCGGACGTAGTCCCGCGTCTGCAGGCGGCGGCCGGCGGAGTGGAGGCCCTCGAGCAGGCGGGGGAGGTTCTCAAAGTCTTCGCGGGTCTGCATGCGGCCGACGGCATCGTAGAGCAGCTTGCGGGTGTTGGGCAGGTCCTTCATGAGATCCATGTGGCCGAAGCGTAGTACCTCGGAGTCGATCTCCATGGTGATGGGGTTCTGTCGCAGCTTCTGCTCATGCTTCGGCGAGAAGAGTTGCTTGCGCTGGTCTTGGGGCAGGTAGGAGGGAAGGAGGATCTTGTTGCGGATGGTGGTGAGGACATCGTCGAGCTCGGGGGAGGATGTAGGGGAGAATGCCACGACATGGACTGAGAGGTAAGAAGCCAAAAGTCAGTACCACACTGCAAAGTCTTCAACTGGCTTTCCTAGGCATCGAGGCGCTGACATACCTGGTCGTGATGAGGTCGACGAGAATGGCCTGCTGTTTCCCTGCTGCGACAGACTGGCTCTTGAGAAGGTTTCGCATAGGGAAGAGCTCGCCCGCAGGGCTCTCCCTATTGACTTGTTGGACATCATAGTCTGTGTTCTGCCGGGCCCTATCGGACGAGAAGGGACCTTGCAAGAGATGGGAGGGTGTTGGCGGAAGAGAAACGGATATGAGGCTCAGTCGTGCGATCCCCAAAATTTCAAGGTCCGTCCCATTTGCGCCGTGCATTGCAAGGCTCGGCTCCGGTCCACTTATAAAGGGCCCCCAGCCAATCACATAGTTCAATTCTCACAAAACCCCTGTCAAGCCATGGCCTGAACTTTTTGACGTGAGCTTTTGGAACTTCATATCCCGAAATCGTCTCACAACCCTCTGGAGAAGACCCTTTGCCGGGGACTATCACCACCACAACAGCGCCATCATGAACGCCGCACCGATACGGCGGCAGCCCCTCGGCTGTCTCAAGACTGTCCTGCGCCAGACGAGGCAGCAACGCCAGTTCCTCCGGTCCTACGCCAGCGCCGCCGAAACCCCGTCGACGACCAAGTCCTCGGCACTCCTCCCCTCGCACACCTTCCGTACGATCCCCCATGCTCTCCCTCTCTCGCCCTTGTCTACCATTCCCCCTCATTCTTCTGGCAGCCAAGAAAGCTAACAAGGCCTCTCACTCTTCCTTCCAGACTCAATCCCTTCCAAAAAGAACACCGCCGGCATCCGCACCGCCTTCGCCGTCTACTCCGCCCCGTCGTCATCATCACCCCCACCGTCACACCCAACCTCTCTCCCCACGTCCCTCTCCCAAGAGAAGCCAGCAGCGGTAGCGGCAGCCGCAACTGCCGCGGCCCCGACCCCGCGCTCCACGCCCCTGGAGGCCCTCCACGCCCTGCAGATCGCCCGCATGGACCCGACCGGCGCCCGCCAGAAGCTCTTCTCGCGCACGAACCCGCACGGCGCCCGCGTCGGCGACGTGCTGATGGTGACCACGCGCCGCGGCGCCGAGCCCTTCTCGGGCGTCTGCCTCTCCATCCGCCGCCGCGGCATCGACACGGCCGTCCTGCTCCGCGGGCAGCTCACCCGCGTCGGCGTCGAGATGTGGTTCAAGGTCTTCTCCCGCAACGTCGCCGGCGTCGAGATCATCCACCGCCGCGCCAAGCGCGCCCGCCGCGCCCGCCTGACCTACATGCGCCAGCCCAAGCACGACATGGGCAGCGTCGACAACCTCGTCCAGGCCTGGCGCCGGAGCAGGCAGGTGCTGCGGACCAGGGGCGGCGGCGGCGGCGCGGCCAAGGGCGCCGCCGGTGCCAAGGGCAAGGACGGCAAGGCCAAGTAGACTCTGGAGAGATTGGACGTACGGCAGTGTTCGGTTTTCTGAGGTTGGGAAGCGCATGGGCATTGCGGCAACCACTTCTGCGCTGCATCGAGGCCGCGCTGATATCCACATGCCATGCCATGCTATGTACATTTGAACCCTCGATAGAATAGAAAATTCTTCTTGTACGAATACATGTATCATCAACACCTGGCAAAAAACCCCTAGAAAAATAAAGGTGCACAACGCAGAAACACATAGTTGAATCGTTATATTTGTTAGCCAAGGTTCTATTCAGGGCTACCTCAAAAGGTAGAGGCTACCGCTTTCCTCCTTCAGCGCGAGCTGTTGTTATCTCAGATGTCTAATTCAATATGTGTACAAAGAGGAATCCCAGACTCCCCGTCCCAGCAAAGACGACCGCCGCTGAGTGCATCCATGTGTCCCAGGCTCCGTTGCATGTTTAATAAATACATAAAGTAAAAGGGGATCGAACATGAAGAGAAAGTAAAAAAAAAAACGGGAGTCAACACAACGGCCACTGATTCTATATACTAAAGAGACTTCTTGCTCGTATCATGTCCTCTCGTGGGTGGCCACCGTCCGAAAAGAAGGTGCAGTCCCGGATCTGACAGGGCGGAGCCTCTCGTCATCACCCAAGTCCTCGCTCGTGCGCGGTTGAGTGCTGGATCGTTTCCAAACACCCGCAGGAGGCTTGTGGTCCCGCGGAATTGGGGGCCCAGGGTGCAGCACACGGGTGATGAGGTTGCTGTTGACACGGTCGATGCTCCTGCTGCGCCCGCGACGAGCGCTCGAACCGGGGCCCTCGGTCGCCAACGAGACGTTGGAGGGCCGTCTCGTCATCCTTGCGTTGGCGTCCTCCGTCTCTTTGTCGTTCAGCGACTCGCTCGGTAGCAAGATGGCTCGGTCAAGACCATACGGCAGGCCACGATGCCGACCACGGATCTGCATACCGATGATAACGAGCTTGCCGACGACGCTGAACTGAGCGCACAGAGAGGCATTGGTCCCAGGATACCCAAGACTCAAGCCGACGGTGCCATAGGCGCTCACAACCTCAAACAGGACGGCGAACATGGAGAAGTCGCCTCTCTGCAGCTTCGGGCCTTCGGAAATAGAAAGGATGAAGAAACCCACGAATATGTACCAAAGATCGAAAGAAAGCTGACGGCGCAAATGAGCTCCGACGTACTCGAGGTCGGTGATATTAGCATGTTCCTCGAGTTCGTTGTGGCTGTAGATGCCGAGAGACTTCTCTTCATAGACGTTGGTACGGCGAACTGAGATAGCGATGGGGAAGACTGAGATGTACATCATGATGAGGTATGATGTCTGCACACCAGGATGCAAGTCTCCAATGTTCACGACGGAGAAGCCGGCCGTGCGGGTAGCGAAGGCCTGAAACAGGCCATCAAGAACCCGAATACCGGGCGGCAGATCCGAAACCGGCCCACTGCCGAGCTGTACAGCTTTTTGTCAGCGAAGGCCAAATCGCGAGGACGCGAGATAAAGACTTACATCAAGAACGATGAAGAAGATCAGGTCCAATCCATTCAGAATGACGAGCAGCCAAAACAACCACCAGGTCGCACCCGATGGGAACAGCAACGTGAAGCATCGTCTAGGATGGTCGAGCAAGAACCTCAGTTCCTCCCAGAGGCCAGTGCCTTTGGGGATTATGTGCGAGAGAATCCAGATGATGAACCGAAGCATGACAGGGAAACCAGTGTTGCCGATGACGATCAAAAAGCTCATCAGAAGCAGAGGCCAGATGGCAGTATTGAAGGAATTCATGCTGTCGGGGGTCAGAGTAAGGCCCAGGTCGAAGAAGGCCGACTGGGCCGTCCAGACACCCCACCACGCTCTTCCCTGGGCTGCAGCATCGACGATAGGCCCCCAGCGGCTGTTGTGGACGATCCAGGGAACAAGACCTACGATACCAAATAGCGTGAACCCAGCAAGGTAGCAGACCAGGATCAGGGCAAGGGTCTTGAGGGACCGATACTCGATACCACCAAGCTCTTCCCTTTGCTCCGCAGTCAGGTCCGGAAAGGCAGAGTTTCGACCCAAGGTTGGCTCCCAACTGAGATACGGTGTCAGCTCGTTTTCATTCTTGTCGCGCGTCAGGGCTGTCCTAATCGTGTCCAGGGTAGGTCGCCGTTTTATCTGCGGGGTTGGGGCATGGGCTGCCTGCTCCTCGTGGTGATATCTCTTGTCCCTGCTATTGAAGATTCTCGGAATCCGCGGCTTAAGCGGCGACAGAGCTTTGGCAGCAGCATGGGTATCGTCGATAACTTCGTCTCGTCTTGGTTTCTCGGGCTCCTCGATCGTGATTGCCTGCTGCCGGGTGGTCATGGCTGCAGGGGCGTGGTGGCCAAGATCCTGGCGACCTCTGCCCGACCCTTCTGCAGCCTCATTATCGTCGTTGTCGCCACTGCCACGGCCATCGCCCTCGTCATCCTCGTCATATTCATCGTCATCACCATCGTTGTCGTCATCGTCATCATCGCCCTGCTGGCGACGACTGCCTCTCTCGGTCACACGCTTAGGCAGCATCCCTCGTTCCGCATCTCGAGGACCGGGAATCCGTAGCACTTCCTCGTTGTCTTGGTTGCGCTGTCGTTGGAGGATGGCGATGTGGTCTTCATCCGTGAGTCGTATGGCTGGAAGCTTCGCTGTGTCATCGATTCCGTCGCTCCGCTTGACCGTCTGCGCAAACTTGATCTCTGGACGGCGGCTCTCGACAGGTTGGAGCGGGGCACCTTTGGGGTCGACGTCTTCCTCCTCGGGAGCTCGGCCATTGGCGTGGCCATTGCTCTGCTCCGCGTCCTTCTTCTCCGTGAAAGGATCGAGTAGAATGCCATCATTGGTGATCCGAGCAGTGTTTCCGTTGTGCATGACAGTGATGTCTCTTGCATTGACGCCCTTCTCGAGGCGGTCGGAGTCGGGCTTCGCTTTAGACTTTGATTTTGAAATCGTGCCACGTCTACTCCGGGCGTCGCGAACAACGCTCTGGAAACGCTTCTCGAACCAGTAAAGGCGAAGGAAGACAACAAAGGAGTTGATGCTGATAGGGTTGGTAAGCCAAGTGAGGAAGTAGATCAGAGCCTGCTGGAAGGTGTTGAGAAGGTTGGCGTCAACAGTGTTGAGTCCCGCCTGAGAGTTGGCGCACGTGGACATGCACAATGCATCGATATAGTCGATGTTACCCCGACCCGAGAAGTACATGATGATCGAGCCCAAAAGACTGAGTCCAATAATCCAGAGATCTGAGTTGACAGATGGTCAGTGGTGTGCCCCCGGCTGTCGTGCGATTAGGTTAAGAAGTTCGTGCACTTACAATGGGCCGATATGAAGTTGAAGTGCGGTTTCTTGTGAAAGAAGGACGGGCGAAGCCTCTTGAGCTGGCTGAGGAGGATGTCTTTTAGGGACTCCATGGTGGGCAGCAACTTGTTCTCCCTATTTTGGCTGAGGGCGTGGTTGCAGAAAAGGAAGCAGAGCAGAAAGAGAAGATAGGCGCACAGAGGCTAAGCAAGGCGAAGGAGCCAAGAGTCAAAGACGGTGGCCTTTTATAAAGGCACGAGGAGGAAGGGAGATGAGGGGAGAGGGGAGAGGGGTGAGGTGTGAGGTGATGGTGAGGGTGCTCGCAAAGACGAGAGCGCCCAAGACAAGGTGAGAAAGACGTTATAAATTCATCGCGGATGTGCAGTGGCGGTGAGCTTGAAGGTTACCAATTATTCCTATCCCGTGTGCAACTCAGGATAGTTGAAATCAGCATCGCGCGTTGGCCCGGGAGTCAGCCTGCGTTGGTTGTGCGGGCGCCAGCTTCAGGGTGAGGTGAGGAACGGGAAAAGGGCAAGACCAACAAGTCTCGGAACCAAAAGTGAAGTAGTGGCTGTGGGTAGGTATATGATAAGCGTCACCGCAAGGCCAGCTTTGTTGGTGCCGGTCGAGGGCGGACGAGATGAAAAGTGAAGCAGGTGATACTCAGAGCAGAGTCTTGAAGTTTTAGTGAGTTGTGAAGGAAAACGCCAAGGGAGGTTGAAAGAGGCCTCGGGGAGGTGGGTTTTGCCAAGGCCGCTACCAACCCGGGTAGCTCGCCCGAGTGAAAAATGGTCGGGGGGCTGTGGCGGCAGTGGATGGGACTTCCAAATTTACTAGCGTGCTGTCGGAAGAGGGACTACGTAAGGTACCTAAGGGAGATAGGCAAGGTAAGGTACCTAGGCCACTGCTTGCTTCAATCTCGCTCGGTTGCTTGCTCGCCTAATAATGTCCACTGTGCTGCTTCCGGTTTGTCCTTGCTTTCGCTGAGGTGAGCACCCCGTCATCAAGTGGAGGTCCGGAAGGCTAAAAAGTCGAAAGGTCTCGACCCAGCAGCAGCCGCGGCATCCACGCCCCAGGCAAAGGAAGATCCTCAACCAATCCCAGAGACTGCTCCGTACCTAGCACGCCTACGGAGTAGTGGAGGTACGTAGCTCCAGCAGATCCTGCAACAGGGTATGCGGGTTTGGCGTGGTCTTGGCAATCTTTGAAGGTGCATGTGCCGAAAGTGGACAATGCCGGGGATGCAGTTGGCTTTGTTTGTGTGGAGGGAGAATCGGGTGCCTTCTGCTGCTGTCCGTCCTATCTCCAATTGCGTCAAGACAAGTGCTGTAGATCACAGCTCCCTACGACGATATGGGGAAAGGAAGGGCGGGTACTTGAACAGATAAGCCTGGCAACGTGGTGGCCGCCTTTGCCAATCGAAAGAAGGATGGGCCCAGGCCAAGGTGTGAAGAAGGGAAGAAGCAAAACGAGAAGAGGAGCCAGTCACTGAGCCAGTCACGTCAGTTCCGATGTCCGTTAATAATGGTGGTGCGCAATCGCAGGACCTTTCTCCTTCATCCCGGCTAGCCCAGGGTACCCAGGTGTGAGAATTGGCTGTTGCAACCGCGACCCCGGCTGCCATGCTTTGATAGAGCCAAAAAGAGTAAGAAAAGGTCAAGTTGGAGTGTACCATCGTTCTGAATGGTGGTACCCGGAGCCGCGATGTACATACTTGTACATGCTTCCTTGGAACATGGCAATTAAGGAATGACATTAGTACGAGTAGTAGTACGCCACACTTCCCACCTGAGCCAACGTCATCCGTAGTTCTGCCGTGCGTCCCCAGGCGCAGGCCCGCCTGAAACATCCCGTCCGATTTTGAACCCTCTTTCTACTTTGCCAACGGAGAGTTCCTAGCCTCCGGGAAAAGTCACTGTCAGGCATGGCAGCTACCCATGCATGCATGCTGCACAGTATGCAGGGCGCTGGTGCCGTGCAGGGTAGCTTACAGGAGACAGTTCACCATGCTTGCCCGGAAGGAAGTGCCAAGACATCCACCGCTCACACTTGCTGCTCGGTGCAACACGAGATAACACGCTGGCGTATGGCCTGTGCGTTTCTGCCTCAGCCTCAGATATTGGCATCCTTGAGCACGTGTCAGTGGCCAACCGGGAGGGGGGAGCCTCGCATAGATCAAGAGCAATATACCTGCAGAAAACCGTGAAGCGGTCTGCAAGAGAGAGAGAGCGTGTTTCTGTCAGAGGACAGGGAAAAGAGAGCAGCTAAACTCACGTAGCATGCATATGTAGTGTCCCGCTGCACCCAGATTTGATCCGCCAGTCATTCATTGTTTCAGCAGGCGAGAGAGCATATTTTCATGGCTCATGGCTGTCCGGTGTCGGCCCTTCTTCAGCTTCCCTTCTGCACAGCGGACAGTCTTATCTGTCAATCAAGACCACACACCAGAGATATTCTTCGGATCAAACCGGGAAATATCACGATCCTTCACCAGAGCCATGTCGGTAAGCCGGGAGCAAACTCACCGCAACTCAGGATCTGTAAGCAGCAGACAATATCAAGGACGTGCGACATCAGCGCGGTATGTGATGGTATCAATTCAATGAAAGCACTCATGTGTGCTGGGTATATTCAGTCTCTTAACGTAGCACTTCTTCTAAATTCAGATACCAACGCCGATGATGCAATGCCCAAAGCGCAAGCAAGGGAGACGACCGTGCTCCCATCCATCACTGCTGCTTACGCCTATCACGCTCCCTCTGCAGTTTCTTGAAGAATGCGTGGCTCTCCTTCTTGTTCTTCTTGAGTGTCTTGTTCATGGACTTGTTCTGTTCGACGTATGCCATGTCCTGCCCGCCACTCAGCTCATTGAGCGTTCCGGCAGTCCGGCGGACCTTGGGTTTGCGCCTCTGCGCGCGGCCCTGGCTGCCCTGATGCCACAGATCGTCAATCACCTCCTCGTCCTCTTGAGACACGAGCACGTCCTGCAGCAGCTCACGTCGCTCTGAAGGTGACGCAAAGGCCAGGTCGGGCGTCTTATCTATGTCCTGTAGTTGGGTGATGACCTTGAATGCGTAGCCTTGATCAACCAAGAACGCCTGTCGCTTAGAAGAGTAGAACATCTCTTGGGTGTCCTTGGATACAAGAGAGTAGAAGAAGGCATTAAAGCCTTCATCGTTGCGCCGCTTCGCTCGGAGGATGCGACCAAGGCGCTGAGCCTCTTGTCGACGGGAACCGTAGTGGGACGAGATCTGAATGAGGCAAGTGGCTTCGGGGAGATCGAGAGATGTGTCTCCGATCTTGGATAGGAAGAGTGTGTTGATCGCAGGGTTATGCTGGAAATTTTCCAGAATCCTGATCCGTTCATGCTGAGCTGTCGCCCCGTAAATCATGGCCTTGCCCAGCTTTTCTGCGTATCGTTTGAGAGCCCACACGTCGTCAGAGAACACGATGATTTTGTCTCCCCGAGACTCGTGGTAGTTGATCAAGTACTGGCACGCCTGGAACTTGGTAGGGTTCATCACATAGAGGAGCTGCTTCTTCCTGCCAGGGGCCTTGAGATACTCTTCGTAAAATTCAGTGGGCATGGAGCACCACACCTCTGCACACTGGACCTTGGCAATGTGTCCCTGCTCAGACAACTCCATCCAATTGGCCTCATACAATTTTGGCCCAATAAGGAAGTTGAGATCGGAGATCTTGTCGTCCTCTCGGAGCAATGTTGCTGTCAATCCAAGCTTGGAGTGTGTTTTGATCCGGGTTGTGACCTTTCTGAAGATCTGGGCCGGCACCACATGCACCTCGTCAAGAAGCATGAGACCCCACTCTCGTCCTGATAAGAAATCCATCATCTTTTTCGCATCGTGCGACCTCTCCCGGGTCTGAGTGACCATGGAGTACGTTGTAACAACGATGCCGGTATTGCCCGAGAACATCGACTTGTTGTCAGAGGTAAAGACAGCGATGTCATCCGGGTTGATATTGGACCACTTGAGAAATTCCTGCCGCCACTGCACAACGGACATGGAACTGGTGCAGAGAACGATGATGCCCTTCTTGACTGTGCAAGCCGCTGTGATGCCGACCAAGGTCTTGCCTGCGCCGCATGGCAGAACAATGATTCCGCTCTTCGCGCGGCCGTTACCGAACATCTTACTCAGGCTCTTCTCCTGGTATGGTCGAATCTGCGTAGCTGGCCGAAGATCAATCTCAAGGTTGGCATTGACCTCGTCGTTGCGGAAGTCGTATTCCTCCAACACGGGGAATCCGAGCTCCAGGCAACGTTTCTGGACCGTCTCTACGCCCTCATCTTTGATCTCGAAAGAGTGGACGGCTTCTTTATCGTCGTCGTCGTCTTCTTCGTTGAGCGCTGCGTAGATATTGCCTTCCTCGGGTTTTTCTCCTTCTTGACCCTGCTGCTTGTCGCCACTCTTGATCTCCGTCGCTTCACGGACACCAGCAGCATTCTTAGTACCGGGGATAACGAGGCCGCCCATCGTAGGAGCAAGACTTGTGCCTTCAGAGCCATGTACCCTGAACTGGGATATCTCCGGGTCTTTGAGCAACATCTGCAGCATGTTGGGGTCTGTCGTCTCGACCAAATACTTGGTGTTTTTCAGTACAAGCTTGATCTTTCCGTACGACTCAGTGCAGCCTTCGATAAAGCTACGAACTCCGTCTGGAAGAGGGGTCTTCAGGAAGCGATTCAATGCGTTGATGATGTCCTTGGGATTGAGTCCCACACTGACCGCCGCATAAAGACTATGGGTAGTCAGCATGTACTCGTGCAGGAATGTCGGCCTTGACAGAGGCTCTGCAATGGTGATGAGGAAGTCTTGTGCCTGGGGCGCAAGCGGATTGAAGCTTTCCAGAATGATCAACCCTTTCTCGGGGTCGATCCATAACGGGCGGTTCTCATGGTCAGGCTTCAGCTTCAACCAAGAGAAGTCCTTCTTTCCGAAAAGGTGAGAAACCGCGTCGTAGCCGACGGCCTTGGGCTTGCGTTGATAGCCGGCGAGCGAGAATTTTCCATGTGCTTTGTCGAGGTTCTCTACTTCAGATTCGCTAGCTATCTCCTGGTCGCTGTACTCGTCTGAGCTTCCGATGCTCCGTGGCGTCTCGGCACCAGGCGTAGAGACGCCGGAAGTCCTGCCAGCCTTGGAGGCGCCACGGATAGCGCCCGACGCCTTGCGCTTGGGAGGCATGGCTGGCAGCACAATACCCCCAGAACGGGGTTCTCCTAGCTACCCTTTCAACCAAACGGGATATATGGATCTGGATGGATCAGAAAGAGTCGGCTGTGCCAGTGTGAACAGAGGAAGACGATATTGATGATGATGGCAGTGATGAGTTGATGTTAAGATGGGGAATGGTTGCCTGAACTGCTTAATAAATGCGGGTCAATACAGTGGGAGTAGCGATTAAATCAGACTGTGAGTGTGGAGTCTGTGGTTCAGAGTGTCATGTGGGGGGGGCGACTGAATAATCTCGTCGTCCGGCTTCTTTGAGCTTCCTAAAAGCACCCCCACTACCTTTCTTGAGTACTTCGAAAGTGACAAAGTGATCCCGATAAGCTCGAAACCAAAGCGTCGCTACCTTGATAGAGTGTTCGAGGACTGCGCTCTGCAATCTGCCTTTGACTTCACCTATTCCATCCTTCTACTTCTTCCTTACTTGCTTTTACCAAGGTGCGGGAGACGTTCAATATTGGCGCGAGACCGCGTCTCCCCATTCTCCCAGCGAGTGATACTTCGAAGTCATAATTCCACGATGTGGTAAGTACTCTATCATGGTCGACACGGCCCGACCTGTGTGTACATTCTCATCTAATGCAATCGTTGAAGCAAACATGTTCTCAATGCCCAAGTGGCTATCCGATCTCCATGCTGTAGGTGCCCAAAGACATAGACTTCAACTGGTCGCGCGTTCGCCTGGTCACTGATCAAGCACTCTTTCCCAGGCCGGAAATGGTTCGACTGCGTAGAATGCCATCAAGAACAAGAAGATCACCCTCTGCTTCAGAAATTCGAGATGATCTTTGCCTGCAAGAAGTGCAAAAAGTGCTTCCGGAAAGATGCGCGAGAATTCGAGGAGGCCGACGAATACTGCCCCCACTGCGACAACCACTTCGTCCTGGACGCCGTTACACCAAAGGCGGCCATATCTATCGAGAGTGATGATGTAAGGATGGACAGCAGGATGCTTCGGGATGAGCGTGTCAAGGGTGAGGAGGGTCGAACAATATTTGATCCCGAGGGGGATGCCGACAAACTTGGGTAAAGGTGGAGGAGGGAGAGGTTCACGTTTATGAGCATTTGCGCAAGTCATTTGCATGGCGTTCAGGGAAAATGTTATTACACGAGTGTATAGCTCACAAAGATGTGGCGCACGAGCGCCCTATGTCCTGTCACGGACCTAGTTCCTGCTGTCCGTATGTTCCCCTTCTCGTAACTGTCTACTGCTCCTCGGACTCGCCCTGTGCGCCCCTGGTCAGGATCGCCGCGCTGCCGGTGCCAGGTGTCCGGCCCGTCTTCTTCTTGGCAGCCTCCTCCTGCTTCTCCTGCTCAATGTTCTTGACGTAGTTCTCGATGTCCTCGACAGGAAGCATCTCGATCGCCTTACCAGGGGCCATGATAGCAATCTCGATGTTCTTGGCTCCGGTCTGCACAACCTCGAGGAGGGACTTGATCGCCAGCCGAATGGTCTGCTCCCGGTCCATGTCTTCCTTGTAATTGCGCTCGAGGAACTCGCGGACCGTCTTGCTCGAACGGCCGATAGCATTCGCTTTCCTGCAAAATCGTCAGCGGTCTGTATGGGCGTGATCTATGCGCCAGCCACTTCACACATACCATGCGGAATAAATTCCTGAGGGTTCTGTCTGATAGAGTCGGGGAACAGTGCTTCCCTTGTCGAATCCGACCACGAGAGTGCTGATACCAAAAGGCCGAACACCGCCGCTTTGCGTGTAGCGTTGCTGAACACCAGCGACGTACTTGGTGATGTACTCTATCGTGACAGGGTCCTCGACAGTCAGGCGGTGTGACTGGGCTTCTAGTCGCGCCTTGTCGACAAGGATTCGGGCATCGGCATTCAGACCGGCGAATGCCAAACAAACGTGGGTATCAATCAGACCGAGCTTGGAGGGAGTGATTCGTGTGTCCTGCAGCTTCATGGCAGATCGCTTCTCGCATCCGAGTACGACAATATCCTTGCCCTTGACGCCGACCGCACACGTTCCTGTACAGTGCATCAGCTTGCCGTAGAATGACCCGACAGATCTGGGTGACGAACCTCTCTTCACTGCTTCACCGGCATACTCGACTTGGAAGACGTGTCCATCGGGACTAGAACACTTGTGAGATTGTGGATTAGAATGGCGGGCATCTGTGGCACAAACCTGAAGACTAGAATGACCGGGTTAGTATTCCGTGTTCGCAGCTACGGGTGGTAGAGATGGATGCTTACCAGACAGAGCTCTGTCGTAGCCGGAAGCCATGATGGAAATTCGGGTGCTCAGTAACAGCACTCAACAGAAAGAAGGATGGCCGTCGTCAATCACCGAGAAGCCGTGTCTTGGGGTCGATTGTGGTGTATGGGAGAGTGTGATGCAGCGGTCAAATGTTTGATGGTTTCAGCTGTTCAGGGCGCGAGGTGTTGAGGGACAGACAGGCTGCAGCTCTGACGAAGCTCTAAGGAAAGGCTGAGGGAGTGGTGGCTGCTGCGATTGGTGTGGAAGCCGGGTAGGTCCCACCTTTTTAGCACTCCTCGCCAAGAGCTCCTGAGAGCTCCTGGGGCGCATCACGTGCTTACGTGACCAGAGGATTCAACGACAAATCTCGTTTTTCAACATGCACGCGCCATACGTGTCTCTGGATCCGGTCTATCTTGAAAAAGTTCATTCTTGATCTGGACACCATCAGTTCTCACACTCTGCCCTAACGCCAGTCAAATGCGCTTGGGACCCGCCTTGTTACAGTGACTAGTCATGATCAACTGAGGACCGATGGTCCCTGTCGCCAAATCTACACAAAATTCGTGTCAGGATGCTCACTCTCGGCCTCGCACTCTCTTCACAGAAAGCACCGTTGCCGTGGTGCTACCAAGAAGTCGAACTCAGCGTCAATGAGATGATTAGGTACTTGGTATCAGCCTACCGACACCCGATCTATCCTGGGAGCAACGAATCCGCAGCAGCTGGCCTCTATTGGAAGCATTCTTGTTGATTCCGGTGCCCAATTTACTAGTTACAAAACTTCCACAGCTACTTGTATGCGTGACAGCGCCCGCGCGGATGCTATTCTTGTGGAGATAGAAGGCCATCTCAGTATCAAGGGCGGGAGCCAGCCAGAGGCCACTCTCAGATTCCGTACTTGCTAGAATGCATCTACAGGTACGGCAGCATATCTTTTTCTGCAGAGCTTGCATCTGGCGGTCAAAGGCACTTGACAACGAGAGTTCTTTCTCCCGTGCCCTTGCATGGCTTGTATCGTGGTTCGAGGATTACCTCAATTAGGTGACATTTTGAGCACGAGGAGATCCTCTACCGAGTGAACAACGATCCACAATTGGGCCCTTCCTATATGAAATGCTCGAGTTTTCGTCAACGGTCGCGATGTCGCTCTGCCATGGGCCTCATTCCTACGGGCTACAGAAGAACTTGCGAAGCTGAATGGCTGCACAGCGGGATCCAGTCTCAAGATGGCAATGCAGCAGTGAGGGCGCAAGGGGCGGATGAGAAACAGCCGAGTCTTATGCAGCTTCTGGGATACCCATGATCATTGGTAGGATGTCTCAAATACCTTATGGAGTACAAGCCTCCCCACGATCTTCTTAGCAGCCATCAAGCCCTGGCAAAGGGTCCCAGAATGGCATCATGGTGAGTAACATCTGGGACACGGCACCTGCACCCATGTCAGCCCAAGCCGACTAGCCAGGGGCGCTAGATTTAGAATAAGCGATACCCTGCAGGCCGCTGGCTGCCAGACAAGCGAGACCCGTGCGGGTCCCCTGGCCACCCGTACCTACTCTTGTGCACTTGGCACCACGGATTGTACTTGTACACAAATGTGCGGGGAGTCCCACCAACCACACCATGAGATGGCATCGTTGATAGGCCCACAGCAATGGTAGGCTGCGCCGAGAACGCACCGGCTGCTGGCTGAGCACCGCCAGATGGCAGAGACTATGCTGCAAAGAGGAAATCAAAGTCACTGTCGTCTCGATCAAGACAGCTCTGATTGGGGGGCATCTCAGGCACAAGATGTACCGCCTCCCCCAAGACCCCGTACCCTCCCGTGGCCCCGTGCCTCCCAAGCCTAGATACGTATCTAGGCTTGGGGCAATGTCGATCAGTACTGCTTCCAATTCAAACCTCGTACTGCAGTCATTCTGATTAGTTATCGGGGAGCTGCGAGACGATAAGTGCCCAGAGTCAAGGGATCGACAGTCCCTCTTTGTCTAATTTGTTGCCGTACGAATATTCTGGGCTAGATCTCTGTAGAAGCTGACTTGACTGAGCCGACAAGCAGGTGAGACAGACTCCAGCCCAGGTCAACAAAAGGCCCGGCGATCCTCGGCCGTCATATTATTCTCTACATTGTTAGCGGCTCTACGTGAGATCAACATCTCGGGACATGGGGGTTGATCTGTAGTATCATTCGTCCAAGCCTGCAACCACCAAGTGACTTGGGGGTCCAGCCGTTGGCGAGAATCCGCACCGCGTCCTTTTGCTCCTCGTGCATCCCTGTCCCTTCCTGCAGCCCTATGGCGCCTTTCCGTCCTGCTGGTGCAACGATGTCCAGGGATGGAAACAACGGCACAGCCTCTCTCTTGGACCTGTCCTGTGTCGTGGCTCATCAAGCTCACGACGCATGCATCGCCAAGAGTCTGCACCGTTCCTACCGGCTCGATCCAGGATGTGGCCCGGTCCAGTCTTCCATCCCCACCCGTATTCATCAAGTCTGCCCTGACCACCTGTCTAAACGACCCCATCGCGGTGGTACCAGACTAAAAGAAGGTGTGTCCAAACTTGGTGACTTCGATGGAACGTTCCGGGATGGATCCCATCCCCATTGTCCCTGGTACGTGTTTGCAGATTGCTGGAGAGCCACTCGCCTTGGCCCTCACAGTCATGCATCTCTCCGTAGGTGCAATGTCTCCAACACCATGCCGTATCCGGAAAATAAGGAGTACCCCTTGTGGCGAGTACAGGGACGACATAGCACGTACTGTGCATGTCAAGTCAATGTGAATTTTCTGATGTTTCGTGAACTGCCGACTAGACGTCGCCATAGCCCTTGTCGACCGGCCCGCTGCCCAGACTACATCCGCTTGGATCCGATTCCTGTACCTTGGGGCACTGATTGTTTATCTTCTCTACGTCCCGGCCGAGTGACACCCCAACTTCCCCCAACACCAACCCGGAGATATATAAAGAACCGGAACCATGATCAGTGGTTTGACATGGTCGAACCTCATCCCCTCAGAGGAATCTTGACATAATGGTCGGCGTTCCAGGCAAATACAAAGGCTGCGAGACCTGTCGGCTACGTAGGGTGAAGGTATGATCTCGTTCCCGACGGCCCGAGATGTGGGATCTGGCCTCATCTAATCGTTTGAGCAGTGCGATAACGAACGGCCCTTTTGCAAAAAATGCCTCGATAGTGGCCGGCAGTGCGCTGGGTATGAGCGCGAGACTGTGTTCATCATAGGAACACTGGACGATGGAGGCCGGTGTTCTTCGCATCCGCCCCGTGTCATCAAGTCGAGAAAGGCCAAAGGCAGCTCGCCGAGAGCAGGTTCGCCGAAACCTGGTCCATCAAAGGAGAAGGCGCCCGAGAGAGCTCAGGGTGACCCTATAACCCTCGTTGCCGTGGAACCTCTGCGGCCGGCGTGGGACGATCTCATCTCCGTTTCGGACCGCGATAGCTTCCATCAAGTTCAGCTCGCAGCTCTACGCACAAGTCTTCAGTCCTTGAATCGGGAGACAGATAGTGTAAGGGATGCGAGCTTCCAAGTAACAGGATTTGAGACATATGCTCCAGCAGACCTACACCCACCGCCAGTGGAAGAAGAGTTCACAATACACGCACAATGCATGGTGCACTTGAACCAGCCAAGCGACAACCCGACCGCCAATATAGAGGCAGCTGTCACAGATAGCATCTGCCTGTATCTCTACGAGGTTCGTTAACCTGTGGCCGTTGAGTCGCCTTGCGAGCGAGCCCTGATTCTTTTCTAGCATAACGCCTCGCTCAGGTACGATAGCCTGCCCCCGTGGAGCGGTTCTGCTTCTCAGTCAGACCCGGTGAAGCGATTGGGTCCAGAAGCTTTCAAAGGATTTCCAAGTCACCACTTTTTTGTTCGAGTGTATCGTCCTACTGCAGTATGTTTACATCCCTCCAGCCAAGCTTTCTCGAGTGCTAAAACGAACCCCTAGATATCTGCTGCGCTCATAAACCGCCAGAACACCTTCCTGTCAGGACCGCAGTGGCTCACTGTACCGTGGGAGACCTATCCCAAGTCATGGACAGACAGACTCTTCGATACAATCTTGCTCCTCCCATCCCTCCTATCCCGCTGCGATCGATTACTACCATACAACCCCACCATGGCTCGCCGCCTCATGGCCCAAGATCTACTTGTCAATTGCTTGAGTGTTGAGAGACTTCTAGACGATTGGCATGTCGCTGTGAATCCTGGCTGTGTGGACCTCACACAGCCGCTGGCGTTCTGGATGGAGGCTCCAGTTGATGCGCATGCTCATATCCCCTTTGCTGAGGCCTTTGCCTTCCAGAACTCCGTGGCGGCGGTGACCTTCATCTACTATTGGACGTCATTGATAGTATTTTACCAATGTATCGAGCGAGTCCACTCGGTCATCTTTCAGCCCGTTGTCGACGCTTTCCCTCAGATCTACCCAGATCTACCCCCGAATCTGCACATCGACGTCAGCAAGTACTCCATGGAGAAGGTCAGAGATCTGGCGGCCAATGTGTGCCGTGGCTTGGACTTTGCGCTCAATTCAACGGTTCAGCCAGATCTGCTAGTGGCGCCTCTGTTCATCATCGAGCAGTTATACAAGGAGGTCAATGCTACCTATGGTGACGCTGCATTGGAGCTCATTTGGTGCGACGGCTTCCGCATGAGGCTGGCGGCGAAAGGTCAAGACCTCGTTGAGGTGATTCAAACCCGGAGCTGGATTGATCTGGGCGAGTATTAGGATCCCATTCATTGTCGAGTTATTTGCATTGCGGGAGCGTTGGGGGATTTCATGACCATTCACCTCATTCACTTGGATAGCTGTTGTAGAAATGAAGGCTAGATCATGGTTTTGCGAAGGCCGTTTGGACATAGACTTTGTGAGGGAGTTATTTTTTTACTTCGTCCGATGTTGAGTTGCTACCCTTGACCATAGATATTGCGCTTCATTCACCTAACTTCAAAGATGACAATAAAAAAGAGATTCACTACTGCACAATATCAAAGCAGGTGTACTGAGCACAGCTCCGCTTCTGCCTCTTCAATAAAATCTCCAGAGCATCCTGATGATGAGGAGAGCCTGACCATTGGAGTGTTCATCATATGACATCGACCTCGGAGCAGGAGAAGCAACACACAGATTTGCCTGCCTGCGTCACCCTCGTTGCTGAAGGGTTTTCGACTCTACATACCATCCCTTTCGCAGCGGTCGCCCACCAGAGATATGCCGCCCAAGCGAGCTGCCTATGTGATCTGGGTCAACGGGGTGACGAACCCAGACCAGCTCGCAATCGCCAGGAGGCTCGCTGCCTTTCTCGGCAATGGCGCCACCGCTGTTGACCTGTCTGTCAGCACCGCCACTTCGATCCCGCCCGATAAGCGGTCTCAGGACCGCGCGCGCAACGATGCGCTCTTGAAATTCGTCTTTGCAGCGGACCGGAAGTACAAAGCTGTTGTCATCACAGGTAAGCTTTGCCGATTTCCCCACTCAGTCCCGAGGCGTTCCGGAGCTCGACGTGATGATCTTCGTTTTGCTGACACGGCCAAGACCTACAGTACAACACGGCACAAGGCAGACACGCCTTTGAAGAGGTCCAGACTGCCGCAAGGGTGGCTGACCGACCTTTCCTACCGGTCTACTTGAACAGCGCCGCCACTGCGACCGCCACCACGACCGCCACCGGGAAGGCAGGTCAGAACACAGCAGATTCGATGGAGGACAAGGGACCACCACAAATCAAGAGGGCTCTGGCGGGAGGCCACGATGGCAGAAGCAAGGCTGACTCCAGTGGCGCGAGGCGAGATTTCGGCGATGCCGCCGGGGGCGCGGCAGCCGACGGCCCCACCAATCGCGTGGCGGATGCCGAGATGCTGTTCCGTGGCCCCGGCACTGAGGGCCTCTCTGTCGACGCATGGGGCCGATCAGGTGCCGCAGCTGCCTTGGAAATCTACAGGCACGTGTGCGATCTCGAGCAGGGGGTCAAGTGGGTTGATCTCGAGGAGGATAGTGATGACGGAGGGTGGAGTCTCGTCTCCAAAGGTCGCGAGCCCGACCCATGAAAGACGGCACCTCGCCTATCGGCATGGAGGCGGTGCAAGCGGGCCATGCTCAGGTCGCGATTTATGGACAAGGCAGAGGAGCTTCTATCTTTGCTGTGCCGCAGAAGGATTGATGCAAGGCATGGTATCTTGTGTGGTTAGCCGTGTACATTGGAGGATCCTGCACCCGAGCTTGTCCCTACGCCTCGTCGCCTGCGGTTCGTGCTGCTTTGTCGGGCTCGTTCGCGGGGAGGGGACTGACGCGGCAGGGCGGCGAATTATTTTTGTGCACCAGGTATGCTTCGTCTTGTCCAATGCAAGTGGACCGACGATCCTCACGGGCTTCGCGTCTTGGCGAATCTCGAGGCAGCGCAGTACGGGCAAATGAAGTCAATTTAAAGATGCCAGTATGTTACGGCAACTTCTTAATACCACCTCTGGAATAGTGCAAACTGCTAGTTTAGCGCCCATTCGCCAGCATGATGTTTTAGACATGATGACTTGACTATGAGCCATCCCAGCCAGACTTCCACTTTTCCATGTCAAGCGGTATCCGTACTCTGTACTCCTGTAACGCGTAAAAACTACCCGTTTAGATTTGCTGGGATTCAGAACCTGATCGACGCGGTACGAACGGTTCCTTGTCGGTACACGAGAGGACAGTGTTCCCCATTTCCAGTCACACAGTATCACTTACACATAAACCTCAGGTGCGTGGCTCGACTCCCCAGCATGACAGCTCTCTCCACGGGGCAAGAATATCTAGGTTTCCAAGGCCTTGTTTGAAGGAAGCCATAGGCCATCCAAAGGCGGACTCTTTTAGAGATGGCCAGCCCATCAAGCCCTCTTCACACATAACTTCCGTCCAAATTGAAACTGCGTTTCTCCAGGCCGTGACTAATAAGAAGGATATTCCTACGTATCGAGCCGCCGGAACATACCTCCTTCGATCATCCCACTGAACCGCGAGGGGCAGTCCAATAGGTTCAGGTTGCAGATCTACAGAGCATGCTGCCAGCCGGGACGGAACGACTAGTTCATCCCATTTCGACAGAGGATGGAAGGATTCGAAAGACAGGCCAAGCCGTGACTGAAACCTCAAAAATAGGGGAAGAATAGGGGGGGCTAAATCCAGCCGGTTGGTTGATGCACATGCCGTTGCATTGGGCGGGCCACGCACATTATGCAAAGCTGCCACACCCTCCCGAGCCAACACCTCCACGTCGACTACATTCATTGCCTGAAAGAAAACAGGTTACAATCCTGGAAGATGAAGGAGAATCCCTTCTGGGGATTCATGTGTGGCTTTCCGCAATGATTATCGCCCAGTTCAAGTGGCAGAGGGTCAGATCGAGTCTTTGGAACATCAAGCCCGAGAAAAGCTCCAAGGCTGAGTCTTTGATACTCAAGACCACCCAATGCTCATTCGCTCGAACCCCATAGACAAGAACAGCTACAGACAAGGGTAGCCCCTGTGCCAATCGTTGGCAACCTCCGCCCTAAATGGGCTGGATGAGACTCGAAATCTGGGGGTAGCCCTGCGTGCATTGTCGACGAAGTGGGCTTGGAGGCTGTGAGACTCTTCTCGACAGGGTACGGATGGGCCAACCACGTCACAGAACAGCTGTTTCGGGCACAACTGCCTGTGGATCGAGCCCTTGAGCGCGGGTCGGAAGAGCGTGTTTCAGGCTCCATTGATGATACTCGGCGCCTGATGCTGTCTGAAAGGATGGCCTCATAGGATAGCTGAGTTCCTGCCAACCTGCCTGGTCCCTATACTACGTAGACGATTGCATGATAAACGGTGCCACATTCCCACTGGCGAAGTGTTTCGTCTCTTGATGCATTTGCCTCTGTTAAAGAGACAGACACTCCCCTTTTCGCTTGGATATAGGTTGTCTGGTTTGATCCCCTCTTACTCTCACCAGTTGAGCTGCTGCCTCTGGTAGATTCCATCTTTTTATTTGTGTAATTCTCTTGAGCTTGACGCCCTTCATTTTGTTTCTCGTCCTTTGCATCCATTCATTTCTATTCAACTTACGAGCAGGGATCGCAAGCGAACCCCACGATTCGCTTCTTATTCGGCTTCTGTCAATTAGCGCCAATCAACAAGGCGCGCGGGACTCGTCGGGTTTGGGTTGGGCACAGCTACAGCGCTAACGGCAGACGACGGTAGTGACAATGGCGGTGGAGAACAGCACTGTGGGCGCCCAGCAGGGCCCTGGAAACGGGAATTACCACCCCGGCCCGGACACTCTGCCCGGCAACGCAGGGTCCAGCGAAAGGTTCCCTGCATATTGTTTACATTCGCACGGTGACGACGCTACTGCTGCTCCCACCATCACCGCCGCCGCCGACGACGACGTCAACACTCGCTCTTTCAACGACAACCTGCCCAAGACACCCAACGAGAAATATTTGCAGAGGCCGCACTCCGTCTCTTTGCAATCTACTGCATCGTTTGCGTCCGCGTCCGACTGCAGCGACAGGGACGCCGATTCGTTCTTTGACTCGCGCCGGGCATCTGTTATCAGCACCGCCTCCTCCCTTTACTCGGTAGCCACATCTCCGCTCCAGTACAAGCAGCAGCAGCAGCAGCAGGACCACTCGCCGCCCCTCACTCGCAGCCGGAGGGACGCCAAGCAGTTGCATGCGGCCCGGCTCCAGCGCTCCGGATCGACGAGCCTCGCCCTCGGAAGCAACAGGGAGAAGAAGGAGGGGCCCCGGTCAAAGAGGTTCCACCGGGGCACCGTCGGCGCCAGTCCCCAAGACGCCCTCTCCGCCACCGAGCCGCCACATGAGCAGGGCCTGACGAGGATGGCGTTTGCAGAGCAGCAGCGGTGGATCACCGTGCAGCAGAAGACTTTTACCAAGTGGCTCAATACCAAGATCCAGGAGAGGAACCTCGAGGTGACCGACCTGGTCAAGGACCTCAGCGATGGCGTGAGTATTGACCCCGAGTTTGGCGCGGCAAAAAAAGCGAAGACAAAAACTGACAGGTTCTTTTTCGGAAAGGTCATCCTCATCCATCTTTTAGAATGCCTGTCCAGTGAATCCCTGGGTCGATATGCCGCCAAGCCCAAGCTTCGGGTGCAGCGATTCGAGAATGCCAACCTGGCGCTCGACTTTGTCAAGTCTAGGGGGATTCAGATGACCAACATTGGTGCTGAAGACGTGGTGGATGGCAACAGGAAGATCATTCTGGGCCTCATATGGACTCTGATTTTACGATTCACCATCAGTGACATCAACGAGGAGGGCATGACGGCAAAGGAAGGCCTGCTTCTGTGGTGTCAACGGAAAACCGCCTGCTACGATGAGGTTGATGTCCGTGACTTCAGTGCCAGTTGGAATGACGGATTGGCGTTCTGCGCCCTTCTGGATATCCACCGACCGGATCTGATAGACTATGACGCTCTCGACAAGTCCGACCACCGGGGCAACATGCAGATGGCATTTGATATCGCTCATAAGGAGATCGGTATCCCCAAACTGCTCGATGTGGAGGATGTCTGCGATGTGGCCAAGCCAGACGAGCGCAGTCTGATGACATACATCGCCTACTGGTTCCACGCCTTCTCGCAGATGGAGAAGGTTGAGAACGCGGGCCGTCGAGTCGAGAAGTTTGTCAACAATATGCAAGGCGCATGGGAGATGCAGAGCGCCTATGAGAGGAGGATGGCAGAGTTGTTGAAACACATCAGGGCGCAGATGCAGGAATGGCAGGCTGCGACGTTCCAAGGGACGTATGCAGACGCCAAGGCCCAAGCCCACGCCTTTGCCTCATACAAGAGAGGCAAGAAGAGGGACTGGGTCGCTGAGAAGAGCGAACTGGCGACACTACTCGGCAATATCAAGACAAAGTTGGGCACCTACCGGCTCAGGCCATATGAGCCACCGGCCGAGCTGCGACTGGAGGTCATGGAGTCGGAGTGGGCCAGCCTCGCAAAGATGGAGATGACGAGGGGCCAATTGATCAACGAGACCATTCGAGAGTAAGAGGCTCCCCTGCATGCCAATATTCCATGATCTGGTACTAACTGACACCGTGTGAACAGCATCAAGAATGCCCTGCGCAAATCTTTTGCCGACAAGGCCAACGATTTCGCGCTCGCCCTCAATACTATGCAGCTCGCCATCTCTGGACTGGAAGGTGATGTTGAGGACCAGCTACACCACGTACGCAAACTCAGCGAGAACTTGCCGCCTCTTGACCAGTATCTCGAGGCTATCGCTGCTGTCGACGTCAAGTGCCAAGAAGCCAACATTGAGGAGAACGACTTCACCACCTACACCTATGACGAGCTCTGCTACGAACTCGGCCTTGTGAAGTCATCGGTGTCGAAGAAACTGTCTTTCCTCGACAACCAGATGGTCGCTCGCAACATGACCAACCTCACCCCTATCCAGCTCGAGGAGTTCGAGTCTGTCTTCCGTCACTTTGACCGGGACGATTCCAATTCCCTCCAGGAGCTCGAGTTCTCCGCGGCCCTGGCTTCCTTGGGACTCGTCTTCTCCGAGGACGAGATGCACGAGTACTTTGTGGAGACGGCTCATGGGCGTGACAGGGTCACCTTTGAGCAGTTCATCCGCTTCATGGTCGACGTGACCGAGGACCAGAACACAGCTGAGCAAGTCTTCCAGTCCTTCCGCGAGGTTGCAGACGGCAAGCCATATGTCACCGAGATGGACTTGCGCCACTCCCTTGTGCCGGACGAGGTCATTGACAAGCTGGTTGAGATCATCCCGCCCCATACCGGACCGGACATGGCCGAAGACAGGGGCCAGCCGCAGTACGATTACATTGCCTTCATGGACAAGCTCATCGCCGACGAGAGAAGCCAGTCGCCAACCAAAGCGAATGGCATTCACTAATAGTTGCCGTTCGCCTCGCACTTATCAGTCTCTCCTTCTCCATCCCTTTCAGAGTATATACGCCCCCTTCGCCTTTATTTTGTTTAACAACTATTACCATCAAAAGTGACGGCATAGGACAAGCGAGTTTGCCTGTCCCTTTGCTCGCCTCGGTCTGTACGGGAGGGGAGAGGTTTTCCATCATTGCATTGCAGATTGGTGTTTTGGGTGACCTTTGCAGCATTTCTCCCCCCACACAGAAGAGAACATACCCCATTTCATTTGTCTACCAGGCCAAGGGCAGAGACGGACCAAAAGGATATTAAATAAGTCAAGGAATAGATTTCCAAGACCAGGAAGATAAAATCATCGAAACTATTGCCAATCAACCCCGTAGCCTCTATATCTATGCCTAGTTTTGATCTGAAGTTTTCCATCAAGATATGGGCATTGACCCTGCCTGATGTCCTAATCGCTGTAAACGCCAGTATAATGCCACTGATCAAGATGCCAACATCTCTCATTCTTCTCTTACCAGGTGCAACAAATCGTGATAATGTGACCGTGTCAAACACAAATAGTACGGCACAGACAAGATACACGACCACTGTCCGTCCATCGCTCTAGACCAGGCCTCACCGTTCCTTAAACGCATCCATGTCTTTCAAGGCGCCTGCCAGCCTCCTGTAGTCTCTAAGGAGCTCGAGAACCTCCCCCAGGCGTAGGTCGGCCGGGTTCTGCAGCTCCATGAACCTTTTGTTCGGCGGAGCGATCTGCGGCTTTGGCGGCAGTGCAGCAGCGATGTCGGGGAATGCCTTCAAAGGCAGGTTAGTCACAGAAACGCTATCGGAGGCCAATGGCTCAGGCAAAGTGATGATCAAATACGTACCGATGCAAGGTCACCGCCATCAGCGGACCCCTTGCTGGCAGCGGTGGACGCCGTATCCTTGACGGTTGGGGCCACTGGCGTGGACGCCGTGCGTCCAAAACCACGTATCATGTTCATGCCGCCCGAGAATCTTGATATTGGGTTAAAGGAGTTGCCGAGGTTACGCACTGAGTCGATCAGTGCTGGATTGGTTGCTCCTGGTGCCGGAGTGCCCCCGTCTCTCTTGGCCGGCTCTTCCCCTGCAAAAGCGACCTTCCTCGAGCCACTGGTCACGCTGCTCCTCGAGCTGTCCGCACTGTGGTCTCTAGAGGCCTTCTTGCCGCTTATCAGACTCAGCATCCTTTCTTCTCGGGTGCCCGAGCCCGTGTGGTGCTCGTCCGGAGTGTGTACCGAGCTTGCGCCGCTTACGGAACCCTCATCATCAAAGGCCTGGGGCGGCGGCGTGCTGATGAGTTTCCTCGCATCGTCTAGTGTCTTCGGCACGATTGTCTCTGCAGTCGGCGCGTCTAAGCGCTCGCGCAGTTTGCCGAGGAAGAATTTGTAGCTGTCGCCCAGACTGTTGCCGATATTTTTCAGCCCCTGATCCGCTGAGCTGAGCACAGCGTCGCTGGCTGCACCAAATGCCTGTGCCGGTGTGTTCACCAAATCGCTAAGTCGGCGATTACGCAGCTGCACGGCGGCGCGGATGCCTGCTGGAGAGGTCGTAGGTTTGAGCCCTGATGCAATGCTGGCATTCGTCTCGGCTGTACTCTGCGCTGCCGGTGTGATACCTGGTTGGTATGCTGGCGGGAAAGTCTCTGTTTTGGGCGAGCCCGGTGAACTTGTGTTCTTGGGCGGACCAGCCTGCGGCTCATCAGCTCTCAATGTAGATAGGTCAACGTTATCCAGAAAGCTAATCGCGGCCTCGAGATTCGTAAGGCAGTACGCTGCCTCCCCTTCCAGCTTCTGCTCCCATCGAAAGCGCTGAACAAAGTTCACATCGCTCACAACGCTCAAGTGATCAGGCGGCAGGGTGATCAAGCTGTAGATCAGCATGGGCATGATCTCGTCCGCCGAGGAAGACGGGTGGAAGTGAGACAAAGTGTCGACGATGCTCTTGTGGGCGGCCTTCAGGCGATTGAGCTTCCCGAGAGGGTATCGCGAGTTATTCATCTCCATCAGTTCTCTGCGTGCTGGTTCAAGCCACTTGCGGACCTCCTCTTGTCTCTCCAAAGCCTCCTCTGTCGAGTCAGTCGGCGCCCAAAGCTCGACGCCAAGATCCAGGGGGCCTATCCCGACCACTGCTAGAGCTGCCGTCTTTGATCGTAATTTGTCGTCTTGTGCTTCGTCCTGTGTACTGCGATGCCTATAAATCTTGCCGTACATCCCTTCGCACAATCGCCTTTCCACAGCCTCCTCGTACAGCCCACGCTTCTGTTCCAGCTGTCTCCGAGCTCGTTTCCTCTCCGCCAGCTCCTCGGCTGTGATCATTTGATGTTCCACATCGGGCTTCGCCGGTGGTGTTTTCGGCTTATCCTTGCTTCCTATCGATGCAGCCTTTGCGCGCAATAGACTAGCGGCCGATGCTCGCGGGCCAGCAGAGGGTGGTCTTGGATGCTCACGGGTTTGGCGAGTAGCTAAGGCGGCGATGTGGGTGCTAATATGTGCTGCTGCTTGGGCGTAGAAATCTTGGAATAATCGGGAGACATTGTCGATATTCGCAGGGGCTGGATGGACCTTTGCTGAGAGTGACTCTATGAAGCTGAAGGGGGTTAGCGAGCTTGAAGAGAAGCTTGAGAAGCTCGAGCGAACATACCTGTCTGTTAAGCCGATCAACTCGATTGGTAGATCCTCCAGGTCGACAGAAGCTCTAGGTGTTTCATTGGTATCCTCTCCATCGTTAGACTCGAAAGCGTCTGCAGGCTCCAGCTTCTCCTGGTCATTTTGCAGTCCCTGCTGGACAGCTGTGTCTCCCACAGCTCCGTTCTGCTGGACATTTCCAATACCACCTGTGACCTGCTCAAGGGAACTGGTATTTGATGAGGACTTGCGTGGACTTGGCCGTTTTCCAGCAGTGCTTCTCCCGGTATTCGTTGGTGCCATGGGACCTCTCTGCGGATGCACGCTGACTATGAGGTAATGGTGAGCTCTAGTAGAGAGGACAAGAGCTGCACGACACAGAATCTTAGCAAGAAAGAGGAAATAGGGAGACAGTACTAGTCTGGTGGTATCAGAGCTGTCCGGGCATGAAGACGCTCGCTTAGTCTTGAAACTCGGGTTATATTAATGGGAGGGATGTTGCAACAGCCAAGTTGGACCCGAGGGTTCAGTGTTGCTACCAGATTATTCCTTTGGTGTTTGTCGCCGGGACAGGATACAGAACAACGCAGGGTTCTAGCGAGAAAGTAAAAAAAGTGTATAATTCTATGGTCTGTTGTCGCTTGCTCATGAAAGAGCTCAAGAAGATTGCAAGAAGCTTCGGTGCGGGTGCTCCGGGTGGTGGTTTGGAGATTCCGTCTGCCGCGACAGCTATTACCTGTCATGTAAGATCAGGGTATCTTATCAGGAAGTTTTGGTGCTAACAAGAACCTCCTAAGTCTCCGCTTTGAGGCAGTAGCTGTAGCGTATTTAGCGGGGGGTCCGATAGCTAGCCTGGGTCCTGTTGATCCATCGGTCCCCTCAACTTGTCTTGACTCTTAGCAATCTTGGAAGAAGAAATTTTGTTTTATTGATGGCGGTTGCTTCTGGAGTGGGCAGTTCCGCCGTATCAAACCTCTCAGGGACCAGGAAATCAGTTGGTTGCCAGAGCACAAGATGGAACTGGGCTGGTCATCTTGACTGGCAGAGGCGAGTCCATGTCATGGGTGGTGCATGGTAGGGTCACATGCTAAGGGCAATGGAATCGGTTGAGGTACCGAGACTGAGAGATTGTTAGTGCAGAGCTGAGGGTCGTAGTGGATTCTTTATCAGCTATCAATTGACGATACAAAGGAGCCACTGATGACCACTGGAAAACGCGTCTCATGCCACGCCCCAGGCCCACTAGCTGCGCTAAGGCCCGACACTGATGTTGTCATACCAGGCACCCGATAAGCCCGCGGGGTGCCACCCAGCTATGAGCCGACTCCGGTCTTCATTCATCCCCATCCACCTCCATCCCAACGACAACAACAAACGATACAAGCCATCATTTCGACTCTCCTAATCTCTCTCCTCAGTCTCATTTTCCTTGGTTCCTTTTTCAATCCGAAGCCTAGCAGCCACGGGCTTGCCATTTCCTATTTGCATCAGCCGTCATGGTTCCCCGGTGGAAAGAAGGGTCCACGGGGTGCACTTCTGCTGGCAGAGTCACAGCCCATGCCCTCCTATCCTTCCTTGCTCTCTCTGCCTCTCCAGTCAGCGCCTGGGGCCACGATAGAGCCTCCGAGCAAGTGGTTCTTCCTCTTCCTCAAGAACCCATCTCGCATCCTCTGCGGCCAGAACCTCCGGCCCCCGCAGACCACACCTTTGTGAGTAGTCGCCACTACCCAGCACTCGCTTCCCCCAAGCATTCATCTTGGGCCACTGACTGAACAATGAGACAGACCCTCCGCCACATCTACCATCACGGGGCCTATCAGCACCCCAAGCTACACAGGAGGAAGGATATCTCAAGTAAAGATGCCCAGGTCTGGATTGCAGCAGAAGACGGTTCTGGCCGGGAGCAGCTACCCGTCTTGAAAGCAAGGAGTCACGCGCAAAGGATCGAGAGGCTCGTGGATCGACGGCCGAGTATTGTTGATCCTATGGTGGCGTTGGCCCGAGAAAGAGGCTACGTTTCCGTACTCTCGCCCGACGCTTGGACGGTTGACGATGTGCCATCACCGGACATTACCGACAAGGACACCGTTCTTAACATGGCCTACATGACCTCAAATGCCTATGTTGAGACACCCGACAACGCAGACTGGTTCGAAGTTGGGCAGCCCTACAACAAGAGTGCTGACTTTGGATGGGAAACGGACGGGTTGCGGGGACATATCTTCGCCGATGAGACCAATTCAACCATCGTCATTGGTCTCAAAGGCACGACGCTGGCTGTGTTTGATGGAGATGGCACGACTACAAACGACAAGGAGAATGATAACCTGTTTTTCAGCTGCTGCTGTGGTCAGCAAGGCCAGTGGACCTACCGACAGGTTTGCGACTGTGCTACGGGGACGTACAGTTGCAACACTACCTGCGTCTCTAAGGCTCTGCGTGAGGAGAATCGCTACTACATGGCTGCTCGTGAGCTGTATTCAAACGTCACAGAGCTCTACCCCGACTCCAACATCTGGCTTACGGGGCATTCCCTTGGTGGCGCCGTCGGTTCCTTTCTGGCCCTTACCTACGGACTTCCCGCTGTCACATTTCAGGCTGTTCCCGAGGCTTTGGCTGCTGGACGTCTAGGCCTGCCAGTGCCGCCAGGCTCAGACCCTCAGAACCCACAAACTCGACAATACACCGGCACGTATCATTTTGGCCACACGGCTGACCCGGTGTATATGGGCACGTGCAACGGCGCCACCGCGTCGTGCTCGTATGCCGGATATGCCTTAGAGACGGCCTGCCACACTGGCTACGAATGCGTTTACGATGTTGTCTCAGACCTCGGTTGGCGTGTGGGCATCGGCACTCATAAGATCCACACGGTCATCAAAGACATCCTGCGCAAGTACGACTCCGTTCCTGAGTGCAAGTATACGCCGGAATGCCGGGACTGTGCCAATTGGAAGATGTACGAAAGCAATGGGACAGAGAGCACGACAACATCACGCTCCTCCACCACGACCAAGACCCGGACGCGGACAGAGACTTGTAAGACACCCGGTTGGTGGGGCTGCTTGGACGAAACGACAACCACGACTGGCAAGACGACATCCACTACGACAACAACTAGCACGTCGACTTCGACTTGCAAAACGCCTGGATGGTTCGGATGCAAGGACAAGACGACGACAACGTCAGCACCAGTCACATCGCCAACCACCGTGCCTACTGCAACGGCCACAACAACGTTGACTGTTCCAACCACCACCTGCGAAACGCCTGGGCGATTCTGGGGTTGCAACGATAAGACTCTCACAGTGAGCCCAACGACATCACATGAGATCACCGAAGCACCCTCGGCACCCACCAGTGCCGCCTCCCCGACCGCCAGCACAACGCAGTCCGCTCCATCGAAAGGGAAGTGTACACATCGCTCTTGGTTTGGGTGGTGCAAGGAGCGAGACCATGTTGACACGCAGGAGATAGTGGAAATCTAGAGTTTCCAGTTGTTCCGATTTGATATAGTTACTTACCTTTGCAAGATACACACGGCCCACGATTGGTCCATTTGGCGTTGGGGATTGATGAACAGCGATCATTGGCATCACAACCGAAGTACATTACCTAAGGAGGTGAATATGTAGCTTTAGGAAAGGCACATATCATGGCATTCGTTTTATATAGATAATGAGGCATCAGATCGATATTTCTTCAACTGATTTCATGTAATTTATCTGAAAATACGCCTCGTAGACATTAAAGTACATTGATGAACTTCATAAGATTGATCCTATTCAGCACATAGTCGAATTTTGGAGGTAGCTCGCGTGGTCCGTATATTCCCTGACCGCGAGCTGGAGGCTGACATTTAGTGGCTCCACCCTGTAACCTCCACCATTTCCGGGGGTCGCTCAGAGGGGCCGAGATGAAAGAATCCAGTATCGAACTGCCCAGCCTTAGCACCTGCAAGATGCATCTAAAAAATTCCACACGCCACCACGCGTCTTTGTCATACCGCAGGGGCTGATGCCTTTTTGACCAACGCAGCCCTTAAGCCTTCACATGTAGACTCTCAGCAAAGATCCGAATTTGACTCCATTGTGCCGTCTTCGGCACACGGCGCCTGTGATTCGCGACAACATGGCGTCTGCAGACGACGAACCGCGAGCACTCGAGCAGGATGAGTCGTCCGAGCTTTCCAGCGCGTCCGACAGCGGCTCCGGCTCCGACTCGGAGGAGCAAACGCAGGTAGAATGGCTTGCAACAGGACGAGCCAAACGCGCAACAGCGGGGAACCGGATGAAAAGCATGCTGGCAAACGAGGAACGCGCCGACGAGGACTCCGACCTAGAGCTGCTGTTTGCCGAAGACGAGGACGACCAAGGTTTCACCGACGTTGAAAAGGATGATGCATCTGACGTCCAGATGGACTCGAGTTCCGATGAAGAGGATCAGGATGATGGCAAGGATGACGACCTCGCTGGAGAGAAAGAGTTGGAGAGAAGAGAGCGGGAGAAGAAACTGGCGGCAAGGAAGAGAAAAGCGCAGGAAGCAATTCCCGCCAAATTCCGGAAGAAGGTCAGGATTGATGCCGCCGGTAAAGGAGGCTCGACTTCTGCGGCGTCCGAGGCGCCGAAGCCTCGTCCTAAGAAGAAGAGCGAGCGAGCAAGTTGGCTGCCGTCGGTCACCGACGCCCCAACCCGTGCCTCGGAACGGTCGACCACGCGGATCAGCAAGGTTCAGCTCCATCAGCAAATGGTAGAGCGTGAGGCGCGTCGGAAGCGGCAGCTCGAGATCATGGAACGCAAGGCCCGCAAGGCAGAAGCCAACAAACGACCCCCCCTGACGCAGGCAGAGCGTCTAGCCGAGGCCGAGCTCGTCGAGAGTCGCAACGCAAACAGTCTGAACCGGTGGGAAGAGGCAGAGAAGCAGCGGGAGGAAGAGAGGCAGGCCAAGATCGCGGCGCTGTATAATCGGACACTCGAAGGGCCCGTCGTGACCTTCTGGAGCGGCGTTGTCGACATCACAGGTGAGGGCGGTACCGGTGCTCAACAGATGCTGAAGCATCTTGGCAAAATGGTATCCATGGAGGAGAAAGCGCCCAGAAAGAAGAGGCAGTCTGCGGCAGCGATAGCACAAGCGCAAAAGGAAGCAGAGGATGCAAAGAAGGAAGCGCCGGCTCCAGACGTGAAGATGGAGGATGCCGATGGAAAGCAAGCTGAGAAAGTGGCCGAAAATGGGCCAAGGCCTCCTGTTGTCCCCGACCCTGGTCAGCCGGACAATGTAACAAGCGCGTTGCCGGTGGCGAACCCGAACCCAGAATCTGCAAAGGAGAACTCTGCAAAGGGACCTGCAGACGAACCTGCAAAGGAGCCAACAAAGGAGGCGACACAAGAGTCGCTCAAGGAGGCGGTCCAAAATACTCCAAGTGATGCAACAGCACCACCCGCAGCATCAGCAACGACGGAGGTACTCCAATCTACACAAGCCGGACCTCAGTCTTTAGACACTGATGCACCCAAACTTGACGTTGTCTCAAAACCGACTGCTCAGCATGATGGCACACCCCCTCAGGCAGTAGATCCCAAGTTACATTCACAACCTGGACAATCAGAGACAAGCCCTACATTGCCTACAACAAACACAAGCGCGACGCTTGTTCCTACACTGGCCCCTCCTTCTCCGGCACAGCCTTTGCAAGTTCCACCAGCGCCGGCGTTGCCTGCGACAATTGAACACAGGTCAGGCCTGGCGGCCCCCGGCCTAGCAGCTCCCTCGTTTCACACGACGGACGCTGTCTTTCGGCCAATAGGAGCCCCGTCACCGATGGCGCCGCCAGCCATGGCAAGCCCCGGTGCTCTGAGGCCGCCTCCTTCCGGTGTCCTGGCTCGCCCGGCCTCCATGCTCGCGCCTCCGAACATGGTGGATGGTTCAACACCCATGCTAGGCTTGACCTCCATGGGAGGGGGCAAGTCTAACGTCTTGGCTGCGCCAAACACATCTCAAACACCGTCGCCCCTCGCTCCGCCATCGCAATCTCCCAGTACTCTTTCCGCGATGGCCATGGCACCTCCGCCGCGCCCGCCCCCGCCACCTCCGACACCCCAGCAAATGCTTGCACCTCAGCCAGCTCCGGGTCCAGCTCCAGCTCCAGCTCCAGTCTCGGCTCCCGCCGTCACTCCAGCTGCTGTTACGGGTAATGTGAAGACTTCACCTGTCCAGGCTCCAGAGCCTCAGAAAGGTCCGCAAACGGCGACAGGTACCAGTGTGGCAGACAAGCCTGAAGCTGCAAAGAGTAACAACGAAATCCAATCCACCGAGCCGCCCACAACAGATCCTGCATCGGCTGCGAAAGAGGCGGAGCTCCCAATGGACGGCAAGATCACACGGAGTTGTATCATCCTGCAGAATTTCGACGAGGATGCTATAAAGGACAAGACAGTGCAGACACAAATTTTGTTCGGTCGCAAGATGAGCAAAATCGGAAGTAAGTTGCACCGCAATGCGTCACACTGGTGATTTATGTCTTTCAAACTGACTCTCCTGTTAGAACCTGCACATGCCCCTTTGTGTGTCATCACCAACCATCCGGCACGCTATCGGGACCCAAAGACAGGCCTGCCGTACTACAACAGTTACGCCTACAAGGAGATTCAGAAGCTCCATGGTGGGCAATATAAATGGAGTCAGCTCATCGGCGCGTGGGTAGGCACTGGCAGCGCGGCAGCAAGAGGGGTGCCGGTTCGGTTCATGGGGGGACCCGCCGCCGCGGCGGAAGACGAGCGGCGGAAGAAGGAGAGGGAAGAGGCAGCGAAGAAGAAAGCGGAAGAGGAGGAGCGCAAGAAGAAGGCGGAGCAAGAAGCAGCAGAGAAGGCAAAGCTTGCGCCGGCGGCTCCGCCCCCCGAACAAGCGTCGTCAACTACGACATCGGCAGCGGATGAGAAGAAGGCAGATGCTGCCCCGGAGATACCGGCTGCTATGCCAGCAGAGACACCCGCACCAGACACTGGTGGCACGGTAAAGCAGGGAGGGCAAGATCCGCCGCGGGACGGAAATGCGGCCGACGGCCAGCAGCCAGAGCCGATGGAGGGCGTGCAACCTACCCAGCCGGAGCCACAGACAGCATGAAGCGGCCTCGAGCACGAGGGTGGTGTGTATTCAAATGTATTATCATAAAGAGACGTGCTAGTAACGATCGATACCCTAACGAATGAAAGGACGTGCCTGATGGCATTCAGACCTCAAAATATCCGGCTCAGAATGCCATGCTTCTCAGCTTTACGATCCTTTGTGAACCTTGCACGTTGCACAAAAAACTTCAAAGACAAGCATGTCTTACGATCCTTGCCGATGGGATTTCCGATCCAGATCAGCTAGACAGCGGCAGCCTGCAGCGTTCTGTACCACATGGGCTGCCCGGTCGTTACGAAGGGGAAGAAAGGCTGAGAAATGACACACTGGCAAACCCACCCACACACCCCCTGTCAATAATATGCATGCAAGCATAGGGCTGACGGCACATCACGTATGTACATGCAAGGGTCTATCCTGGACATGGAGATTACCATTTCGGACTCATTCATTATCAGAGGAGAGAAGAGAAAAGCGGATAAAGTCGAATCCCAGCACATCGGTGTTTTCATCACCCCTTGACCCAGCGCGGATGCCCCAAGACGACGAATGGGATTCCTTTTTGCGCAAAAAAAATATTTTGACAATAACGAAAAAGCAACAAGAGTTAAATTGCCAATCTCATCTATGCGTGACAGGCACGGACAGTCGCATGCTCTGCTATGATTCATACATTGGATCACGTCAAAACCTCCCCCGATCCTTGAAAGAGAAACCAATCCCGTTGCCCTTCCATTTCACTGTCCCTTACCATGAAATAAAAAGGAAAAAAGGGGGTATAACTGATGCCGATCCTTTATCGCCAGCCGACGAAGGGAAATAATGCCGAATTCCCAAGTCTTGTTCCATCTATCATACGTCCACCGAGCCAAAATAAAATCCATAGTCCCAAGGAACAGAAAAAAGAGAGAAGAGGTTCCTCGTCTAAAGTGGTAAAAGTGTTGTGGTTGTACACAGGGGGAGCCTCTGTGCTACCCCGAGAATGAACAGGTAGAAAAAGAATAAATGGTATCAGTGACTTGAAGGAAACGTAGAAGAGATAGGACGGAGAGTCGTTCGGTTGTTGCGGTGATTGCAACATAGTTTAGGCGCCCTTGCCGCCAATCACGCCCGCCAGCCAGCCCATCTCGTTGACCAGGTCGTCCAAACCCGAAGACTTGCTGGCGTCGGCAGGCAGAAGCGAGCCGTTGCCGACGGGCATCTGTTCTGTGCTGTCGGCAGAAATCAGAGCAGGGGAGCCCATGACGGCGTTACCCACAGCCTTGGGGGCCACATCCTCGTCGACAGATGACCGAGGCAGGCTGTAGCCCGAGAATGCGGCGGTCCAGCTCTCACCAAAGGAGGACTGGCCGGCAGTTTGACGGCTGTGGCCGGCGTCGACCAGGTAACTAAGGGACGGGAGGAAGGGCGGCCGATCCTCGTCAAACGACGAGACGGGGTCGTCCTCTTCCTCCTCGGAGTGGTAGATGGAGGGCGGCTCGTTTGGGTCGGGCGAGCGCGTAGAGGCTATCGAGGCGGAGGTCAGAGGCGAAGTCGCTCGGGAGGACGAGGTGGAGATGGAGAAACGAGACATGGGGATGTGTAGTTCGGTGGTAGATGGCCGTGGCGGTTCGGGCGCTGCGCGCGTCGGGGCTTCGAAGTAAGAGGCCGGCTCGATCGTCGTCTGCGAGTCGTTCTTGCTCTTCTGCACCCTCGACGCCAGCTGCAGGATAGTTGTCGACGAGTAGTTCCGCTGTAGAGGGGGTGGTGAAAGCCCCATGTAGGAGGGCGTCTCCGAGATGGAAGTGCCGGCAAAGTTCGCGTCGTCCTCCTCCTCGGCGATGTCCTCTGGGATGGCCACTTTCGAGGCCGCCTTGGAATCTATGCTACCAGGTCGCTGAGACGCCGATGAATTGTCGGAGAGGAAGCGATGGAGCGACTCTGCGGAAAACATCGCGGGGCGACTGCTTGCAAGTGATGGCCGAGCCTGATAGGAACCCGCATGCGATACAGGCCGAGGCTCATCTGACTCCGATGGCTCTGTCGAGCTGCTGTTCGAGGAAGAACTGGACTTCCGCTTGAACAGGCTTCTCGGATTCCACTGGGGTGATACTGAACGTGAACTGCGACGCTTGTGTGGTGAGGTCTCGGGTCGAAGGGTTGCGAGGCCGGGAACAGGTGGCGGCGGCCTTGGTGTTACAAATTTGTGTTTAGGGTCCATGGTCTTGAAGTCGCCGTCTCGCAACGAATTCAGAGATGCACTCCTCGTCCGTAGGGTCTGCTCCATCGGGACTGTCAAGGTGTTGACTGTTTGACCCGGCAAGAACGGACACGCGGTGGTCGAGGGTTGTGATGGATCATGCGTTTCGGTGGCGCCATCCAGCTCGTACTGCAACTGTGTCAGCAAGCGAGGCCGCGAGGTCCACCAAGGGGACATGGTGCCTCACGTAGAAGTAGTACGTCTCGCCCATTTTGAGGCCACCGTCGCGTTTGGCTATCGTAGAGTCGTGGCCGTCGCACATTATATCCTTAAAGGTGTAACATCCACGCCACTGACCTCTAGATCGCCGTGAGTCACGTTCCATAAGGTAGGGTTTAGAGAAGTTATCCCAGGAACCGACGAGGTGGACGGAGTTGATGGAGGGATGCGTCTGCCTATTTGTTTGTTGTCAACATACTGGCCCTTGTACGGCAGGCAACGTGAACAAGATATGTGCCAGCATCTTGAACAAGGATCGAACAGCCCGGGGGGGTCATCTCGATCAGCCAGCCTGCTGAGCTGGCTGACGCGGAGACCCATGTGCCTCATTTAGCCTCGTCCTTCATGATTAAGTCGCGAGCACGATCGAATGGCGGCCGACGGAAGGTAAGAACAGGGGTTTCCACGAGGTTTAGCGAGGGCTGTACCGTCCCGTAGGGCTACCTCGGGATGCTGGGTTACATGATGGGACCCGAAATGGGTCTGGCGCTGACGTGGTAGGAGGTGAAGTGGTAATGGGACCCAGAACCCATGCATAAGGATAATTACCCCATCAGATCCTTCTTCCTGACACGCCCCCTTCTGGCAAATGATCAGAGAGAACTTGCTCCTCTGCTCAGGGGTGCCTTTTTGTTGGTGTGGCATTGGCAATCCCTTGGACAACCTATCTCCGTTCCGTAATCGGGAGAGACCATAAGCAGAAATGGAATATAAGACGAGGAAGGGCCTGCATTCGGGCAAAGCGGAACGGATTTGCCGGGATGAAAAGAGAATAAGGAAAAGTGTAATGTGTGCCGCCAAGGGGAAAATATCACAGATTGCTTATTATGACTGGTAAATGAACAAAACTCACAGCATGAATGTGAAAAGCGTGGTAGTCGGATCCATATTGATATATGTCAGGGGCAAGCTGAGCTCGCCACCAGAATTTGATCTTGATCACAGACAATCGGTATCGGTAGCATAAGCTCTCTCTACAAGAGAGCGTCCTCGTTACCTCGAAGACATATCCGCAGTCTATGACAATGCAGGTTGAGGTGCAATAATGGGATCGAGCAAGTGGTCGAGATGTTGCTAGTCGCGGATGCGGTTTGCACAGAGCCGAGTTCACAATGTCCAAGGTAGAGAGAGTCGACAGCGTCCAGGACCAGTCGGATACCGGGCCAGGAGAGTGCCAATGTTGGAGTATTCGGGCGCTCCGAGGATTGGAAGAAGGATAGCGAGACAGTGTCCTATGGCTCGAACAGAAGGGATTGTAAGAATATGGATGCCAGATCCGGGGAACAGTCTGCTGGGACAGAGGTCCTGGGGTCGGTGATGTATTTCAGTAATAAGCTCCGCTCTCACCCTACCCCTACAGGCGCCACTTGCAAGAGAATAAGCAAATAAGCAGTGTGGCTCCTCGTGGAGGAGATGAGACGAACGGGGCTGAATCAACTAACACTCAATGCGAAAGACGCGGCGGCAGAGGGAAGGGGACCCTTGTCTCGCAACAGACGTCAAATAGGGAGGACTGGCCCCAAGATTGGTCAACGTTGAGACTGGACTAATACCGCCCAGCGTGCTCAGACCATGCAGCCATGTGGGAAATTAATTGTGTCTTCTCCACTGGGCGATCTTTCCGGCAAAGAGGATGGATTCAGTGAATGTTTAGTTTCGTGGGGTGAGTGAAGCAAGATGGAATGGCGACCAGCGGAATGTTGAAGATTGGAAGACGGTGAGGATAGGGGAGAGCCACGATGCCTGCGGAGAGCACGGGAAGGCCAGGACCTGCTGTTAAAAGATGGGAGGAGTCTGACGTCGGGTCAACTAAGAGAACAGGCCGCGAAATGGTCTCCGACCAGGTATCCAATGGTGATCAATGATGGGGTTTGACGATCATCAAAGCCGTGTATCCATGCACTGCCGCCCACTGCCGGAGTGCGGACTGGATGGGCAAGTCAGACTTGCATTAGATATGTAGGTAAGTACTTTTACGCATACGTACAACATCAAAAAGCACATGCGGGCTGAAAGATGGAGTTCGACTCGGCACCTTCAACCAGCCATGGGGGAGAGAGAGGAGAGAATACATACGTTTGCTCCGTAGTCAGGTACACAACAGACCCATCCCATACGAAACCTTGAGAGGAATCCATACCAGCTGAACTGAGGTGTGGCCCTGGGCAACGTGCAACCTCCATCGTCACTTAAGCTTCCGACTAATGACGTGGACCAGCTTGCCAGCCAGGAATGAACATGGCAACGTCGATAGTTCTGGCGCTAGAGGACGCAGCATTTTCCCTGTTTTCCTCTCGGGCTTTTTGCTGTTCTCTTTGCTCTCCCTTTTGCTTTCCCTACTTCGTACCTCGTAGAATCCATACGTCTGCTCCGTAGATCAGGTCAGGCAAGGCCAGGCCAGGCAGCCTGTCACTTCGCGCTTGTTGATCAAGACTGACGACGGCGTGGGCTTGGTCTTTGGTCGGGTCGTGCGGGAATGCCGTGAGCATTGACCCCGACGCCGACACCAAGGAGCGTCCTGCTGGTGGGTCAGTCACTCGCGTCTGGCTGGCATGGAGAAGTGACCGAATGGCTTGAGTGGCTTGCTTGGGACAGAGCGAGTGGAGGAGCAGGCCGTAAGCAGGGTTCAATTGTCTTGCAGCTCGTCTCCGATCTGCAGCGTCTCAGCTTTCCCTGGTTCTGCATCGCTGCACGTCGTCCAAGCCCTTTCACCCTGGCGAGTTCCAGGAAAGCCGGCGGCGTCTGGCGCTGTCCGGGCCTTGCGATTGGCTTCAGCGAACAAGAAGCCACTCTGACCCCTGGTCAATAGGGTCAATATGCGCTCCACCCTGCTGGGACGGCTGCGCTTCCCGCCCGCCTTCAACCACAGCGCCACTAAAGCTTCATGCCTCTGGCTGTGCTGCAACCACTTTGTTGCTGTGCGGGCAGTTGTTGATTAGGTTGCAGTAAACACAGACAGCTCCATCGGGCTGCATGTCGGTCTGATCGGTATCCTGTCACCACATCAGTGCCTCAGCCCTGTTGTTGATTGACCCCAGGCATGCAAGGATGGATGAAAAAGATATTCTCCGGAGCCGGTCGGGATCAGTCAATCTCGATCCTCCAAGTACCTCCAGACCATCGGGCCGTCACGTCAGGATGCTGTTCAGGAGCCCGCGCTAATGTTGGGATTGCAAGTCCATTAGCTCTCACGACCCTGGCAACGTGCAATTTCCCCAGCGACCGAGTCGGCCATGGCGTGCTCCACTCCTCTGCTCAGCAGGACTCCTCCGGAGGCACCTGTGGCTTGAGAAGTCGAGAAGCTGAACGCTGACATGATGGCAATGCAATGAGGACGGAGGAAGGGCTGGGGCCATTCATGCACAGGACGGGTCTGCGTTTCAGGACTCGGTATTCGCTGCGTTACGATCAACGTCACAGCCGCCGCATTGTTCTCTTTCTGGAAGGCAAAGCAAAAGAGAGAGGTCAGGGGGATGATCCTCCCGGCCAGTGGGTCGATTGTTAATCTTGAACGAGAACATCGAAGGTTGAAGGTCCAGCCCAAAAGCACCAGGCTCCACCGTTGAGGACCCAATCCACCTGGGCAAGTCCGCGCCGACGGGGTGCAACTACTGCAATGTGAATTCCTTCAAAGTCCTCTCGAATAGTTTGTCCTAATGCACAAATCTGCGACGATGCTTAAAAAGAGGTAGGCAGGCAGAAAGCCCTGCCCTTCATAAGCCCTGCCCTTCATAAGCGTTCTCACGGGTACGGTACCTCCATAATGGTGATCACCCTCCTCGGCCACAGCTGTCCCTACGGTGGCGTTTCAGGCATAGCTTCTCTCATTGCTTCCTGAGGTAGTTACTGGTAAAGGTACCCTTATGTAACTCTCTACATCCAGGGTTTTTGGACATGGGCACGCGCTCAATCTGTCGAGAGGCGATTAAGACGCCGTCGCTGCCTCTACAGAGTGGTTTGCGCTTTCAACACCTGCGTCGTATGTCACCAGAGTGCTCCTAGGACAGGATATATATCCCGGGCAGCCTGTGCTTCTGCTCAAGTTGCCTTCTCTCTTAGCACCATCACCCCATCAAAAGAAATTTGATACATGTCACTATTTTTCCTGCATCGTCGCTGGTCCATCTCTGAGGTTACGATCCTCGAGATACGCACGTATTCTTTGTGATCATGTGTTCCACGAGAGCTACGTTTTTCTAGTGCACAACTTGTTTGCCAGGTACCAATTTCCTCCCCAGGTCCATATGACCACTGCCTTCCCGTGAGATAGACTCCAGCGACAACAACCTCTTCACGCTTTCCGAACCCCTTCGCCTGGGCAAGACGATGACAGGAGAGAAGCAAATGAACAAGTCAACACACAATATACTGCAGAACTTGTTCAGGTAAATTATGTATTATTCAACGGGAAGCCTTACCAGAAGTCTGGCATGTCGGGCAGTCCACGCTTCAGAAGGCTCAACACCGATAAGTCTTCACATGTGTACTTCTCCCCGTTGGAGGAGTGAGTGAGTTGCTTCTGGCCATAAAGACACCGCCATTGAACACCGAGGCCGCCTGGTTAATCCCGCGCCCACAAAAGAAAATTCCGAGTTTGTACACAACGCCGTCCTGATGCCTGATCGTCCCGCTGGAAGCTGTCTCTTTTTGTCTCCCGCAATCCAGAATCGTATCCCTCGTGATTAAAAAAGAACATAAGTAGTCAATACAAGGAAGCGAATGTTATGAAAGCAAAGGTGAGGGTGAGGGAGACATCCGCCGCACACGCCGTCCTTTCGCGGTCCAGTCTACTCGGACTTGGCCGCGGATGCCTTCTTGACGGCGCTCGCGCGATCTCTGGCATAGCGAAGGCTTGCGTCGCCCTTCCACATGGTCCCCAGGGCTCGATCCCAGATAGTGAAGAAAGGCTGTGAGAAGTTGGTCTTGATGCCCCAGCTCTGGTGGTGGATATCATGGTACGCCGCGTTGTTGCTGGTGATTCGCTGCAGAGGATCCCACGGCAGGGCATATCCGCAGTGGTCGTCCACCGTCTTGATCGTGCTGCCCGTGAAGAAAATGAGGCTCATGCGAGGGGTCATGCCTGACAGCAGATAGGCGACGCCCGCACCGGCCGTGTCGAGGAGGAAGCCTTCGAAGGGGTGGTTGTACAAGGCACCGTAGGCATAGGGAACGTACAGACGGTGGTGCCGGGAATGGAACGTAGCTGGGAGCCGAGTCAGTCAGCATGGGTCACGACACAAGGACGCGGAAGAGGTCGCTTCTGCTTCTGCGGTCACTTACTGTACATCCACCTGTTGGTGTGCATGAACCGATGCCACCAGTACTGCCAGGTGTCTTCGCAGACAACAGCGAACCAAAGCTGGAAAGTGGGAATCAAGACATAGTAGATGGCCTTGGCGAACATGATCTCCCAGTTGGCAAAGGTAGGCGTGCTGGCAATGCCGTCGAGAGACGTGGTGAGGAAGGGATAGTGACCGCCGGCGAGAGCACCGGCCAGAAGCGGATGCGACGCCGACATGTTCTTGGAGATGGCCGCGGCGTTCAAGCCCAGGAAGTTGAGCAGGGCGGGCAGAGCTCGCTGCGCGGTCCTGATACGAGTTGCCCAAACCGCCACATCGTAGTTCTCCTTGCCAATCATCTGCGGCGGGTCGAGCACGGTCAGGAGAGCGCCGGCAGCGACCTGAATGACCTGCTGGATGATGACGTCGCGTGCCACTTCGTAACGCGATACATGATTTCGCGACGTGATTTCGTCGGGAGTGTGGAGTCGGTACTGTGGGAAGAGATCGTAGACGTCGAGGACGTGGAAGAACATGGAGAGCGCCCAGTAGGCGGCGACAGGGAGAAGCAGACCGAGCCAGAAGTCGGAAATAAATGGCAGCAGGTCGGGCATGGGTGAAAGAGTGTATGAGGGCAAGGGAGGTAAGTCCGATGCGACCGTTGCGTTGGCCATGGTGTTGAAGTCTGTAAAGTTCACCATGACCGGCTTGTCGTTATGGGCGCGAGGCAGTAAATAGCAATTGAGCCGGAATCTTGGGTGGTGTCAAAGGAGCGTCGACGGTAGAACAGAGCAGAGCAGAGCAGATTAGAAGAATGAGTATGGCAAATGAGAGAAAATGAAGGGTTTGAAAGCTTTTGTTCGCCCGCCGGAGATGACGGAGCTGCGACGTTTAAGAGGCCAAGAGCGAAAAGTGCCTGACTCTCGGCCAGTCTCAGTGGACTGAGTCTCCTTTCTCGGGCTTTGGCTCGATCTTATCAATTTCGCTTGCTAGATCAGCCGGCCTTCCGGTGTCTCCTGTTGCAAAAGTCGCCACCACATCGGACCACTGACAGCTGGTCGTCACCGCGAAACACCCCCAAAATGGGCCGAACAACAGGGCACTCTTGGAATTTGGGTATGCAAAGTCTCGAACCACTGGATATCTCTATTGTTGGAGGGGTTTCCCTGTTCACCATGATTGGAGTTGTATACTCATTGCCATCCTGCTTGCTTGAACGCATTTCACATGCACGAGGAGCACTCCCTACTAGAGTCATGACTCTCAGACTCTGCAAAGATTGCAGGCTCATTGCATTCTGGCTATCCCGATCCATAGCTACCTAGGCAATTCCTTCCCGCGGGTTGCCATGAAGTTGTATGTAGGTGATCAATTCGAGGAGGTGTGGCTTACCTAACGCACCTCAATCTGGTGCATCCCCATCATCGCCCTCAAATTTGCCTCCTTCCACGTGAAATACAAGAAGAGACAGGACAAGCCTGTAGGTTCAATGCTGCACCTGCCTTGGTCTACTTGTACTCCCAGCTCAAGGAAACGGGATTGATTGGACAAAAGACTCTGCTGTTGCTGCTTTTCCCCGCTAGCACTACTTTGTACTAGCCTCGATAGCCCCGCCATGGCAACAAACCTCCCACTTTTTTTCTTCTCCCGTTCAAACGTGGTATAAATCTCGACTGGCCTCAGCATCTCTAACCAGCGCCCTCCCTGAAAATCGCCGACCACCTGCCCAAACCCTTCTCCAGACCTTCCCCGACCAGAGCCTGTCCTCAAGACCACCGCCAAGATGATCATCTACACCGTATGTACCTTGCCTGATCCCGGATCGCCTCCAGATTTGCCCTTGACAGGGATTGGTATTGACCCCGCATTGAACAGGATATCCTCACCGGAGACGAGATTATCTCGGACTCTTATGACCTCAAGCTTGTCGACGACATCGTTTACGAGGCCGACTGTGCCATGATCACCGAGGGTGGCGTCGAAGTCGGTATGTTTCTGGTTCCTGCGCATACTTGCGGCGCTCCCAAGCCTGCTGCGTGAATGCCCGTCCTAACATGCGATTCCTTCCAGACATCGGTGCCAACGCCTCCGCCGAGGAGGCTGAGGAGGCCCTCGAAGACCAGGCGGTCAAGGTCAACAACATTGTTCACTCTTTCCGTCTCCAGTCCACCAGCTTCGACAAGAAGTCCTTCCTGGGATACCTCAAGGGTAAGCATTCTACCATGAGTGACCCCGCCTCGCATCGCCGCGTGTCATTCCGCTGACGAGCTCGCTCTTCTAGGTTACATGAAGGCTGTCAAGGCTGCCCTGCAGGAGGCTGGCAAGTCCGCTGAGGAGGTCAAGGCTTTCGAGACGGGCGCCTCCAAGTTCGTCAAGGACACTCTGCTGCCCAACTTCAAGGACTACGAGTTCTACACTGGCGAGTCGATGAACCCTGACGGAATGTGAGTCTATGCGCCTGTTTTGCTGCCAATTTTCGACACTGTACTGACATCTCTATCTCTTAGGGTGGTCCTCCTGAACTATCGTGAGGATGGTGTCACTCCCTATATCATGGTCTGGAAGCACGGCCTTAAGGAGACGAAGGTCTAAGCATGGAGAGCCGATCCTGGACTTTTCATCCTCTAGCTGCCTCGTTGGTAGAAAAAAGTACATGCCTCTTCTTTTTGGCCTATAAGCATGAAGAACAACACCTCCATGCTGGACTTTGATCCTGCTTTCTGGTTCAGGTCCATGGTCATTCATCTAATTGCATTAGAATAACGATGTTGATGAAGGGCCTCTCCTGGCTTCAAATGATTTCCCTCGGCTCGTTCTTGAATAATTTTACAAGATGCAGTGCAGGTCATAATGAACTGTAAACACTCCTAGTGCCTCTATGTCAAGTGGGTGTCTGAATAGTTGACGGAAGTTCATCAGGAGCTACCTCGATCTTAACAATCAATACCCTTGTCACATCCTTGCCCTGGAACTCGGAAGGGCTATCCCACTACCTAAATCCGATGGGCTTGATGGGTAGATAAGTACTTCTGTTAGCAGTCCGTCAACTAATCTGACCCTCACTTGTATGTACAGCACCAGCTTCCAATTTGCGGTTAAAATTGCGGTCTTGTCGAGACTGGCACCGGCGGAGGCCCCCCATCTGATCCCTGCCCCGATGCTGCAGCCGCAGCCAAACCCGGCTTCTTCTTTGGGGGTGGAGGAGCCGGCTTTTTCTTGACGGCTGCCAACATCGCTGCCGGGCTTGTGCTGGAGTTGCTCGTGTCTTGTGAGGTTGCGTGTGTAGGACTTGTTGCGCTTCCGGGGACAGAACTACCTAATCTGTCACTCAGGCCATACTTTTGGTTCAAGCTATTCGCACTTTTCACTCCGGCGGCGACTTGGTCACCATGACGCTGTCGAAAATTGTTCATAGTAGACGCGGCAGACCTTGCATCGGCGACCGATACGGAACTAGGGTCCTTGCGAAAGTTGGAGGCCGTCTGCAGCGCCGCCTGTTTCTGCGCAAAGCTGGTACCTTCTGATGGCGGCGCAGCCGATGGGGATGACGAGGTGCCCAACTTGGAGAAGCGTGATTGCAGTTCGTTGACATGAGTTGCTGTTGCCGCGCCACCGAAACGCGACGAGCTGCCGGTGCTCTCAGACGATGGAGTGCGGCCTGGCAGTGCCGGCGCTTGTCCTGACGACTTGCCGATTCCCAGGCCAGGAACGGATATGCCGGCGTTGCCCAGGTTCTTGACGGCTGCCTGGTTGAAATATGAACCTTGCCGAGAGGCCTCCGGGGCCGGGCTCCGAACAGGCGAGGTTGAGCCCGACGTTGCGTTGGATGGTGCGCGAGGGGGCAGCCTCGGCGGTAGACTGGGCGGCGGGCCTGGCCGAGCTGCCATTGCTGCTTGGGGAGATGGAGTGCGGCCATCCGCGCCGTCTCTCCTGACCGGCGGCGGCGGCAGATGTGAGGTCGACAAGCCGGTCGTGTCGACGCGATAAGGGACCGGCTCCCGCTCCTCTTCTTCCTCTGGCTCCGGGGCTGCCTGAGCGTACGGCGTAGTACCCGAAGGCTGTGACCTTGAAGGCAAGGCAGGAGACACGCGGCTTGTGTAAGCTGGAGGGTTCTGGCTGGTAGCGACCACTGGTGATCCTCCGGCCGCGACGTGCCTGGGTGGTGGGCCGAATGAGGCCGGGTCCTTCAACTGCGAGAGCGGACGCGATACATGGTCCTTTGGGTCCTCCGCCTCCTCCTTCCTCCATAGGCCAGTCTAAATCGTCTCGTCAGATTGGGTCGCCGCAAATAGCACCATTTTCTACCGGAGAGAGACTCACCACCTGCTTCTTGAACGTTGTCCCTTCTTTCTCTGGATGCCACCCTTTTTTGGCGATGTTCATCAACGACATGGCAGGCAGATAGATGTAGCTCTGTATTGATTGGTCCTAGTTAAACAATGCCGCGAAGTGTGATCCTAAGCCAGCATCGTAAGAACGAGAATGGGTTTATGCAGTCGTCAAGTAAGTAAGTCCTGTCCTCATATTAGGCCCCTTCTTTTGACTGTAGCTGAGCAGCGGGGTTGATATAACGATTCTGGCCCTTGCCAGAGCCACTGATGGCGCCCAGCTAGTCGGTGGCTGTGCCCGATGCTCGGTGACGTAAGCCCCTGTCGACCCATCCCTTCTGGAAGATCAGACCCTGAAATGGCCCCATGGTTGGTGTCGTCGCCTTGCGATTTAGTGTCAGAAGGGGCTGGTCCACTAAGGACAATCCCAGGGCAAATTTAGTATGTGGAGCTGTCTCTGCCCAACCACACCGCCCTTTAGGGCCACCCCAAAGGGCCGGCGGCCCCCTGGCGGCCTTCCCC